TATTGAGTTAAAAGGATTACTAACTGAGGTTCTTTGCGGTACAAATTCTATTTATTCACTTATAGCACGAAAGATGCAACTGACATTGAGGACTATACTATATACAATGAAATTATATTTGTCCTGATTCGCAAAGTGTCCGCAGATAATTGATTCCTCTAGAATTTTTTGTAGCTTCAGCACTACTGTTGAACTTAAAACTTTAAAATTTCGGTTAAGATGGATTCACGGATTATCTGCATTATACTTTCTATATAAAATAACAAAGTTTTCGTATTAAAAATCCAGTTGTGAGCCATCTATTTCTTATCATTACGTAAATGCATAATATTTTTTCTTTAATTAGGTTTAATTTAGATCGGCATATACGTTCAGTTCATTCAGATTATGAGATGTCCTCAAATTCATCTTTAAAAGTAAATAGTGTTCCAGTCTCTAATACTAATGAAGGTGCACATCTAACTAACTCTATGACTGTTGAAAATCCGAATGAACCTCCGCGTGGATATTATCTTTATTTATCTGATTCTGATTGTCAACAATCAATCAACACAAATTCACCAACATCATATATAAATTCAAGTGGAAATACACAATCTGTATTGCAATTAATTTCTCCGACAGTCGATTCAAAATCTGTCTCATTAGTAGCAGATATTAGCCTAACACCATGTGGTCCATCAAATCCAGATGCCCAACTTGGCGTTGGCGGTAAATTGTGGAAGCAAAATATAAATATTGTACAGTCTCCAAAATCTACTATTTCTAAAAGTTCCCATCTATGTTAGATAACATTATTTGATGGTTGCCGTTTTTGCCTTTTCGTTGTTGTTAGACTTTTAATTCTACACTTTGTTTTTGTTCTAAAAAGGAAATATTAAACTACTGTACGACACTTATTTATACGTAAATCAAACCCGTCTAATTATCACTGTACAAAGTAAGGAAACGTGACTAGCTTTCACTTGAAACATTGACAGTTAATAAGTATTTCTACAATGTAAAATCCACTTGTATTATGTAACTGAAGATTTTCATTATAAAAAAATTACAGTTGATTGATTGAGAATTGGATTTATTTGTAATCCGTAGTAAAATAATCAGGTTACCTACAGGGATATTCGTTTCTATCATATCAGTTTCCATTTTACTAATCATTATTTAAACATTAGGTATAAGCACTCAATATTTAACTTGAAACCTGATTGGCATTCATAGCTACTAAATGTTAAACGTAAGCATTTTTAAGCTAAAATTATCTAATTCTTTACAACACCAAAACAGCTTTCTCACTGAATAACATAACTTCTAAAAGCCGTAAATAAATATATATTTATGTGAATTCAAAACATACATACTATTGGAATGTGAGCTTCATTATGTAGCTGACAGTGTTCCGTATTTTCTTGTTATACCGAAAAACCGAATATCGTATGATAGCTGTCATCAAGTTCTATAAACTCATTAGAATCATGCTAAATGTCATTAGTTTCTTGTATTTTCAATCGGAAAGCAGCTATTTTTGTGGTCTACAAAATCTAGTCATTTTAGTTAGAAATAGTGCGTGACGGCTGTGCAGTACTGGAAATCAAAAAAATCTTTTGGTTATCAAGTATTTGTCATTTAAAAGTCGTTCGAATCAACTGATCTGGAATATGAACCCTAGTTATTGTCATAAATTAAGATTTTATGAGCGAATCCTCGTTGAAAGAAAAGTGGTGATCGGTAGATAATATGCAATAATGCAGTGCGGCTGTGTGATGACTGATTACGAGGATATATCTCATAAGTTAAGAAAACTATCTTTTGAAGTTGGTTTTCCTGATAAAATAACATGTTTATACATTTGGTAACAGAAAAATAATTGTCATAAGCAACTGGAGACCACCACCTTGGTATGTCTTTGTTTCTAATAATAAATTAAGACCATCGTCGTCATGTTACCATCCCTATGAAATGACAGGTGGTTTATTGAGATTTACTTCTAGGCTATTTCATTTTAAGAGGTTGACAGTTGATGATAATACTGAAAACGTATATTACCTGTTGATGTTAATATTACAGAAACTGTCAGACTACAATAAAGGATGTTATTAAGTCGTGTATCAGTTCAACTTCTTACTCAATCCAAAGAAAAAGTATCCGCGAATTGTGAAAAATATGAAATTGAACAAAAACCAACCAAGTGGGAAGGTGCAAACAAGAAATCTGAACATTCAACCTATTGAGACAGCGTTATAACTAAGTGTTGGTTTTAAACCTCAAAAATACTCACATAACGAGGGATTTTCTATGAGTTCTGACTCATAATATCTGTCAATTACAGTAGTTACTCTCATTTTTTATAAAATACCCACAACCTATCGCTATATGAAATATTCTGGTACTCAGATGAAGACATCACATTATTTGATAGATTCACTTTCATTCTGTCTTTGGAGGAACGAGGTATATTTTACATCAAGTGAAGTACAAATGCATCATAATGCTCTTCACAAAGTAATATTATATATACAGTGAAACTGCAAGAATTTGAAGAGCTGAATAAACCTTTGATGCTGAAATTATTTATTTTACACTGTACAGATCATAATCCAAATAATATAGACGTACTAATACACAATACATGTTCGTGGCATTATTTATTGTGTGCAAACATGATGATATGGCTTTTGAAGATGAATTCTGCAAAAAGAATTATTTGTAAATCCATTTTTAAACATGGTTTTTGGAATCTACTTTAGATTGGAAATAAAAGGGGTCCGTTGTAATGGATTAAGATTGGTGTCGGGAACTCCTCATCGCATCTAAATGTATATTACCGAATAAAGTGATAAACCTTACCTCAATTTTAATGTGTAATGTATAACAACAAAATGGTGTAAGGCCATTGCCGTGTATTTTTGAGCGAAAATCCTTCCGTGTAAACTTTCTATATAACGACAATTGCCCATCTTCACTTACATGTTAGGTTAGCATTTCTGATGCTTTTATTTATATATTCACTATATTTTTGGTTTGCATCACGTTAGAAGGACCAGAGTCAGACAAAAATACTCACTCTTCCCTTTTATTCTTCTGGTGGTTGAAGACCTCCACAACTTAGGGGAAGCAGATGAACTACCCGTTCTATTCCATACTTACGAGCATATACAAGTCAAGACAACCACTTTAGCTGAAGCTTCTACATCGGTAGGCTTCAGCATACACAAAGAAACAAGTCAAGATCCTCAAATACAACAGGAGGAACACCAATCTAATCACACTCGATGAAAAAGCTCTGGAAGAGTTTACAACTTTCACACGCCTGGGAAGCATAATCTATGAAAAAAGAGGTTATGATGCAGACGTAAAGGAAGGAAATAGTAAAGCAAGGACAGCATTCTTACAACAGAAAAACATATGAAACTGAAAACGACTGTCAACCAATATAGAAGTCACAATCTTCAATACTAACATCAAGACAATTCTACTGTGCGCAGCTGAAACGTAGAGAACTACAACAACCGTGAGATAATTAGGAGTAGTTGAATTATAGTGGGAACTAGAAATCCCAGAAATAACGCAATTTAGCTGAGAAGTACTAAATGGGAACGAATTATATATCAAACAGTCATCACGTACAAAGGAATCATTGGTTCATACAGACACCACAAACCATCATCAAAAATATGCAAGTATTAGTAACCAAGTAGGAGATTTCAAATCTCGACACTGTGTGTTCATTGGCCTCCCTCTTTTCATCACATCTTGAAGATCACAAGTTAGCACTTGTCTCTTGATGAAATATGATGATTTCCACAATGAATTTTCCAACCACTCACAACGACTTTTTGCAATTTTCTCTTCAGCTGGAAGCTGGTTTGTTCTCTCCCACAGTAGGCTGCTGCTGATGGTATCCAGTCGACGAACATTCAGAATCTTACCTGGACAATCGATTAGCAATATTTGCATATTTTCGATAACGGTTGTGGTAATTCTCTACGTTTCAGCTGAGTACTTTAGAGCTGTCTTGATGTTCGTATTGAGGATTGTGACTTTGATATTGGTTGACATTTGTTTTGAGTTCTATATGTATTTAAAGAAGCCGGATAATATTTTACCTCTCTAACTAACTGTTCAAATTGTAAGTTGTGGTGGTTCCCAAACCAAAGGAGCTTACACAAAATATATTGATACACTAGGTTAACAATGATATACCAAAACAAATTAATGGCAAAGAAACCTAGATGTCTGTCCGTTAGTAAAAACAAAGGTAATAAAATACCGTTAGCAATATAAAAGGTATATTAAACAAACAGACGCTAACAGTTACTATAGAATGAATGTTACTTGTTAACTGCCACGTGAGAACAACGACCACAAACTGAGTTCACTTGATTGACAGGTGTTCCTCTCCAAGTGACTGCACCAATGACGTAATGAGGAAGACGGAGTCCAATAGTATTATACAATAGTAAACCGCGCCAAAAGTCCAACGTTGAGTCGGAAGGCCTATAATGATGTTATAATACTATTATAGTCTTCAATCAAAACGGTGGCCAATAAAACAGAAGAACAACGGCGTAGATAGTGTTCTATATTTTAAACAACGCGGTAGTAGTATCGTATATCATTCATCGAAACAAAAATTATCGTCTTTTTAACAAGTGATACAGCAAAACAACAGATATTGAATAAAAATGTGGTTAGAAATAAGGTGTGACAAATTGGAGAAAAAATGTGGTTTTATTTTTGTTGTTACAAAAATCACTGAATATATGTCACCATATAACTCCCCCCCTAGGGCATGCGTCAGTGAAAGTATGCCCGACGTAAAACTCTAAATGCTTTGGAGGGAGGAGAAAATTACAGAACGAAAAGGGTAAACAAATGTGTTTTTTTTAAAAAAAAATAATAATACGTGTATATATATTTAAGAACAAAATGTTTGTCTTGTAGTAAAGAGACTTTAATGTATATAAAAGGTTTAACAACAATAACGGTGTATAATAATAATAATAATATCATTAGTAATAACGGTAATTAAATTGAGAGTTCATCGAAAAGTGTAAATACATGTATAAATTGTGTAAACAATTAGTGATAATCTGAACGAGTCCAACGAAATTGTATATGTTTGCACAATTAATAATAAACATCATATAAAACGCATACACATGTAGAGAGAAACACAATGAATTTATCAATATTAGTAGTACACAAGAATTTTTTTTAGAAAAAAAAATGCTTGCAAAAAAAATGGTATTAGTAACTCTGCTAACATAGATATTTAATCATATTACAGGTAATGACAGAATAAAGATTAAGTAATTAATTCAACATAACGTTTAGGAAAATGTACATGTCTTCCTGAACGAGTTGTTTTCGTAGAGGTTAAAGTGTCGGAACTAGGATTTAAATTTGTGGGAACTGTAACCTTAGAACTGTCTGTTTTACCGAATATTGATTTCGTCGGAGTTGGTGAAGAATTATTTGGAAACACTGGAAGCTGCGTTGTGTGATCACCGCTGTCTTTAGACGGCTTTCGGCTGTCATGTGTTTCAGATTCTATAAAAGCAGGTTTTATCCTGTCGATCGAAACTGTTTCTTTTTTTCCGTTCTTATTGATTGTGAAATATTTTGTTTGCCTCTCAACTACTTCAAATGGTCCTTCATAAGGATGTTGTAGAGGGCGTCTTACGGAGTCAACACGAACAAATACAAATTTACACGTATTTAGATGCTTGCTAACTTGCTCTTTTAAGACAACTGGCCGAGGTGCAACAGGCTTAATGTTATTCATATGACTCATTAGTCTTTCGCAAAAAGAAGTGGGATCCGTACATACGGGTTTGCCATTATGCGTCACTAGCTGCCCCGGTAAGGTTAAATTAGCTCCATAGACGAGCTGTGCCGGAGTACATTGTAGGTCTTCTTTAATTGTGGAACGTATGCTTAGTAAAATAAGAGGTAGAGATTCACTCCATCTAGAAACATCAGGCTGTACCATCAATGAGCTTTTTAGTTGTCTGTGGAATCGTTCCACTAGTCCATTCGCTGCTGGATGGTATGCTGTTGTAGTGATGTGATGGATTCCTAAAATGCGGGTAAATTCATTGAAGAGGTGAGATTGGAACTGTGAACCTCTGTCAGAAGTAACTGTAGAAGGTACACCGAAATTAGCGATCCATCTGTCGAGGAATACAGCAGCAACATTTTCCGCGGAGATATCTTTTATTGGGCATGCCATTGGCCATCTAGTGAAACGGTCCACTGCAGTAAAAATGTAAGTGAATCCATTAGATGGAGGCAGAGGACCAACTAAATCAACATGAACATGTTGAAAACGATGGTCGGGTAGACTAAATGCTGACGGTGTTGTAATCGTATGTCTATGTATTTTACTACGTTGACATTGTACACAAGTCCTGGTCCATAGTTTTATATTTGCATTCATCTTTGGCCAGACAAATCTTTCGGCAATCAGTTTCACAGTAGCACGAATCCCTGGATGGGATAGTGAGTGAAGACAATCAAAAACTCTTTTCTGTACACTATTGGCACAAAAGGTCTGTGCGTTCCAGTAGAAGTATCACAAATGATAGTAGAGTCAGAATGCGGTATAGGAACACTTTTTAAGGACAAGCTCGAACTTTGTTTACAAGCATCAAGGTCAGGATCATCTGTCTGCAAACGTGCCATGTCTAATAAATCGATTCCTTTGGTGAAGGAAATTGCATCGACGTTGAAACGTGACAAAGTATCCGCAACAACATTTGACTCACCTTTTATAAACTGTATGTTGGTCGAAAATTGGGAAATATAATCCAATTGTCGCATTTCTCTAGGGGAATAACGGTCACTTTTCGCGTTAAAGGCATAGGTTAAAGGTTTGTGATCAGTGAGTATCACAAAGTCTCTGCCTTGCAGTAAATGGTTAAAATGTTTAACAGCTAGATAAATAGCCAATAGTTCTCTACCGAAAGTGCTATATCGAGTTTGGGTTGGTTCTAGCTTCTTTGAAAAGAAGGCAAGTGGTTTGACCTCATTATTAACTCGCTGTTGTAGTACTGCACCTACTGCTGCCTGTGATGCATCTGTACACAGAATTAGTGTTGCTTCCGGATCAGGGCTTAAGTAGGTCAGCATGGTAGTAGAAGCGATTGCTGTTTTAGCTGCAGAAAAGGCATCTTTCGCTTGGGAGGGTAATGTGAACTTTTTGACTTTACCTTTTAACACCTCTGTCAAAGGTTGTAGGATGGCTGAGCAATGTGGAATAAAGCGACGATAAAAATTTATCATCCCCAAGAAACGTCGAAGTTTATTCCATGAGTCTGGTTCTGGAAAATTCTTGATGGCTTCTATTTTTGTATCCAAAGGTTTAATTCCACGTTTGTCGATCAAGTGACCTAAAAACTCTAAGCTCTCAACTCCGAAAATACATTTGGATGGGTTAATCACTATGCCATATTTCTGAAATCTTTCGAATAATTGATGTAGGTGATCAGCGTGTTCATGGAGCGAACTGCTAGCTATTAAGACATCATCAATATACACGAAAACAAAATCTAGGCCTTTAGTGACCTCATCCATAAATCGTTGAAATGTTTGTGCGGCGTTCTTTAATCCAAAAGGCATTCTTAGAAATTCAAACAAACCAAATGGAGTAATGATGGCTGTTTTTGCAATGTCCTCGGATGCTACTGGTATCTGGTGGTACGCTCGCACAAGATCGATTTTAGAAAAAATTTGCTTGCCATGTAAAGTGAGAGAAAAATCATGTAAATGAGGGATTGGGTAACGATCTGGTAATGTTAGGTTGTTCAATGATCTATAATCACCACAAGGTCGCCAATCTTGGTCTCGCTTGGGCACCATGTGGAGTGGGGATGCCCAGGGGCTACTTGACGGACGTATTATACCTAGCTGCATCATATGATCAAACTCAGCTTTTGCAACATTCAGTTTGTCCGGTGGTAATCGGCGTGGACGTGCCGAAGTTGGTTGACCTTTTGTGATGATCCGGTGTACTACAGAATGTTGGACAGTGTTTTCACTGTAGTCTGGTTTCGTTATTTTGGGAAATTTAGATAGAATGGTGGCGAATATGTCGTTTCCTGGGGTGTCAATTTTAATACTATGTATGTGGTAGTCCGACTGAATTCCCTGGATTTGAAGGTTCGTGCAGGAATCAATAAGTTTTCTTCTCTTAACGTCAACTAGTAGGTTGTAGAAACTTAGAAAATCTGCACCTAGTATAGGGTGACGGACATCCGCAATAATGAATACCCAGGTTAAATTACGTCTAATTCCCAAGTCTAATGTTAGAAATTGTTCACCAAATGTCTTTATTTCGGTTTTATTAGCTGCCCTTAGGGTATATTTTCCACTCTTAGCAATAGGTTTATTGGCTAAGGTAACTGGGATGACACTAACTTCAGCTCCAGTATCTACTAAGAATTTGTAGCCTGAAGTTTTATCAAGAACGTGGAAAAGACGAGTAGGCGCACGACCAGAAACATTTGTCGCTACCATGGTTTGGTTGACACGTTTTGGTGAGGAAAATGACTTGAAAAATTTACAAGACGTAACACATTTCCTGGCTCTGTCACCATATTTTTTATGGTACCAACATATGTTGTCGTCGTTTTTGTTTCCTTTTGAGTTATCTCGATTCTTACTCCCTCGAGAACAAGAACGAGGTCTTGTAGATGTGAAATTGGAGATTAATAATTGTAGTGCATCCAGTTTATTTTCAAGACTAGCGACAGTTCGTTCATGATGTGCTCGCAGTTCGCCTAGCTCAGCAGTTAACGATGCCATGGTGGGAGTTTGCTTATCGTTCGAAGTTTCTAATATTGTCTGTACGTAAGGTGTAGTACAGGGTGTAACTTCTAAAATTTTATCGGCCATGTTAGAAAGACTCTCTAAATCTGATGGTTGGCTAGAGGCGCAAAGAATTTGCCTAACTACTGTTGGCAAACGTTGTAGCCAAATCTCCTTGAGGAAGGCGTCATCAAATTTATATGGGCCAGCTAATTGTCTCATGTGTCGTAATAATTGAGACGGTGATTTGTCGCCTAGCTCACAATCGTGCAGTAATTGCTGTAATCTCTTTTCATCAGATAATGAGGTACGTTGAATAATTGCCTGCTTCAATTGATCATATGGATTAGGTGCAGGAATATTATCTATCAAATCTGACACCTCAGATGCAACTTCAGTGGGTAGTAATCCAAGCACAAAAGAGTATTTAGATGCCTGTGAGCGTATGTTGCGACGCTGAAATTGTACTTCTACTTGCGCAAACCAAATGCGAGGATTTAATCGGCTGAATGGGGGCACATTTATCAAATTTAGAGCGTGTAGCTCTGCTGAAATGTTATCCTGGCTAATGCCTTCAGTTTCGGATGAGTACATTACAAATATACGAAAATTTAAATACTACCAAGGGTAAAATAACGCCGTAATGTCTGTAAGTGAACTCAAAAGTAGTTTCGAGTAAAAAAAATTTTTACGGGCTCACCAAATTTGTGGTGGTCCCCAAACAAAAGGAGCTTACACAAAATATATTGATACACTAGGTTAACAATGATATACCAAAACAAATTAATGGCAAAGAAACCTAGATGTCTGTCCGTTAGTAAAAACAAAGGTAATAAAATACCGTTAGCAATACAAAAGGTATATTAAACAAACAGACGCTAACAGTTACTATAGAATGAATGTTACTTGTTAACTGCCACGTGAGAACAACGACCACAAACTGAGTTCACTTGATTGACAGGTGTTCCTCTGCAAGTGACTGCACCAATGACGTAATGAGGAAGACGGAGTCCAATAGTATTATACAATAGTAAACCGCGCCAAAAGTCCAACGTTGAGTCGGAAGGCCTATAATGATGTTATAATACTATTATAGTCTTCAATCAAAACGGTGGCCAATAAAACAGAAGAACAACGGCGTAGATAGTGTTCTATATTTTAAACAACGCGGTAGTAGTATCGTATATCATTCATCGAAACAAAAATTATCGTCTTTTTAACAAGTGATACAGCAAAACAACAGATATTGAATAAAAATGTGGTTACAAATAAGGTGTGACAAATTGGAGAAAAAATGTGGTTTTATTTTTGTTGTTACAAAAATCACTGAATATATGTCACCATAAAGTTCATAAAAGTGCAGCATGGAAAAGCATTGCATCATACCTGAGGTCAGTGTACGACAAATACCCCAACTTTAAATTGCGTATTTGACTGGAAACTATCTCCTTACTCTTAATGCCTAACTCTAACCTTTTACCATCATAAGTGTGTAGTGACCTACTTTTTCCAAGTGAACGCGATTGGCATAATGGAAACAATTGTTATTATTATAACCAATTGTTCCAGTGATTGTTTTTACTGTGCTTGTTTGTTTAACTGTGCTAGAAACATACATTTTTCCGTTGACTGTGAACTTGCACGCTCTCGGTAACGCTCGGTAGTTCCACTTGTACTCTGGCACGATTTCGGTGTTCTTTCGATACCACGAGATTGCCAACAAATATACCTTATAAAGACCGTCAATTGTCTTCCGGTCTCTGGCCTGTGAAGGGATTTATCGCAGTAACTGGCACGTCGATCCAGTGTAGTGATGATCATAGTCAACCACAACTCGACACCACGCTACAACCCTAAAAATGATGTCAGTTAATGATGAAATTCCTGCAGATTGACAACCTCAACTAAGAATAATGTCTCGACACCCAATATGTAAGCTTGACTTTCTTCCATTACTACAAATGATAAGTCGGCACGTGAACGTCAAAACTGCTATTACCCTATTATTTTACTTTATTTTATTGTTACTGTTCTGTAACCAATCAGCGTTTCTAGATTGATTGATGGGCCACTACAGATCATCACTATATTATACTTCAATCGAAAGATTCCCAAATGAATTATATTTGTGGTGGGAAAGATAGGGATGAACTTGTTTCACCTGTTATTGGATAGAAAGCTCATCACTGATGTGTATTTGTGACATATTTAAGATTTTTCAAATGGCAAACATAGTTAGAACTATGATGTAATACAGACATCTTCGAGTTGTAGAAGAATAATTCCATCATACGAGGATGCCTTATTACTTTATTTATATTTACGATACGCTCCATAATGTTGAGTACGTTTTTTGAGGTTTACATAATTTCGAGTGTCTTTGTTATATGTGTCACCAAAGAATACGCTTATGCAGTATTGACATGCCATGAAGACTACAGTTATTGGAGCCTCTGAAGTCTGGTATGTGTGGATGTAATATGCCTTCCAATATGATCATAAACAGATGAAAAGTAGTACGTTGTTGTTTTAGTCCTCCTAGAATCGTAGTCATATTGGTACTACTGGAATTAACTATGAAGTTGGATGCAGTCTTGAGAAGTGTGGTTAGCCAAAGAGTGGATGTGCCAAGTTGGTACCAAAAGTTTGGACAACACACTATTTGCTCGATATGCTTTATGGAAGGGTTTGAAATAGAGACGATGCAATCAGCAAATAGTATTTGAGTGCAGGTTCAGCTAGTTGTAGGTCACCTTTTAAGTAATCCAGATTTAGATGATCGTATTTGTTTTGGAATAAATTTTCATATCGTTCCTTCGGTGGTAAATGTTCAAGTTCGTACTCATACTAATGTCATTAGAAGTTTGCTTATATTAATGGTATAATTTCAGTTGATATATCAGACATCGTTATTTGTTCATAAGTGTACCTTCTATGAAAGTTCTTGCTGCTCACTATCCTCTGGCCTAACTAAAACATACAAATGAGTGCTTCACGTCGCAACTCTGATACGAAAGACTGAACGTCAGTAATTTCAATACTTCAACTTCGCTAACATACTGTGATCATAATTTATACTAATTTATTGTGGACCGTATGATTGACTGAACTGACAGCTGTGTTGAATGTCGCTGTTATGAATACACTTATAGTGAAGCTAGATATTTGTGGTGTTTGTACTAAATAACGCTTCCTTTGTGCTTGCTGAATGCTTGATTTCGAATTCCAAATACAGTTCATTCGTTCGTGCTTATCTAGTACTTCTATATTAAATTGCGTTATTTCTGGGATTCCTAGTTTGTATTAGTGTATACATGGAGGAATTCTCGCACACTAAACTTTCGAAATGGATCTTACAATGCCGTTCTTCGAACTTACCCCCCCTAGTGTACATTTTGTGCTTATTACTGATGCATCGCCCGTGAGTATTGGCACAGTTTTGGAGCAGGAAGGTAGACCAGTTATTTGTGTTTCACGCAAACTTTCTGTTACTGAACGAGGTTATTCACAAACTTAGTCAAAAGCATAAGCTGTGTTTTGGGCTGTTAAAAGATTTATTAAATATTTATTCGGGAAGAAATTCACTATTTTTTTCTAAAGATGAAGCTTTAAAGTTTATTTATCATCCTGAAAAATCTTATGCAAGTTCCTCAGCTGCTATGGTTCAACGATGAACTGTTTCTTTGAGTGCTTATGACTATATGGTTCAGCACAGGAGTGCCAAACAAATTCAACACGTTGGCTACATTTCTCGACAGTAATTACACGATAGACCTGTTGATACATCAGACTGTTCGTTAGTGCAAGCTTTAACAGTGAGACGTCCAAATCTCATTAGAGATACTCGTAGATATTTTGTAAGTATACTCAGTGCTATACGGAAAGGTTGAAATGCTACTCTGAAACGTAAATTTCATGCCTACTTTTCAAGGTGGGATGAGCTATCCACTACTCCTGATGTTATTTTGTGCTTAAACGATCGTGCTGTTATTCCTCCTTGATTGCGTAAACCTGTCCTTGAAGATCTTCATAGTGGACATTTAGGTGTTGTGAAAATGAAGTCCTTGGCAAGGCTCATATGTTGGTGGCCATAGATGAATGCGCATAAATGGCCTACAGCGAACAATTTCGCAAAATGTCAACGGTTGGAAAGTCAGCCTTCGAAGTGGACTCCATGGCCAGTATCGTCTTAGGCCTGGCAGAGAATTCATGCAGAATATTTTGTCTGCTTCTTGGAAAATACTATACACTTGTTGTCTTTGATTCTTTTCCAAAGTGGCTTGAATATTTTTCGCAACTTCACCAAATTCTGACTTCACAATCCAAACCTTAACAAAGGTGTTTAGTCGAGAGATGTCTAAACAGTTAAAGATTAGCGCAAAATTGGTCTATTACCCACTAGATTTATTACAGAAACTGAAGATGCTGCTGAAGCCAGCGGACGTTTGTAGTCTACTTGTACGTGGTTCAAAATGTAAACAAGTCAGCCTGAATTATGTTATACAGTCAACTCCACACCATCATACTTGCGAAACCGAGAAGAATCTTATTTGGCTTGTCAAAATAATATCAGAAATCTGAACATACTATTAATAAGAATGTTTGAATGACTTAAATATCAGTAACTACGAAGAAACGACGTAACACATATTATGGCTCATAGAGATTGCCTCACGGATTTGGATGGGGGATTGAATTAATACAGCTCTATAATTTTCGACATGCATTTATCTCCTGACCAAATAAGTATACACATCAAAAACCTGGATGTCAACACCAACCAGGGCAATGAAGATCCACTTCTGAGCACCAGACAACGGGATTTCAATGAGAATAAATAGATGGCAATAGTAAAACAAACCAACTTCGTAAACTTACAAATGTCTATTATTTGAGCGAAATAAAAAAGTTGAGAGAAATAATATCTCTACATAAACCATTCTTCCCATTCCATCTTCATATTACCAAATAATTACTAAAAACTGAATGGAATAAAATGTTCAGGATGGATGGTAAAACTCCTGAATTACACCACAAATTTATGGCACAACGTTTTACATTCAGTTAGATAAGTTAACATAGAGGTAGTGGCGAAGCTCAAAAAGAAGAGCTGCAGAAATCTTGCGTTTGCTGTATCCCAGGATACTTATCGAGTAGTGGTTGATAAAGTGGGTCTATCGTATGCTTATTTGTGACTGTAGATAATCTGCAACCAGAAAAAACTTACTCAAACGAATAAATTAGTGTTTCCAATTCGCCGCAAGAACAATAATTTCTGTGCCAGTGTCGACGAGGTAGCGAACTCTCGTTGTCACATCTGTGACGTATAACCGACGGCTATGTTCGCCGGCTTGGAAGTTTCCCGAGTTGTTTTTCGAGTCAGTTGGTTTTGAGATGGGAAAATTGCAGGGTTTTCCGCAATTTCTGGAAGACTTTCCATACTGGTTGTGATACCAGCACCAGTCGGGATTATCCGTCTCTCGTGGTCTGGAAACAGATCGCTTACGTGAAGTGCATCTACGTGGGGTGTGCGAGCGATTACGGTCGTTATGAAGATCAAGGTTACGCGTGAGTGTATGACATAACTCGCTTATGTCATTCTGAGTCGTGTGAGGCTTTTCTGTGACTGAAAATACCTCGGTAGTAGAAGATTTTGTAATTTCTAAGATACGATCGGCAGACGTAGCCAGTTCGTCTAAGGCGTTGTTCTGAAACGAGACCAGAACCGCTTGCACCTGTTGGGGAAGTTTAGACAAGAAAAGTTGTTTGAATAGGTCTTCGTCGAAAGTTCTTAGGCCTATAACCTCTCTCATCCTTTGCAACATGTCCGTCGCAGAACCGTGTTGTAGGTCTATGTTATTAAAGTGTTGATCTAACCTTTGTCGATCGGTTAGGTCTCCTCGTTTAGAAGTCGAACGTTTTAAGGTTTCGTAAGGTTCAGAAACATCACTAGTAAACATACTAGGTGTTACGTACCTGTTGAATTCGCGCGGTAGTGCCTTGACTACTGCGAGGAATTGTGTACGTGTGTCGTTCACGCCGTGCTTGTGGGAGTCGGCTTCTGCGTGACAGAACCAGGCTTCGATATTGTCAGGCAAGAAGGGCATGAGTTGGAACGAGGGTGGAGACACGGTCTTAATCTTAAATACTTTAGGAGTCTGTTCAGTCATAGGGGAATATTAAGTACGAGAATACACGAGTGAAAAAATATATAGATATCCTGAGGCACGGGGAAAAAATATCACAATGTATAAAAATTAAAAAATAAGGCAATAATATATAAAAATCCAAAAAAGGGACAGACTCACAGTTGCAATTAGGTGTACCAGATCACGTCGGTCTCATCAATGATTATGGCACAGGTATTCAGTGTTTGACAACGTTTTACCAGCAACACCTTCTAACATAATTCGTACCCACCAGGAGAAATCAAAAGACAGAGTCGAGGAGATTGGAAGAGTGTATTTGGCGATAACCAAAATATCGGAATTCTCTGATGTAGTCTGGCTAGCGATTGCAGTAGACGTTAGGCACGGCGTTCCCACACGTGATCTGGTGCTGATGCATGACCGAGCGCCTTCATCGATGTGAGTCCATTAAAACATGTGGTCAGCATCTAATGTCGAAAAATTACAGAGATATTTATTTTGGGGATTTATTTACCGCTACAGAAGTACGGTCAGTAAAAATCACTAAGGAGAAAAAAATGCATGCTTAATCTATATTTAACTGGAAATGCAGCACTCTTCACAATCATTAATGCACAAAAGTTGTTAGAAAATAATACATATTGTCGACTTCTTGGTAAAAGTAAATGACACTTCTCGAAACCAATGATTGCAGTGTGATTGTGACCGAATGAAATAATAATCTGCACGAAGGAAATTGCAACAAAAGTTTCTTAGTAACTGATCATAATATTCCAAGACCATAACATTGAAGAAATCGATCATTCCCTCATGCAAAATCGAGTTACGTTCCTTGCGAAGTGATAAGTATTTTGAAAAGTGTTCGAATATTGCTCCATATTCCGGTCACCTGGTATTACATTCGAAAAATAGTTAATTAGTTATTCAGTATATCAAATAGCAAACAAACAAGGCATTAACGAACGAAGAGCTGAGAAGTAATAATTCGTGTAATTAATTTTGTTTTTTAATGCACCAAATTAGCTGTCATTTAGCATATTACTTTTGACTTTTACGTTACGTTCGGCCACGAATAAGAGATTCTCAAATTCCGAAAATGAATAATAAAAATATTTTAATTAAACAAATGTTCATAATTTCAGAATAGTCGCTCGTCGGTATTTATTGTTTTGTAGATACATATTGGAGAAGGTGTAAGGTTTTTACAATCATAAAATATGTAATGATTTAGGTTTTCATTAGGAAATGGATGATAGCGTTGTCACAGTTGCAAAAATTCTTGAAGCCTTCCGTATTCATTTGAGTAAATTGGATTTCAAATGTGAAACCAATGATGTTCAACCTTATTCGTCCATTTCTGATCATGTATGTTTCATATCGTAAGTAATGTTTTAGGAGCTACCAGTGAGCAACGATGTCGTCAACTTTTTTCTGAAAGTGGGTGGTTTTGTGTTGTTGTGCGAAAATGCACAATGCTTAAATCCTATGTCTTTGAGCAAAGTGCTTCATGAGTTACTTTCTTCTCATCTATCTGCAAGAGTTTTGGCTTCATTGTTGTATCGTGTCTACCAATCTCCAGACACTTGGGTACCTTTCAATAATGTCGAATTTTCTAAAATCCTAAGCCTTCTTTTTCAGCCGGTTTATTTTCACTCTTGCATACGATTCCATTTGCTTCAACACCAAGTTCCTATTTTAGTTTTCCAGATGATGCGTATTCCGTATGTAATGCTTATTCTAAATTTTGTTTCAGAATGTTTCGCTACCACCCACTGATAAGTGGCCAAGCCAAGCTGGTTGGACATTCCACTGCTGGATATACCGAAAACGTTTAACAAATAATAAAATGCATTTATATTGGTAGATTAATTTCTTGTCTGTCTTACAACCATTCATTTCAAGCTTTCAAACTTATGATCGGTTAGGATTCTCAGCTTATTTTATTAACGAAGTTCTGTTTTTATCTGTGAGTCGTAGCAAGGGGAAGGTTGATGAGTTTCCGATCAATTTCTCTTTCTGTCTTCATGAGGTTTGTTAATTTATTTTGGTGATCAGTACTCTCATTTTAGTGGTTCATGCTTACAATTGTTCATTCGTTTTTGCGGTGGGGTGGTAGTGGTATTTTTTGCTACGTTAATGGTACGTTGGTGTCAAATGTGGACGTTACATGGCATCTAAATACCTGTGAGGTATGACATTTATTTTTGTTTAAGTATTATGTACTATATTATTAATCGTTATCTACCCGTTCGTACTCAGAATATCTTTACTTAATGTGACAAAGTACTATATGGATGAATTTCCATCCTGTTCCCTTTGATGTTGTTTTCTGTTTACACACTTCATTATTGGCGTTTGAGAAAGATATCCAGTTAACTAGAGAATGTTTCTTAATTATGATTTGCTTTTTACTTTTAATGCTTCAATAAGTTTTCCAACAGGTTTTAAGGTTATCAAATGAAAGTAGTCATAACATTTTATTCACCTCGTCATACTGGATATTTGTATTCTGTCAACGTTTCCTCACTATCCAGAAAGTGGATTGATATTTTTTTATTTCAAACCTCGTACTTCAAGTGTTTAAGATGTAAATTTATCTTCTAATAGATGGTATAAATCAAAACATTTTTTGTCAGTTGATTTTTTCCTTGTGCAGGGCAAACAGTTTTTATGCATTGTGCAGTACCACTATCCGCTTCCATACAAGTCTACTTACTTGCTTCGGTTGTAGATTTTCCAATATTTGTAGATGTTTCTCATGAACAAATGAGGATTCTCATAGTTTTAGGAGAATGTACTAAAATGACTGACAGACAATTTGATCTGTATTTCTAAGTAACTATTCAGGTTTTTCAGAAGTGTTTATTCATTTGCTTCCCAGTTTTAAGTAGTGTAAGTCACTGGTAAATGAAGCGTTGTTACAGATGCTACCTTGGCTTAATAATCGTTATTTCTCGTGACGACTCAATTGGCCTACATTTGGTGGAACATTTTAAGTTCTATAATCGCAAACTAGTTAGTTGGATTTTGATATGACAAAAGACAGTAAATCTTAAGTTCGTGGATAAATTATTTTATCTGTAGTGAGATTCGATGCCTGTAACTTGTTTACCATTCTTCCCGTCTTTTAACAACAGAATATAAAGTCTAAAAATGTTAGAACGTGAAACTAAAACTCTTCATCCTGTTTCCAGAACTTATGTTATCGATAAGCATTGAAGTCTGTAAAGCTAATAAATCAGAAACCATTTACAAAAGGGTATGTTTCACAGGTTTCAAGCAGCCGTCTGTTGAATATCGTCGGTCATGCTTTTGGGTCGTCAATACCCCTCCTAACTTAGTTTCCTTTCTACACCCTCCAATAAATGTTTTCTTGCATTGTGTGAGCAATGCGGATGTTCAAATGTCCACTTACCCCTAAAAACACGTGTCAATCTTGTTAAATGGTCAATGAGGACACTAGCTTGTACTTTTTCTTGCAGCTGAAGTTACCACTAAATAACAATCTGTAGTCCAAGATACATTTTGTTTTTCTAATAATACTAATTAATAGAACATTCACTTTTGGACTAACAAGTTTTTAAATTTTCAAGTTATATTTTTCAGAACTGTTAACCTGAAATATTCGTTCATACACATGTATACATCTTTTCGCTCTTGATACCTGATACTATCAATTTAGTTTTCCATTTCATTTCTGAGGTGTTATTAGATTGTGTTTTACTTGAAAACTTATATGAATTCGTACAATGATCACCAGCGTTTTATTTATCAATTAACGTATTTTACTATAGGTTTTTAAGACATGTTTAATCGGTCAATCCAGTAACACTACAAATGGAGATGGTTTTTGTGGCCATATGTCTAACATTATGGGGTTTGCGGAGGCTCTTACGCCGGAACAAATCAGTTTTATTTACTGTTTAGGTCCAAAGTACCAAGTACGTTTACACGAAATTGTTCCACCATGTATTGTTCTGAATTTACTATTTGTTTAGCTTGTGATTTTCTAGGAAGGCAGTCCGTTATCTAGTGAAGAATGCTTTAAGTTTTGTATTAGAAAATCCAGTAATCTGAATCTAACTGTATTGATAGTTTTCCTTGTAGTTCTATGGCCTAACATTTTTGTACACCCAAGTTGGTTATAAATTTATGTTCCTCAAGGATTAAAGTATTATTGATTATTACTGTCCGTAATAACGGACTATTCCGTGTAAATCGATACTTCCTAGTAATTCTGATAATATTCTTTGATCAACCAGCTAAATGATAACTGTTATTAGAGTGGTTTAGTAAGAAGTCTTAATTTGTTTCGGGAATTCAATATCAATGGTGCAGTGGTTTTGGTTTGGGACTGAATTTTCACACTCGTAATTGACAGAATACCTAAGTATTTACTTGACGAACGATCTGAATTCATTCAAATAATGTTTGACTGTTTGGCTTTTTCGGTATTAAATTGACCACTGTTATAATACGTTGGACCTTAAGCTGATATATGAAACTAGAATACAATTAGGCTGATAAAATATAATATTGATTTTGATATTCACAACTATTGTTGTACAAGTTGATCATACTCTCGGAGGCCTGTGAAGATATTTTGAAAATAGACTTAGTTCTTGTCTCGATCCATCGAAAAAATACTGAACGTTGTACACAACGTTATCATTGTTATCATCCTAAATGGTAGGTTTATGACTAAGTTAGTATTACTCTTTTTGGTTAAATCTAAGCCTGTACCTGAACACGTTAATTCTGAATTTCACACACTAAATTCTTTTATTTGCTTGTCGAAAATCACAAATAAATGGGAAATCGTAGGAACTCTCAAAATAATTATGTAATTTCTCTAGATTTACCAACTTAGAGTATCGCTTCATGATTTCTCTACCAGTCTAAGGAATATTCATTTTTCAAAATATATGTTAAAATGAAGGGCTTGAGTTTAAATTTGTGAGTTGCCTAGGGGTGGTTAGTGATTGGGAGACTTTGAAATCTTAAAAAATAAATAAAGGTTTCTTTCTCACTTTTCAACATAGTCTATCTATACCACCTATAAGGTATCTGACTTCTTATTAAATGGAAATACACTGTGACCCAAAAATAAGGACATTCGGTGGATAACAGTTAAGCATGTTTATGCGCGAACTCATTTTAAATATTGCTAGTTTGTGGTGAAACAGGCGGAAAAGTGGTTCTGAGGCCGCGTGTAGATTTTAACAAGGATAATAAATCCATCAGTGTAATTGTTCTCATACGTTGACTCATTTGTCTTTTTCATTTATTTCTCATACTAGTTTATACATTCTGATGTGAAATAGAGTGTGATTAAGTTAGGGAAAAGCTGATGATAGTAGCATCAAAAGCAGAACATCAAACCAAAATGTCACTTACCATCTGACTTAATTTTTTAGAAACCTTAATTCGTCGTTAATACGGTCATCATTTTTTACAGGCTATGCAATATAGTCCGAATTTCTTTACACTGTTGGAGATATGTTTGCCATTTATCCGAATCCTAATTATCCTGCTAATTTTAATTAATATTCCCACGTTAGTTTATTCCGTTCATGATATACTTATGTGCTTTGGTAAATTTCCGATGTTTGGTCTTCCCGTTGAGAGGTGCGGTAACCTGAAAGAATAAACGTTTGCTTAATGTTCTAGTGTTTTTTTCTTCATATCTATGGTTTTTACAGAACACTTATATAAATGCTACTGTTGAATTAGATAACCGTTGGCCATCACTGTGGATATCTAAATAATTGCAAGACTAAACGTGATTAATCTCATAGTCGAAACTTTATTACTGGTATTTTCTATACTATGCTGTCTGTAATATCTTTGTTTTCACTTATTTTAGTATATTTCAATAAATTTGCTTCCTAGGGTCAGTTCCATTTTGAAGCTGATATCTGTGATGAGTCTTTATCTAATCAAACCGAAATAATTAGTGACCTTAACAAGCTGTATACCTCCCTTGTGTTTGCATACAATCCTCTTTCTTGTGATGGTCGGTTATGTCTTAATCAGGCTGTAAACTTCCACCAGTCAAATCAAACATCTTTGCACGCTTTAATGAGTGAGGTAAGGTTCTATTTGTACTTTATATCGTGATAAAATAATCCTTTGCGATCTGTGTTTTTTCCATTGATAATACATCCGTTTTCTGTACTAAAATGCTTTGTATTGTACCTTATATCGTTTTTAAACCACAAGTAATACCGCGTTTTTACCGTCGCTTTACCAGCTAGTTGTGTGGGCTCGTAAAATGTCACGTGGATGAAATCCTCAAGTAAAAGTGCACTTTACTGACGATTATAAAATACTCCCTAGTTATAAAACAACGAACGATAAAAAGCTATAAAATTACAGTGGAATAGTGATTTCAATATGATGAATTAAAGGTCAAGTTTGCGTACTACAAGTTAGGCTAGAGTTGAGAGTTAAGTTCATCACCCTGTAGGGTTTTCGTCACTTAGTAACATGAGCTATCATGCAAAAGGTTAGGTTTAAATAATGGAATTTGAACTGTATTCGTGCTAGGACTACAAATTAAGTTTAAGGGTACTAACATAGCGACATCAGCTTTAATGCAATAATGCTTTTTCATCCTTTTGTTTAGAAGCTTAAAAAACAGGGATGAGATCTAGTGTCATCTGGAGTGGTAGGATACTATTTCGATGCACAAACACCGTTAACTATGTACTGAATCACACCAAGCGGTTTAACATACGATCTGGATTAGGAGTAGGTATTTATTGTGGTATAGATTAGGCACGATATTATATTCACTGTTCGGTTACGCAGTGGACATTTTTATTATCTTCAAACATTTTTGAAAACAAATATTTCCAATTTTTACCCAGTTATTCACAACATACAAGGTATTTAACACTGCTTTCATTTTCGTGCAAAAATAGAGTAGGCACCATTTAAATTCTGATAGATTCACTCGAGGCCGTCAGTATAATTTACTTTTTTTCAATTCTCATCATCCATTACAACGCTGTCGTTCATTGTGCGTCCCATTCCTTGAAAACTTGACCATTCGTTCCGTGTAGCTGTATGCATATCGTTTGGTGACCTCTAATACGATGTAACTAATACAAAATACGATCTCAGTTGCTCACTCCATGTCTCTCAGGGTCGAATTGAGCTTTTCTACAACGCGGTGTAAAGTAACTACATTACATACTGCTACTTTTTTAATTTTGATAAGAATGTCGTTGTCGTATCATAGTCTTAGATCAGTACATGTTTTATTTCTATTTCTCTTAATTAAACCAAAAACCTTGAAACTCCTTCTACTACGTTATAGTGTGAAATGTATGCTCACTGGTCCATTTTTCTAGTGATGACGCAACTTGTCCTGAGATTTTTCTTTCTTATAATTTCACTTAGATTAAGGAGCAACCATGTTTTTTTTAAGTAAACTTATTTGGTATTATTAGTGCAATATCTTCATATCAACTTGTCTGTTGTTTTCTTAGCACTTAATCAGGTGAAAATAATTATTATTGGTTCACAAAAAGCAAGTACTTTCTTGAAAATCTGTTCAATTTAGCACTTCATCCTTCTCTTTTCCATTTTATTAATCAGAATGTCTCTGCCGTAATAAACAGTTCAGTGTCTGATTTATTCATCAAACTGGGGGGCATGCACTTATTTTATCCTTTATTTAGTCGCTTAGATTGGCCTTCTGAGAAGTCTGTTGCTTTTGAAAATAAATTAAATGTTCTAGAAATACTTGCTCTTCATCCATCGTTTGCCAATCTTCAACTTTCTACACCTGAAATCCCGTAAGTATTACTTAATTGCGTTTTAAATATTTATTTCGATATTCTTTAGATTCTTAATGTTCTATTCATTTTATTTTGGTAGATTTATGTGTTGTTGAGTGACAGTTTTTTTCTCTTTATTATTCCTGAAATTTTTTGTTGAACTGTCTTGCAATATGGGACTAAGCCTTTCTTCAAAATATAGTGAAACAAAATGCCTAATTTTCGACATCTTTCTATCGTAGGTATGTTTGAAGCACCGGCTGTGAATAAGTAATGTGGACGTTTTAGGAGTAGTGAAATTAGTAGGGAAGGTTAGTCTGCTGATGAGTCTAAGGACGTTATCAACCAAGGCAGTTGAAATATATTTTAAGGATACAAAGTTACTACGTACCCTTACTGTGATCTAATTTATCTAATAATCTTATTAAAGCAAGAGTTCTGATGGAAGTTATCATTTTCAAAAATCTTAATAACGTGGTTTCTATTGTTTGCATGTGTGTTGTTTATTCTTTGAAGATTGGATAACTTTTTTCTTTTCTTGCTCTATTGTTCTACAGAACAATTCTGGTTCGCTTTATTTTTGGTTTAGTTCGTATGTCATCTACATTGAGAAGTCAATTTGTTGCAACTAAAGGTCTACTTATCATTGCTAATGCGTTAAATCAATCAGATATGAAGCATTTAACGAAGAGTTTACTGGATGAAATTACGAATTTCACGCTGTATTTACTAAAAATGATTAAATCAACTCATGACGAGTCGAACATTCACAGTAATTTAACATCAAATGTTAATATTTACATTATACTCATCAGACAAATGTATGGGTATTTCCTAAGTAACTCAGAACTATGGTGTAAATCTACCCTAGATGTAAGTTGTTGATTTTTTATGGTATTTCTGGAATATATATATATATATATATATATATATATATATATATATATATAAGGAGGAATACTGAAAAAGTAGTATTCTTCCGGTGTATACTATTGTATTTTACATTGAACAAGTAAAAGGTATATTGAAACTTACTTTCTATTTACCATGTCAACAGCTTTTCCTTATTTTTCTTCTGGTTCTGCAGCATTTTCCTAGGATTCTGATTAAACTAATAAAATCCACCTAACACAAACTTTCTTAATTTGGTTATTTATTCTCTGAAGAAGTGACTTACACTAGGTCACGAAACGTCAGAAAATCTAATTTTCTACTCATTGGGATATTACAAATATATTATTTTTATTTTCTTATACATAACTAAAAAGACATATCCTTATGGAATTTTTTTTAGTGTAAATGAATTAAACTATGAATTCAGTGGATAGGGACTATGTTTTGAAAATTGTTATAAAAGATTTTCGAAATAATAATATTTTTTAAAAGATAGAATATTTAGGAAAATGAAAAATGAATTACGAATTGTTAATTAATCAATATCACATAGGCAAATAGGAAAGTTTATCTATAATTTTTCTTAAAAAATCAAATAAATAAATTCTATTTTGTCGAAAAGTTTACCATATATGAACCAAATACTTCAGGATATGATTTTGTAATTGGGTTTTATAATCTAATTAAATTTTATGGAATTTTTCATCTAAATGTAATTGGTATTGTTAATTAATTTTGTTAAGAAAAATTTTAATTTGGTTACTAGTCAAGAAAAGGTACTATTAAGTGAGATCAGTAATTAGACAGTGTTCATATTGATCACTAGATTTTGTTAGTTAGAATAGATTGATTAAAATACTAGATATACATTGTACAATGTTTGTAGTTGAATGAATTCAGAGGTGATATAATCGAATCTATTCTAAACATCTGCAAATTTTTCAGTCCTTTTTTAATTCCATATTATTCCATCGATTTGAGATTATAAAATCCTTGCTTTTTTATATTAAGATCATCTTGGTTAGAACGAATTATTGTTTAACATTTGTAGAGTATGAAAGTAGTAATCTAAAGTCTATTGATTTAAATTTGTTCGTTACTGGGGGAGGTACTCATTAATATTTGGTCATCATCTCTATATGGTAACAGTGAATTTTGTCAACATGGTTTATACTTAATATTTCAGTAATTAATTAAGTTGATAGTGATTTGTAATTTTCAACCAATATTTTTTTTCGATTCACTCTCATATTCCTAGGTTCAGGAACAGTTGTATCAATTTTTAGCTACTGATTTTATGGAAGCTGTTAGTTTAGGTTATATTGAACGAATTGGAACTATAATTCATTGTTTAAACGCATTAAAATATTATTTGGCATTGACAAATCCCCGTGCACGAAGTGGTTATGAACTTTGTACACCAGGTAATTATTAAAAATATAACAAAACAATTTTTTTAAAATGTTACCGTTAATTTATGATAGCATTTATCCGTCTAATATTTAAATAAGTGTATGCAATTATTCATTTTTGTAAATAAACCCAGGGAAATAAATTCCTTTGTCGAATTGATTGTTTATTTTTAAAAATAATCGTAAACGTTGGCAGAAACGCGTATTATAAATAATTCACAAAACTATATGCTTGTGTTTTACGTGTTCGGCATTAAAGTTTAAGGTAGATAATTACATAGCGCTTCAAATAAATTTATCTCAAGCAGTATATACGTATTCCAATTACGAATCCAAATCAGAACTGTTATAAAATATGAAATATTAATTGAAACAATAAACTAATAGCCTCAGATGCTGAAGTTAATTCACCTACCAAATAACTAGATTGAATACTGAATTGTATTGTTAGCTACATGTGATATTTTATCTTATTACTACATTTCACACCTCCAGTTTAGTAAACTAGTGATAATAAATACCTTTTCTTATCATACTCAGTTTTCAGTGCATGTTAACTTCCCTACGTATGTATTTACGCTAGATTATAACTTTGTCAAATTAAGCATTATCTTGTGTAGTTTGGTTATTTCAGTTTGATTTGTGTAATTTCCTACCTTATATGTCTTTCAATTTGTTGTAATGTATAACACATCTTGACAATTACAGGGGAGAGGAAAGGGTTATAAATAGGAACACTATTTATAGACTCTTGGGAGGATACGCTGCATAAACTTCAGGTTGTGGATTTTTTTTCCACATGATAGCATGGATTGAATTAGTGTATTAAAAATGCTCACTGATCCTCACGATAGCGCCTAAATGTTTTTTTTTAAGATTATTTATGCACTGATATCATTTTTGAAATTTTTATTACTAGTTTACTTCATAATAAATAATTTTTGTTACAGCCATTATTGCAGTCACTACTTTCTGTAGATTCTTTGATACATGATTTTTTCATCAGTTATTGAAATAGTTCAATGATTGGAAATAATTCGTGATCAGAACAAAGATTTATTGTTCGTTACTTAACTATTCAGTAGTAAAGTCTGACTTTTAATCAATTACATAACGCAGTCATAGGCATCACTTCAAATTTATGCTGCGTTAAAAATGTTTAAAGCTTCTTATTTCATTTGTGATTCTTTGAATCTTCTTGCTGCTAATGTTAAGAACTCTAATTAATCAATCTATATTGACATATGTGCATCCTGAGCGCGGATTACCATTAAATCACAACTACTTATGAGCTAAGATGGATAATGTCCAGCAGTGGAATCCAAGACTGGTGTTTCATCCCTTTCAGGATTCGTTATCCAGATGCAACCACATCCTGCTGTTGATGTTTACGCCGGGACCTAAACGCAATGCTTTTCGCATCTAACATCCAACATGTTATCCGCTTAGCTATTGAATTCAGATAACCAAAAGTGACTGATCAGTTACACAGACCTTAACTTAGACTTTAAGGAACTCAAGACGCATAATAAAATAAATTTTTTCCCTGTTGCTCAAGTCAATGCCTATCTGTACTCAGTTTCTAAGTAGATAACGCGTTGTTTATTTAAAGCGAAAGGGATTTCTTTAAGTTACGGGGTGTTCATAAACACTAGGATGCACCTACGTCCTAGCTGATGACATTTGAATAAGGCAGAGTACGAGTTCTGGATTACACTGCTAGCTACTATTCAACTTTGATTAAAGAACATTAGTTCTGGTCGTATTGTAATGTATGAATTCATAATTGTGATTAGATACTTACAGCCGTGATTTTTTACTGTATTTCCCAGTTGAAGCGTATTGTACCAGCCGAATGCAGGTTGCGTAAGTATAGCTATTACTGCATGCATAAATGTTATTGAGAATTCTGCATGAAATTTTGGACTATATTAGATAGTGACTGCTTACATCGGTGACATAGTAATATAATCGTCTAATTATTGCTCTTCAAGATGACCTTTAGAGCATGCTGATTCACATCTTGATCACAGTACTTGTAAACGTTCAGTGTTTGTGTTTAAGCAAGTAATCATGTTGAACCGTTGAATCTTTTAAAATTAACTTGATATAGAATATTTGGATGGATGCTGTTTTATAATTCGGAAAATATGCTATCTGATAGAATTGATAGTTATGACAGTCACCTCTTATTTAGTAAAAAACTTTTTTAATAGACTATATTTTCTTGTTGACATTTTTCTGAATATAGATTTTGTTAGTGTCCGTTTGTGCACAGAATTCTTGAACATGCTTTCTAGTATATGATCTGTAATAATATCTTAATTAAAATATTTTTCAATAACTAGCTTTAAGATCAAGAATTCACCTATTCTCCTATGAGAAAAAATTACTTTCAGGGAAATACGGAAACCAACTATAAATTTGTTTATTGCTAGGTAATGTTGAAATGTATATATAATTCTGAATTGAATCATTTTGTTCATATTTTAAATAAGACCACGTACTAGTGCAATAGAAGACTTCAGGACTTGATGTAAATGGTGATTAAAAATGTCTTTGGTCCCTATCCAATTAATTAGCTTTATCGTTCAATTAACAAAATTCAGCTTTTAATTTTCAATGAACTACTCAAAAGATATGAAAATACATGATGCTAAGTGACTTATTTTAAAAACTCAGTAATTACTTTTGCTGATGTAAGTCTTAAAATATAAGTGTTCATTGGTGTTTAAAAGTGTTCTGAACACAGTAGTAGTAAATACATTCTCTCGTATTATTTGATAAATTGGTTTTTTAACCATTTGCCTTCATATGTGACAGAGAAATCAATGCTTTTAAATAAATAAAATCACTTATTTGGTTATATTTATCAATAAATTTACGATTGAGTGGTTAATGTGTCAGGTCTATTTTAGTTGATCTTGAACATGACACTATAACTCTTTTATATCCACACCATTTGGATGGTTCAATACCTATTGTACGCTTAAATATTTACCTACTGATTTCGTTGTTTTTACATATAATTACATTTGTTTTGTGTACTTATTTTTTGACAATCTTCATTGTCAATTTTTTACGTTATATTGTTTTATTATTATTAGATCATGAGATAATTGGTTCAGTTGAAAAATTGATTAAACTTCGTACAAACTTATTGATTTATCTGAAACGTTTATTTACACGTGGTGGAATTACGGATGATGAGATGCAGCTAATTCTAGCCTTTTTAACTACTGTCCATGAGGTAACATAAATCTCTTAGCCATCTTCATTGATCATTATTTTTAATAAATACTTAATTTAAAAAATATTCTTATTTATTTATAAGCGTATTATCAACATTTTCTGTTCTTCAGAATAAGTACTAAAAATTCTTCATCTAATAAAATTTCTGTTTGTTTATATTTTCATCTGTCACATGTTTTGGTCAGGGCTGATATTATTATTATTATTTATTATTATTTTGATTGGTACTTCACAAGGAAAATAAAACATGTGCGTTATTATTTGTTTAATTAAGTTCACGATTCAGCTTACATTTTCAACTTGAGATAACATAAACAGCTCAAATTTCGATGGAATACTTGCATTTGGACTAGTAAGGTTTGAGTCGAGAATTTGTTAAAGGTTACAAAAACGTATAAAAATGAAAGTAACTTGTTTTATTAAGATATATATGTACAATGGCGTCTGGCGTAACATTCGAATGTCTAACAATGTAAACTGAAATACAAAAAATAGCTGAATTTAAATTCTCTCAAATAAATACCATTTAACATGGAGATAAGTCTATCAGTACTTTAGAAAATTGAACTACGTTGAATTGCTTTATTATTCAGTGAACATACAGTGGAATTTTTTATCGCTTACTTTCACTTGTGCATATGATGCGTGTTCATCGTTTAGAGGTGAAAATAAAGCATTTAGTACAAGAGAAGTCACGTTTGGTTAGCTGATCCATTGAGCCAATAAAACATAAACTACAATGCTTTTATGGAATTTAAGAGTTATCAGTAATTTTTGGACATTACAGGATGTTTGTTTTTCATGATAATCTTTTTGAACGATCTTAAGTAGAGTGACACTCTATTTACCAACATAATTTAAATCCATCATCCAGGATCAGATTGTATAGCAGGTCTTCTTTCAAGGTTTTCGCTGATGGCATTATGGAGATTTCTATGTAGATATTGCTTCATTATGATGTTAGGAATGAGCATTTTGTCGTTTCAAGTTTAGGCTGTATATACCACCTAGCCAGCTGTCAATAAATGATTTCGCACATACTGCACCACTAAAGTAAAAGATAATGTCCTTAGATTAACAGATGAGAATCCCTTTTTTCCATTAATAGTTCTAAATCATTATTAGTGAAAGAAAAGTCCACAAATCCGGGTGGTTCTCTTAATGTTCTTTGTGGTATGCCAGAATGAACTTGTCGCCGCGTAACAAAAATTAGAGAAATCATTTGCCTACTAGATTACTATCTTGTACACATTCACATCATCGCTATAGTTCATATAAGTCGAGCTTGCAACCCTTTATTTTACTCGGTTCCCTAAATTTGTGATATCTGTGGATATTTGATGATTTTATTTGGTCGCCATTATTTTATGTCAACACTGCATGAATCATACTAATTTCAGGAGATATACGGAAAGGTTTTGTGACTAAAGCTGTAGGTGCTTTCTTTAAATTATATTTTCCGAGTAACTTGGGAAAGTTTCACTATCAAATTGGCTATCATTGTCACTCAATTCCAGTTGACTCAAATATCTTTATGTCTATGAATTTGATTTTAAAATCTGAGTATTAATATTTTCACTTATTCAGTTAAAAAGTATCTTTTCGTATAGCTTCAACTGTATACACTGTTTCTTCACGTCTACAATTTTAATTTAGCCGGAAAATATTCACGATGTACTTTACTTATTGGTCAGTACTTTGATTGAATTTCCCAATACATGTGGTCCAGTATTTGTTCGCACTAACGGGATTCATTGCGTATTCAAATTACTCACCTCTGAAGATGAACACGTTCGGATATATGCTATCAAATTATTCGGACTATATCTTGTTTATGGAAAAAAATTGTTAGTTAAAGATCATTTTCTACTTTTTGTTGTGTTTTTTCCCATATTCACATGATTACTGTTTGAGCGAATACTTTCAAACTAAATAATTCTCGTCAATTGTAAGCTTGCATATTGATTATTAGCCATTTCCTGTCAGGAGATTCACCCTTAATCCTTTTTCAACTTCATTTCTTTCTTCTTTCTTTATACTGATATATCCATTATCTCCAACTTTATTTTTAATTTAGGGTTTATGACAATACAATCGAATGTTTCGCTTTATATTCTCTTTTGGAAGAACGTTTGAATTCAACGTCTCCTCAGTTCACTTCATTAATATACAATGCATTATTCGAGGTAGGTTTTTGTGCAATTTCCCTTTGAGGTAAATTTAGGCATATGTTATCCATTTTCGTTTATGTATAACATTTTTTAATCTTTACTAGAAAATCCTGTTTTGTTCAAAATGTAGTGTTCCTGTCTAATAACCTTATCTCATCTGTTTGCAAAATAATACTAATGAATCAAATTTCCACCGGTAATATTTAATTAGTTATAAAATAATCACCCGACCTGATTTATACCTTTGATTGATCTTAAAAGAATTATTTGTTATCTCCTCTTTTAACATTACAATCACATAAAGTTAAACAAAAACCATTTTGGTATAAAACTCGGTCATACAAATGAATTTCATTTTAGTAGTGTTGAAACTTCATGGTAAAATTAAATGGTCTTAATCCTTAATCATTTCCACAAAAAATCCGTTTCTTCGTCCTTAATATCATGAATTGATTGTAAGTATTAAATGCAATCTTGTTATTAATAACAAAAGCTGTTATGATTTGTTCTGATTTTGAGATTCTAATAATTTATGGATCAATTCAAAGTATGATATAATATAATAAATATAATAATAGTAATGATTTCTTTGAGCTGAATGGTTCAATCTAAATTTTTCGTTATCGTCCTAAACAAAAACACAGTAAATTGCACTATCAATCATTAATTCATGAGCTTTCAGTTTTGCATTAATTTTTCTGCGGACGGATCGAACGAGCGGATAATGTTTTTATGTAATTTTTTTACACTGTGATGAATATCTTCTACTTACAGTCGTTCGTAATTATTGAACGACAGTATGTGCATCAATGATGAATAAATCGCAGGATAATAATTCAAAATTATAATTACAGTGATTATTAGATAGGTCTTTCTGAAATTCAAAAGTTCCACGCTTATAATATCAATGTTACTTGGATTTAAAGGACGACTTAATGATCATCCCTATTTTTGTTTAGATACTAGAATTTCATCTTGATAGTATTTTTGAATTTTTATGTGATTATAATTACATTTCTCGTTTATACGTTAAATATACCTTGATTTATTAAGTTGCCATTATTCGAGTATAGTTGTTGTTTTGTCTGAGTGAGGTACTATGTTCTTATGCCTGTTTTATATAGGTGTTTATTAGGTATGTTTTTACATTAAACTGAAATGTGTGATATTTGGTATCTTGCTAGCAGTGAAAACCAGGAAGGACGTTCTTTCTTATACAAGACAGGACTCGTGGGCTGGATGTATCTGCATCCTAATTTTGATGTTCACATTCAGATATGTGATGTGCCTTATATCACATGAGCATGGTATATTTGATACTATATCTGAACGGAATCTGAAGAAGCCAATGTAGAGAATTCTTAATTTGCATGAATTACGCGACTTTTTTTGAACCAGCATCATGACCATTATCCCCATTTTATTTACTTATAACTATCTATGTGTTTTCACTATCCTTCACACATTAGTTATGGCTCATAGCGTTTTATTTAAGCACGCAGTTATTTGTAATTTTCTTTGTATACATACATATCCTTCGAGAGATAAAGTGTAAATTGATTTTTAAAATAAGTATGTTAACTTTTGTATATCTTAGTTTCATTCACTATAAGTTAACACTGATATCCGATGAGTTTTCTTTTCATTTTAATGTTTTTGATCTGTAGGTAATGACTGAATGCGTTTCACCGAAAATTCTTATTAATCCTATTAATATTAATAAAACAATGTCAGTAATTAAAAACCCCGGTAAGAGTTTTCTAAAATTACTTTTCATCTTTATTGTTTATTCTGTCATTAAATAAACTATTTTTAATACGATAAATAGATATTAACTTGTTTGGCGCGAATAATACGTATTTGCCATCAAATTGTTGATATTCATGTTTTTCCGTTGTGAATGTTTCTTTTGAGGCGGATTGGCGGTTAAATCAGCTTTGAACTCTGTTCTGCTTTGATTTGTACATCTAGTTAATACCATCAAATCTTCACATGGATAATGACTGAAAGATTTGTGGACAAATATTCCGTGTATAGAATTGATCAATTTCATTTGACACCTACACTCTTTGTGAGCAAATGTATGTCTTAAATATAATTAACTCGTAAATGTAGACATCCTCTTAACAAACTGTTGTAACGAATGGACTGCAGGTTAGACGCGCAGCGTTTTATCGATCGATTACAGTGACACGGGAAACACGTAGTGAACGACCTAGTGCCCTGATTAGTCCGCTTCCCTGTCTAGCCCAGCCAGTTGAGTCTAGAATGCAAGTCACAGCCTCTGAGATATGAATCATCATATTTCAGACATACTCTATGTATATACCAACCAAACAGACCACATCGTACCATACAAATAGAAAACAACATTTACACAATATTTAACAAGTGAAATAAATATCGACAAATAGGAAATGTCCATTTAACTTCCTAGGACACCATTCGACTTAACACGATAATTATTGGTATATTCCTCTGCATACCTAACACAAACCCATTTCTTAAAGGATATCAATAAACTGAAAGTACACAATACCCTTCACTTTACAAAGCATTAACTATTGTTCCTTCACTCCTACGTAGTTTACTTATTCATTGACTTATTTTTATTTCTATATTTTTATTTTATAGCTGTGCTTAAAGTTATTGCACATCTTATTGCTCAGTCAGAACAAACAAATGAGATTTTATCCATTAAAGACACTTTTATTCAACATTTATTTATATTTTGTTCACAGAATCCATATAATAAAAAGTAAGTTCAATAAGAATTATTGAGATATTTTTTTACAACTAATTTAAACTGTCTCCTTTCCAAAATTCGTAATGATTTAACATTTGAAGAAAAAATGTACAAAATGAAACTTCTCATGAATACCTAGATATACATGAATGATAGGAAGTTATCGCGTCATCACGTTGACTGATCCAGTTGAACTGCAAAATATGCCTTGTGGTATATGATTTAGGTTCAATAATGTGTAAATAACTGAAATTTTCATTTTAAATGTTACCATATTTCTGAAAACCATCAAAGTAGGTGATACTCATACGTGTACGATCGTAAATAGTCTGTAGACGTATTTACTGAAGTTCTGTGAAAAAAAACAATAATTTTTGGAATCAGCCTAAGCAAAACTGATTCAGTTGTCGATTAGTGATATTATATGGAGATTGCTTTATTTCAAGAACGATTAAGTAATGGAAATTGAATCGCTGCTTGGTTGGTTCGCTGTTCACCATTATACCTGGAGATTCTCAATGAGATCGTGGGTTTGCGTTCCTGTGGAGCTCAACCCTGTCAACGAAACAGCTGTAGAACGATTTTTCCTTTTTTTGAATGTTTTGCCAGGTGCATCGTTTCACAGTGAAGAATACTCTCGTTTGAATAGTCTTTTGGATCGTGATGATTTACAAACATTTAGAGAAAGAAGTTATTGTTTTGTAGTAAAATACCTAGAACCTATAATGACTTATAGTCAAGTGGCCTAAAATAGTTTCATTTTTCTTTGATTGAACAAAGCTCGTATATTTGGAAGCATATACTCTTCCTTGAACACCGATCAATCAACAAATTTACGGACGTGTATTTCTCTTAGTTACGCCTGTAATGAAATTCTAATTGTCAGTAAGGTATATATACTGTTTTAAACAGAGTTATTGTCCATCTAATTGCTTAATCACAGAAATAATAAATAGACATACTGTGTTATTTAGTGAAATTGTATGAACTCATCGAACTGTATTAAGGCACCAATATAACCGTAGTTATTCCAAGGAACTATAGTATCAGCTCCTCTCATTGAATCCTTACATCTTTTCAATGTTCAATGCATAATTAATCCATTAATTATTTATGGGTCCTTTTTTATCTTACTTTATGATTTTAATCATCACAGAACTATATTACAATTATCTGTTTGGCAAGACTGGTTACTTCACTTAGTACCATTATATCCCAACAATAAAACAAATGCTAATTTTCTTGTGAAAATTTTACATTTGATACGTATTTTATTAATATACGGAATATGTCATGAATATGGTAGTTGGCAAGTACTTGTTGATACATTAGCACTGATACACTTACACATTTGTGAAGAAAGATCTACTTGTCTTAAAGAAAAGCAAGAAGTGAGTGGTATATTTTACTTATTTTTATTATATATATATTTTTATCTACATATTACAAATAGTATGATTGTAAAGTTAAAATAATCATTATTTTTCATTTAACTGATAATGTTTCTATTTTGAGATTTTTGATTGGCTACACTCAACTCATTATCACTCAGCTGAATCTTCTTTGATTTTTTCATAATGTCAAGAGCTGTGTTTGTCTTTGTTTGAAACCTGATTATGAAATTCATTCGTTGAGATATCAGAGAAAGTCTGTCTCAAATAGACCGACCATCGATCATCGTTGTCTCCGAAGGATTGCTGACATCCAGTGGCAACACCATGTTAGTAATGCAGAGGTTCGGCATCGTGTGTTCGGGCACAGAGACGATAGTGTCACCATCTTGATACACCGACTTCAGTGGCTTGGACATGTTATACGAATGTCGTCCCAGAGAATTCAACGTCGTGCATTGTTTGCCGACTCTGGGACTGTTTTGAGAAAACGGAGAGGTGGTCAGTATATGACATGGTGTCGTGGTATGAAAGAAAGCTGCAAAGGACTGGCTTGTATCGGTCCTTCACGACTCCTTGGTTGGGGTCCGAGAGATGGTGCTACACAGTGGCTAGAGACGTTATCAGATATGGCTCAGAATAAAAGCCAGTGGCGATCCTGCTGTAACCTTTTACTTTCTTCATAAAAGTGGTTGTTTCTTCCTTAACTGAAAGATTTGTTCTGATTGTACCTTTCCGTTCCCCCATTATGACTATGATTATTACTACACTCCCTTACACCAATCTCTTCATTATTTAAAAAAATTTTTTTTACGTTCCTCATTTTTTTCTTCTTAAATTCTCATTGTTTTGTGTGGCGCATATATATTTGGCGCACTCCTGTACCAATATATATGTGTTCAAATAATAATAATAATAATAATAATAATAATAATAATAATAATAATAAGACCGACATAAACAAATGAGTCACACTGAATAGTGGATTTAAATATTAACCGTTGTCATTGTTCTCTTCAAATATCACCAAATAACTCTCTAAAATGTGGAAAGTCTTAAGGAACAGCAACCCTGTGTCACAGAGACAATTTATTATATTTTAAAGCTAATTGAATCGCTCAGTTAATCACTTCAAAATGTAGTTGAAATAAAACGCACTTATCTAATCATCTCATTAAAATTAACCATACTTCTTGTACAACTTGTTTGCATTTATTAATTGAAACTGTTTTGTGGAAGGTACTTTTATCATAAAGTCTGTCAATCTGGTTTTAGACATTCAGCATCAAATATAAACTGTACTCACGGAAAATTTATTCATTATATTCCTTGATTTTTTTCATTATAGATTAGTTAAAAGTATGTTAGTTTGTTGTTTTATAATTGGACATCTAGTCATTTGTTTTTATGCGATGATGTCCTTTTTATAAATTAAAAATGTTTCATTGATTCAGCTGTTTAGATTTATCTATTTTCCGTCTAACTAAGAAGTAATCGTTATTATTTGTTTCTTTTAAGGTATTTAAAAAGCATGTGATATCTTAGCTTTGAAAAACCTTAAATTGTTGATTTCAATTATCGTTGGGGAAAAACGTGATATTTCCAATTATATTTTAGGCGTATACTTCCTTTTGAAATTTTCAATGAAAAACCACGCCTATGTCTCGTTTTTCATTTATAAATTATCGATTATATTCACTGTCATGAATATCATTTGCTTTTTAACTTAAAAGGATCCGATAGCACTTTCTCTACAATGCATAATACAGATGTTTAATATCATAACTAATAAATTCCAACTTGTAATGTATTTAAATAAACTATTTCTTATATTTTTTTTATAAACATACACTTCCTGTTCAATTTTCATAGAACCTTTTGCCTAAACCTGACAAAACTTCATATGCACTGATATTTAGTCATAATAGTAAATCGTTTGATTATAGTTGACATCAGTGAACCTGTTATCTCCAGCCCTTAAACATCTTCAATTCACCAATTTTAAAGTACAAATTCAACTAAACGCTGGTCGAGATATTTTTCTTTGGTAGGTGAATTAAATTATGGAATAAAATAGTCTGATTATTTTCAGTATAATATTGTGGAGATTGTTGGATTTCATTGAAATTATGAGTCGATCTAAATTAGAACATTAATTAAAACCCAAACGGACTGTACGGTCGTTTCATCATAGTTGGGTGGGAGCTCTGTGGTCTAGAGGTTCAGCGTTTGTGCATCAGACTGAAGGTCTTGATTTCAACTCCCTGTTGTGGAGTCGTAGTTGCTCAGTACCGAGATGTTCCATACTAGGAAGAAACAACCGTCCAGTGCTTCCAATTTTTCAATGGTAGTCTAACTTAGATCGTTCAATGATTCCAATGATGATCTTATTACTCTTTATTGTTTTCGAATGTAAATTTATAATTATATTTCATCTATTTTTGTTACCAATACTTTTATATCATTTATTGTTGTCCTTTTCGTTTCGTCTGTTTTTTTTTGCTGATAAATATTTTTCAAATAATAATAATTAAATATATCAACTAGGACCTATATATTTACATTCCTTGAAAAGAAATTGACAGTCTTAAATAATCATTATTAATTTTTTAGACTGCAAAACCAAAGTGTACAGTGGATGAAAAGGATTCCAACTTAGCACATACAAACACATCAGTATTATTTTCAAATAAAAGTTCTACTGAATTGGACAGTTCTCTCGGTGTTGATCTTACAGAATATGGATCTTGTCAAATTAAAGATGATCAGTTACCATCCAACAATGCATTAATGGAAAATAATAGTAATAATAACAGTAATGCTGATAATAACAAAAACGTTGATAACAATGCCAATAACAGTTGTTCAAGTTCAGTATGTAATTCAGGTAATAAGCTAAATCTTCACATTTCAAATTGTAATTATCTTTTCTTTATTGTGCCAATGACTTAGATGATTTTCATTTTCTCTCATGTTATCGGTATAGGTGTCGGTTTATTAAAACATTTTTATCCTCGATGATTAAATGGCAAACAAAACATTTTATTACGAAGATTGTTTATCATCACCTTATGATATCACTAATAAGATATTAATAATAATAGTAATTACACCTAATATCGTTATTAATTATAGATCAGATACTTGACCGAACTCCGTCTGATTCAATTTTATCTTATGAAAATATTGAAATACCGCCTTTATCATTACCGAAAACATCACCTAATCATCAACCAAATTCTCCTTCCAATCACAATCACAATGTAGAGAATAAAGTGACCACTGAAGCGAATAATTTGAAGAAAGAGGATAAATCAATGAAATTCCAATTAACCAACTTTTCTTGGTCATATGTACATCATTTGTTATTAGATGATTTATTATGTTCACTTGAAAATATTGTAGTGTAAGTATTTCATCTTTTAAATACATATATACTTTATTCAGATTTTTGTGAAATATACTTTAAAATCTGTTACTATGAATGACAAATATCGACTTGTTCAGCTAATTTTTTAGCTTATAAATCTAAACTATTTAATGTAGTTATATTAATCAGTTAGTCATACACACCGTAGGAACCACAACAGATTTGCTTTGGTTTAATTTACTACAACATTTCAGAGTAGTAGAGGTTGTGACCACGGCGGTGATAGTCGAAAATATTAAGTAGATATGTTATAATTTGAAAACGAAGGAATGAATTCATGAGATAAATATAAGATGATTTTCAAACTCAGGTTATAAGGAATGAAAAAAGTTAGTGAATCTGTTCCACTGCTATTGATTCTGAGCCATTTCACCCTATATCTACAATCACCAGTGACGATAAATGCTTGGATCCTAACCAAGTAGTCTGAACCCATTCATTTTAGTATTTGTAAAATATTGATTAGCAGTTAACTTTTAACAAAAGAAAAGGAATAGTCACGTTATATTTATTTAAATTAATTCTACTATGCAGTAAAAAGGAAGGACGTTTAAAAGTGTAAATATTATTTACCGAACTTCAGAAGATGGTAATGTCGTATTACTAATATTTTAGGTCAAATTATCAGTTAAAATACTTGATTTCATTGTATATCAAGAAATAAAATGCTAAATTAATGTGGTTAGAAGAATTTAAATTTGATACACATTGTATGTTTGATAAACTTAATATTCAGCATAATACAATACAAATAATCATAAAAAAAGTCTGATCTTCCTTTCTTCCTTGTCATATACAAGCATTCTCATTTCAGCGTATATAATATATGTGTGGATTATGATATCATATTCTAAATACATCGCTATTTATTTCCATTTAATTTAGTCAACGAGTGGTTCACAGAAAACAGTCTGTGACCTCGCATTCCTCTTTGTCTACACCAACTCATGGATTAAGAGAGAATATTTTGAAACAGCAAACAAAGATAGGAAAAGAATCTGTTCAGTCACCAACTTCTATACAATTAAAATCACCAACGTTACCATCACTTTCATCCTCGTCTGTATTATCATTAGCATCCACAGAACTATCGTTATCATCGACGGCAATAACAACATCGCTGGCAACTAATCCTTTCATCAGAACACCACATTCAAATAATCAGGCATCTTTGACAGATAATAATTTTATTGCGAATAATAATGACGATGACAAAATATTTTCTCAAAATGAGACAAACATGAATGTAATTGATCCAAGAAATGAATCTATTTTTACTACAAATATGTTGCATATTATTTCTTATTTATCTGATATGATTGTCGGAGCATGTGGAGGCTTGTTACCGTTACTTGCTGCAGCGTCAAGTTCCACAGTATGTATTTATCCATTTTACAATATTGGTAGAAAACTAATTGTTATTTACAAGTAATTAATCATTGAGCAGTGGCCAAATTCATATTGGTTTAATCTTCCCTTGTTTATCGAATTCTGTTTATCGGTGATTTCCTAAGTGGTCACTAGTCAATGTAGCTGAACATTATTCTAAATTATTAGTTTGTTGAAGCTACTCGACAGGAAAACTTAACTCAGAAGAATGATTGAATTTCAAGTGGATACACATTAAGTTAATAAATCCGAATACTTTTTCTGCACACCCCTCATATTCAGCCTAAATGTCAAACGTTGGTACATGAATAATGATATTAAAGTCGTGCAAATAAAGCTTTTCTGTTTTATCTTCTTTAAATGTTACACTATTCCTTATAAGTAGTGAAGCAAAGTGTTTCCAGCAATTTTGAATATTAAAAGAAAAATTAATAAATTATGTAGGTAGTACATCTTTTTCGAAAAAATGTTATTAGACAGCCACTTGTTTGATCTTATAAATAACCTGATTCGGATTCGTGTATGTGGCTTCAGACCGAACCAGGTGCCAGGTCTAGTGTTACTACTCGGCTGCCCAAATCGAAGTACAGATGTTGTTCAATAACTTGATTTAATGCATATATATGCTAGGTTCTTCGCTATTTAAGATTAACTGACGTTATTGAAGTTTATTGCTCTTGCTGATAATATGGTGAATATAAAGTGTTTATATATTTTTTATTTAATAGTAACCAGTTTTAATAATGCATAAAAAGTTTCTTTTTGATGAGTCACACCAAAGAATCCATTGTTTTATTAGCTAAAAACAAAATAACACTAATATTACACATTAAGTATACCTTCGAAAATTCTTAGATTGTACTGTATTCAAATATATCTTTGAAGTGACTTTTTTTCTCTGGAACATTTTATTCTTTATTATATTCGCCTAAATAGTCGACTAAAACCTGTTAGTATTTTCCTATATTCCTAGTTTATAAATGACCGTCAATTTAGAAGTTTGTAAAAATTCCTTCACTGTTTCACAATTTCTTCTGTTTTCTGATGGAATTTTCGGAATGTCAGCTTAATGTCCTTTTGTAACAAATCATCAAACAACCTTAATTTTTAGAATCAAAATTATATTTCTAAAAATCTTAGTTGCCCAAATAACGAAGTCCAAACCAGACTACATAGCAAAACAGTAGAGTTATTCCATTTCCATCTTTCAGGATTTTACAAGTATGATCTTTTAAATAACATTCTTCATACATTTTGTCCCGATTGTTGTAAAACTGCGCGCTAAAAGATAGATGAAAAATCTTACTTTTAATCAGAAAATTTGTTGATTTCATCAAGAAAATTATTTCTACGTTCTTGTTTGAGTTCAGGACATTGTTACATATTTAGTTCTCATATTCAGGTAATCACAATTTATTTAATCGCAAAATTATTGATCTGATTAACAAATGTTTGTCGCCCCACAACTCCAAACACAGCATAAATATTTGTTTCTATAACTGTAATTTTTAAATTTTATCTGTACGAAAAATATTATTTCGTATTTTGTATCAATGAGCATTGATATTTACGTTGCATATTTTATTCCATTTGAGACTTATCATCAGGGTTCTACTTTAATCAACTGTAGTGATATATTTTCTGAAATTTGGATTTTCTACAAATATGGAATAATTGAACTTCTTGACTGTTGATTCCTATCCATGCTTGTTTTTTTATACTTTTTTTGTGTTATATATCTTTCTTCACCTCACGTTACATCATTTGTGTATGCTTATCTTATTTCGTATTTATCTTTGTTAAGTCTTACGGTTTTTAATATTTTTTCAGTGATCAAAATACAGTGTTTCTTACTTACATGGACAAAACTCAGTATGCTGGTTGCTACACTGGATCAAAGTCGATCGATCAGTGTAAAATGTGTTGAACTGTGTTTTATAACAAGGTTTCAGTACATTTTAGCCTTATTACTATTCAATTTTACGAACAGTTTATATATTGATGATAAATTCATTGAAAAGAGATTCCTTCTATTATATTCTTTCGATTGCATCATCACGGTTATTCTTTGTTCACATATTGATTCAACTCTTCTTTTCTCGTAACCATTAATTTTTAATCTAATTAATGATAAATTCTCTATTATTCAAATAGTTCATTCATATTTTTTGTCGAATAAGTAAACTGTACGTTGTGATAAATTATTTCTGTTAATCAGATTATTTGATATTAAATTAATGAAACAACGTATGTTTCTACTGTTTAATATGATATGTTGAGATAGAGTTTTTAGTAGTTTGATTATGGTCTATCAAATTGGATTAACTTCACACAGCTGTTTCTTCCCATTGTAATATGTCATAAACATTTGCTGAATTTCAGTTTTCGCTTACATAAAGTTTGCAGTTGAAATTCAGTGTTGAGACCAGTTTAAGCGGTTCTTAAACTAACCTTAAAGCCAGTTTTTGATTAACGAGCAAAGGTACTAATAAATCGAAACTATTTTGTAACAGAAGTACTGAAACCTGTTAGATTTCAATAGTTCTAAAACATTTATTAGTTCTGCGAGGCTTCTTACATGTCTTCTGATCTTCATATTGTTGAGGTATCTATACATAACCTTATTTAGTTGAGTGCAACTTTATCCAGGCTAAAAGTTTCATCTCCGCAACTTTTTCCTCATATCTATACAGAGTTTTATCGGGACTTCCTGATCTTCAAGGAAATCTCAATTAATAAACTTAACGAGGAGCGATGGCGATAGTGTTTCATGAGATGAACATCATCTCCAAATCTTTATGAAGTCATGCGTCAAAGTCGTTATCTATTTTAAGCATTCTCACTTTAGCAGGTAGAGTATTATTCAGTAAATCACTAATCAAATGATTACTTTGAAAGTTTCCTTTACAAGAAGCAAATTAACAAAACCAACTGGCTCATGTGTTATGCACTATCTATGTATAAAAGTGAGCATTTGATATATTGAGCTCTGTCATGTTTACTCTGTGATGACAATAAAGGAATTTTTTGTGCTAATTTTAAACGTTTTGGTCATTAGATAAAGCTATCTTTATTGTGCATTTTCTAAAATAAAAATTAATGTCATTCATTGTATTTCGCGCAGAACGTCTGAAATAGTTTTCTCGCTATTGACTGATTAATGCCTGTGATATATTTTGACCACAATTACATATTTTTTAAGAAACATAATTCAAATAAGTGATCAAACATACACAGCCACTGACACTGAAAAATATAACAGATACATACAAATGGGTATGGGAGGTGATATACTTAATTTCTGTGCGTACAAGTCATTTGTCCTTTCCAATTTATATTTCAGTTTTGGATATTTTGTTTGGTTTGTAAAACTTCCAGCAAGTTTAAACTAGAGGAGACCATCTTGAAGAGTCAACAGTATAGTGTTTTATTGTGGAAAAATGTTCTTAAATTATAACGAATCAGGAATCTTTGAAAAATTTCTGTGTTGATAATTCGTATAGTTTCTTATGAAGCCTAATTTGCCAAGTTTCTAATATAAGTATGTATCGTTTGTTATCTCAATGAACCTCTCCACCTTCATTCTTCTCAAATAATATTCTTGATACCTAATATTATTTTAATATCATTGATACTATCATTCGTTGTATTGATATGGTGTGACAGCTTGGTCAGATGCATTTTTGCGGCAGATTCTACTTGTTTATGACTGACTAACTTCAATAAGCCACTTGGCATCTCCTGATAACTATGAAAGTCTGAATGTCTTTTTTTCGTACTTTTCCAGAAACCTATGACAACACGCGAAGTGTCTAGTCTACTAGTATGCGACTTGTCAAATTATATTAGTTTCGATTTCAAGCTTTCCTTATTAAAGATCATCTCACTTTATTTCAAGTGGCTGTACTGATTCAGTAATTCCTTAACATTAAAACATTATCCGTTTTCTGTGCATAAATATTAAATAATTTAAAACAGTTTTCCATTGTTTTTTAAATTTTTTTCTCGAATTAGAGTGAAATCGGCAGTTTAGAGTCATTACCTGGAATGGAGTTGAGTGATGGAATAGGATATCTTTTGCGTTTAACCTATTTGGCGGATTTTGCATTATGGATAAAAATATTAATATCAAACTAATAGAATCTGAAAGGAATTTACCTTCAGGATCTATAGTACGTCAACTTTTAAGATTATGTGAGTTTATGGTTATCACATACCATTTGTTCAGTGTTAAGTGAACATATAGGATACATTTAGATTTTTAAAATGAATTTTTAAAACTTCATATTTCCTTGTTTATCTTACAATTGTTAATTAATTGTTTGAATTTGCATTTTAATTGCATGTTATTACCATTTTCACTGTTTTGTATATTTTCGTCGACTCTCGATTTTTAAAAAGGTCAACCGGCAGTATTTAAGTTTTTAGTATCCTCAAGAAATATTGGAACAGTATAGTAGGATATGTCAAGTAAATTAAAATACACCAGTTACAGTTTCATTTTATCAGCATAGGGTTGTGGAGATTGTTTAGTTTAAATTGGTATCACGAATGGATCAATGTTAGACCACCATTGGAAACATGGAAGCACTGGAAGGCCGTTTCGTCCTAGTGTGAGACTTCTCGGTGGTGCGCATCCACAATCTTACACGCAAAACTCGGACCTAGGACCTTCGGTCTCCCACGCGAACGCTTAACCTTTAGACCACTGATTCAGCATCCAACGGTGTTAATGTCTAACTTTAATCAATCTACGGTATTGCGCGACCGTCCGCCAATGTCTTCAGTGATTAACTGTCTTAAAACACGCAGGGTTAAACTCCACTGACCTTTTCCTACATGCCTTTCTTAATCATGGCGTATCTCATAGCATATATATATATATATATATATATATATATATATATATATATATATATATATATATATATATATATATATATATATAATTTTCGTTTTCTTTCCATTTTTATCAGAAATGTGATACATCTTTATCTCTTATCTAATTGTAATAACCCAGTATAATATAAATATTCTCTTTGATGCTTTTGTGAAACTGACTTAAGATTTTGCACTAGCAACTACCTATTCTCAAACTAGTTTACATGTGCTTTAAATGTGTAATTAGGTTTCATATTAAACGAATTTCTGTCATTAGCTGTAAGATTCACTTTTGGTTAAATTAACCAACTTTCAATAATCAGGTTGCAGGTTTGAAGTCCGCTTCGTGTTCATTGCATTGAGTAGCCGAGTATGATCATTAGTACTCACATGCAAAACGACATATTTCGAATATACTTATACGTAGGTCAATATAGTTAGTTGAATAGCATCTTTGATAATTACATCAGAACAATTTCAATGCATGATGATTAGAAAATTTCGCAATCGCGCTGGAATTGTGCCTACGTTACCGCTTTTTGGTATTTTAGGTAAAGAATAGAAGTCATTTACTATAGTGGATTAATGATATAATGTTTCTCGTCATCATTCCTGTCACTCAGAGTTTCGGGTTAAACCCTAGAATCAACATAGTTTTTAACAGTTGACCAGATTATGTCGGTATGCGTATGTTTAACCCGAATTGTAGTGAAATGTGTTTTTTATTTGTAAACACAGCTCAATTCATGCCCCTTTTTGACTTGTTGAATAGATTTAACTGCAGCAGTTCGTAATTGTCTGGAATCCCGTCTAAACAGGTTATTACCTCCCTCATATATTGTACAAACAATGAAACAGTTATCTTCTGGAAATGATACAGTTCGTCATTATGGAATTTCCAGTGATATAGAAAAAAATTTAGAAATAAATGAAGTTTTGTTTATCCAATCAGATGATTCCAGTCATGCTTTACAATCATTACAGATTATTACAGGATCCACTCAAACTATGAATGATATACGTGTGGATAGAATAAATCATTATCATTGTTCAAATGGCATTGATATAACTTCAAAAGAAGTTCATCGACATCATTTTTCTTTCCCACTTTCGATTGATTCCAATGATCCATGTAATATCATAGAAGATTCTATGGACAATTTGACAAATAAACTATTGAATTTATCTAGATTTCAGCTTGTTACAGATCTAGAATACTATAAAATTCACCGATTAGGTTTCTAGAACAACCATGGAAACTTCCCGATTATTATACAACATCCAGTGATTTATTTCGCATCAGTGATATAAAACATGATTATGATAAAAAAATAAGCCATTTAAGTGGAACATTTCAACAATTACTATACAGTATGAAACCACATTTTAACTATCCCAAAAATTATGGAGTAAGTTTCGGTTATATGATTAGTTTTTTTATTAATAATCGTATTGAAAATCTTTAGACATACAATCCTTTAGTTAGACTAGTGTTGTTTCCATTCCAAACTAGGATTATGTACATTCAGTAAAACTCATCAATCAAGTACACGTTAGTGTTTATCATTACAAGTCACTTTTTTATATGAGCTATTATGTTATACATCCCCTCTTACAACTAAGTACATTAAAAATAACTCTTACCATTGTTCTGGAAGGCTTAACCGGCAAACAAAACGTAAAACCTTGTTTTACGTTAATCCTGACTTTTTAATTGATGCTGTAAATCTTACACATGCTACCTTTAAACATTTAATAAATTGCCTCGATAAATATTTTGTCTTTATTATAAGGCATTTATTGAGATTGTTGAATTTCACAGTCTGCATCACGTACTGGCACTAGTCAAACAGGTTTTGAAAACCAGGAATCACTAGTCAACTGTTTTAACTCAGCATATTACTTCTTAACAGTTTACATCCACTGGGATCGAACTTGAGGGCATCAGGTCCCCCGTGTGAGGGCTTAGTCTTTAGATCACTGAGCCGACTCACAGCGATGTATATCCTTATTTTCAATCAATTATTTGTTGTTATTATTAGACCCATAATTATAATATTCCTAAGCTGAGATTCTCAGATTTCCTAAGTATAATGTCTACATGCTTTAGTATCAAGGCTAAAATAGTTATTGTACCTGAAATACTTCAGGGTTGTACTTGTACTTATCACTAATAGTTCCATACAACTATTTTAATCCAATGAATATAGAATGATCAAATTAGTAATGTTGAATTGTTTTCAGAACAGATGTTAAATTTTACTGATGATATTAGTTCATTTGGGAGAATCGGATCAATCATTCGATGTGGTGAATAGCTGTTAGGTGATCATAGTCTATATATTATTATACATTAGATATCGGTTAGCATTCTAGTAATTATTTTAATAGCCAATATACTCAGAATGAAAACAAAATCCCATTTTTAAACAAAATGTTTTACAGTAAATTATATTCTATAATTTTTAATGTGTGAATTCATATATCCCCCTTGTTCGAAACTTTTTAGATAAGCATTATTATGTTAACACTTCTAATTGTATTAATTCTTATTGGTGTTTTCTTTAATCTTTTTTTGTAAGGATGAAACGTTTCAAGATACGGTCATCAATCCAGTTAAAAATCCTGAAATACTTTTGCAAAATTCTGATATAAAGAGGCTAAATTATCTAATTGCTAAATACACAGTTAGTAACACTATTATTTTGTTTAATAATTTATTGAATTGTTCATATTTAAATAGTTACCAGTTGACTTCTGTGTTGTTTAAAAACATACGACTGTATAATTCTTCAACAAAGTAAATGTTTGTTTTTTACTATTTACAAGTCATACTGTTCAGTGATACCTAATATTTGATTATCTACATCAAAGTGGTTAAATCTACATACACTATCCAGTTACTAAACGTCCGTTGCTATCATCATGAATCTCTGTGATGTGGATAAGATCTAAAATCTAAAGTATGGCATAAGTACTATTTCGCTATGTCATAACTGGATTTCCGTCTAATCAACACCGAATAACAATACTCATTGATCAATCTCAATTAAATTATATTTCCCATCTTTTTTTGAACTATTGCATCATAGGTCTTTTAAATAATCCATAGCAGTTTCCATGTTATTTCTACTGGTTATGACAGTTGTTTTTATAATGGCAATCATTACAATAACAGTAAATTGATTGCGCTTTTCTTGTTATCAGTATTTAGTAAAATCTGCTCGCTCGTTAAATAATAATCAGGTTGGAAGTCAAACTAGAATATTGTGATCTATGCATCAGTTATGAAATACAATTCAATATTTAATAATGAAATTCACAATTGATTTTCATTGTTAACTATATTACAATTTTTCATACTACGTAACAACTATACTACCAACTGTGACGTATGTTACGGCTAACCTAGTGGACTTTATTTGTTTAATTCTTATAATATTCTATCTTTTCACCCTCCTCGTTTTTTATTTTACGAAAATTAATATAGGAAACAACCAAATCGCCTGATTTTTTGGCATTAGCAACAGTTTACTTTCTTTCAGTAATGATGGTCTCTAAATATCGTGATGTTCTTGATCCGAATCCAATCTGGGTACCATATGCTAATGCTGATCATGTACATTCTCATACTGAATTACCTCAAACAAATAAATTTAAACAAGAACCTCAAGTCCAAATGAATACCATCACTACTCAGAATAATGAGACAATAGCAACTAAAAATAATAATGATCATAATATTAATAGTAAAGAGGCAATTTTCGGAATAACCCATCGTGATGAGAACGACACAGGTGAGTAGTGAATTATCTGTACTTACAATGACAGTTTATTATGTTTGTAATTTGAACCATGTAAAAAATTACCATAGTACCTGTCCTTAAGTACCGTAATTTTCTTAGTTATGTGAATTTTCACTTTACGCTTTAAATTTCGAATTCACACTCATAATAAGTTTTAATGTTACTTTCATAATGCTGTCATAATTATTCAGTGTTCCTATACATGACAATGGTAATGAGTAGGCAAGTATCGCAGTTATTTTCTTGTTATATCAGTGAATTTTATGGTTATATTGACTCATCACTGAGTAGTGAACAGTGTTATGTCTGACTAGACCATAGTGATAATCAGATTATATCGGTCAAGTAACAATATATTCATTAGGCTAAATGACTTAACATTACGTGACTGCCTAATACTGATCACTTAACATTATTTACTTTCACCACATGGACTGCTAAGTTAAAACCTTTGAAGAAAGTTTATGGACAACTATATTATTTTCAATAATATTTTAAAGTAATAAAATAGCATTTTAGAGTATAATTTCTTTGTAAGATAAAAAAATTCTTCTTGACTGCCCACGTTTCTTCGATATGTATATTTTCAAAATAAAACAGTCGGTTATGATCGTTTTGTGTGAGAAGGAACTCACTAATCAAATCTAACTTCGTGTATCAAGCATTTTATGTGTAAATTAAGTAACAAAAAAGAGTTGAACTATCACTCTTTATGTCCTAGGTCACATCTTTATTAAAATGGCGGCTTGGTGGTTAAGATATTGTTTTTTCAACCAGTATGTGATAAGTTTTAACCCGGTCGCTCCTACCTTGGTTTTGACAACCTGGTAGTGTCACTAAGTCACGAACATAGGCATATACTTAGAAAATTAGACACATATAATAATACTTAAAACTCTTAACAATTTTATCCATTTTAAAATTATTAGAATAGAAATTCCGAACTGAAAAGTGGTGTTTCCAAAAAGAATCACGAAATTTTTATCATATATGAAATTACATAATCTAACTGATATAATTTTAAAGATTTTAGTTAGCTATACTTATAGCACCCTAATATAGTGTATATAGTCATAGTCTTTATTTTTACTACCGCGACTAATAATAAAACTATTATTATTAATAATTATTTTCATAATCATAATTCTGTTTATTTCATCTTAATAAATCTAGATCGTAATTCACTGGTCAGTGAAGAATATGAACTTGTCGACGTACCACTTGATAATAATAGTAATAATACAACAAAAAGTGAACAGAGTAACCAAAAACAGAACGCTTTAACTGATTTACTTGATACCTGCCTTGGATCAACTGGTTTATTTTTAAAAGATTTATTTGTTGAATTTATGGATTATTTTAGTAAAACATTAATTGGTACTCATGGACAAGAATTAATTCTAAGTGTTCTACCGTTCTTACAGCATACATCATCTGTTGTAGAATTAGTGATGTTGTTGTGTTCACAAGTCAGTTTTGGTAGTAATACAAATAAATATATTGGTATTATTTCATATTTTGTTAGTTATTCATACAGTTACAATGCAGCTACTTCTGTGCATACTTGTTTTTAGGATAGAGGTTGCATTTGTAATATGAGAAGTAGTGGTATTGCTTGCTTACATATTCTTGAGTAAACAGTGTAGTTTAATAGAATATGATGGTTCAAAATTTGTCGTACCCATATTTTTAGTACAGTGACAGTGGAGCAATTCCATCACGAAGTATGTACGGTATTCTAATGTAAACTTTTTAAAAGTGCTGTCTCTTATGAACCAAGATAACATCTGCAGCTTTTAGTAAATTACATCAGCGAACATCTCTGACCTCATAAGCCACTGAAATTATTCTGTTATTACTTTCTTGTTGCGATACTTTGTCGTTGAGGGACGTTTTTTCGTTCTTCCCCTGTTTTTTTCCGCCGTAAAATATAACAAGTCAGTGGCTATCTGAACTCAGTAGCTAACCCAGTAGCCTAATTTTTAACTATAATTCGTCTGATAAGTGATTGGATAATCGCCCATTATGATAAAATAAATAAATATACGAACATCAGTAAGATTATTCTAGAAGTGAATATCAGAAGACGAAAAAAATAATAAAGAGTGTTAGGGACGGGTTTGGAAAAAAAGCTGAAAATAAGGGTTATCACAAAAACATCCAATCACTATGGAAGGGAAAAGCTAGTCACACTTTTCTTCTGTATGTATAGGCCATATCGAAAACGTTTGATGGTGATTGCCTTTGCACACTGGAAAAAGATTGGTGTTTTTTACCTTTTAAATATTTTGAAGGCCATTTTGCTTTCACTTCATGTCCGCTATCCAAAAAATGTCTGGCAACAGCATTTGTAAATTTTTTATTCCCTTCCTGCTGTGAGTTTCTGGGAATATATTTAACACTTCTCAGTGACGTTGAAAGTGTAATAATCTACCTCTGAATGGTAAAGTCATTTCATTGTTACATGAATATTGCATTCCCATAGATTTATTTCTCAAAAAAAATAACGTTTCACAAACCAATGACAACTACCCTATATATCGAAGTGTAATACTTGGAAATAGTCCAAATGTTCTACATTCTTTTGGCTCTATTTAGCTGTATAATGGAAATCACTAGATATTAGTTTTAACGAAAGTTAAGTTTCCTATGGTTATTATGTCACATTCATAACACGATGATCTTTAAGTCGTATAACATTATCAATAGTTATTATGATGATCACTTGTAAATCTTTGTTTAGTAAAAAATACAGCAAGCATAAACTCTTTGTTTAATCATAGTTATACAATACATGGTTAAGAGTATATCATAATATATCAAAGAATATCATACACCTTATTTTTTAAATACTTATTTTTAGTATTTGATTATGGTTCGAAATTTTAAAATTTATTTTACGTATTATAACATTTATTAGTTTGTCTATTTTAAACCAATTCTTAATCATGGTTACAAATTAATGTGTATATGATTGATGTTATTACTATTTGTGTTTATCTAAAACGTGTTAGTTTTATTTTGTGGTTGTATTCATTATAAATCATTTTTCTCTTTATCTTTTGTTCTTTTATTTTTATCCACTAGGAATGGCAAACCTCTTTACAGAAATATGCAGGATGGGCATTTATTGAACTCGTTAATGAAGGACGTCTTCTATCTCATTCTATACGTGATCATCTTTATCGTGTAGCTGTAGAAGGTGATGTAATTTTAAATCAAATACATATGTCTAATATTCAACAGCATACAAAATTTGAGGAAATCACTGCACATACTATGGCTAATCTACGAGAAGAAGAAAAACTGCACAAAAATATAATTGACTCAGCTCGTTTACGTGATGCACAACTATCAAATTATTTGAACAATAAAGCTAATCGGTTAGCTCAATTTATAATGTTCAATTGGATGAGATTGTCACCGACATCATCATCATTTACCGTCTCTCGAACTGTCCATCCTCTCCTGTAAGCCATATAATATATATTGAAATTTTATGAAAACTCATTTATCCAAAAATAGTTATGACTATTAGTTATGAGGAAAGTATCATATGTTTTCTAATACTTTATGGGATTATCCTATCTTCCAAAAATGTCATAAACATATCGCAATAATAACATTCATTGATGTATACAAATGTTCTGTTTAGTTTGTATTTTGAGTTGTATATGTTCTAGATGTGGTTCCGAAAGTACAAATAATCAATTCTAGTAGGCTCCAGTTATTTGAGTGATGTAACGTGAAACCGATAAAGGTACTTTCATAAAGATTTTTTGCGCTTTATTCATCTGATTACCATCCATCGTTTTATCCTATACTTAAATACACTCTTTCAGGTTAACCTTGTCGAACTGGTTATTAGGATAACTGACAATAGTTTTATATGTCGATTTGGTTCTGCATCAAATTATTCTATTTTTTGATGTATTTTCTTAACAATGTTTATTTGTATCCTAGTTCACATTTGTGCAACAAAAAAAACACATATGGTCATGAACAACTTCCGTGCAACTAAGGTTGATTAGAAACTTTGTTACCAATCGGGTCAGTTCAGTATACCTTCATTAATAGAGTGGAGACTCGTTCAAAGGAAAGCCACTGGTTCGAAAAGAATGGGACCCATACTTTCTCCAAGTTTTGATCATCTTCATAGTATGTGAGAATCATTCTGATATTCATAGCTATTTGGAACGGTCTCTGTAACGTGGCTATAATCCGTGGTTTTTCGCATAGCTTTCTCTCTAAAATATGATGAATTATACCAACGTATGATGAAAATTGTCAATATTTTACAGCCTTTACTCACACAATAATTAATTCCATCATCTTTAGTTAAAATTTTAAATTTCTACATATATCATCATCCATCGCATGATGTGATGAGTCAACCAACCCTCATCAATAAGCTTTAATTATTTCTGTACTTAAAAAATATGTTTTTACAGCTATGGATGGCAACAGATATGTTTTGGTGATATTAATTCCTGTTTTTACAATGATTTTTATCTACAAGCATGAGCATGAATGAAAACGGTTTAACTAGAAATCCATGATACCCTATCAGTTGCCTGATCGATTCTTATCTTTTTAGCTATCATTACATAGATTTCTGGACAATTTTAGGCTGCAATAGCATTTACTGAACTCCAGACACCCAGCAGACATTTGCCTGATATTTTCTATTTTAGCAGATATATGTATTTTTCGCTCTTTGCATATTAATTTACCGTAAGCTGTTTGGTTTTGACCGCTAGTATAGTAATAAAATGAATTTCTGTCTTATTTAAGTATTATTTTATTTATTAAGTATGCTTTTGCAGTTAAATGACTTAGTCCTGAGAAAGTAGACCACAGGTTTGAACATATTCCTATATATTTCGGTATGACCAGTAGCGTAGTATCACTAGCTCTGATATGCACATGCCAAATGTGGTTCAAAACTGAGTACGTGACCTATGTTTGATAAATAAGCACTACATATATTATACATTCCTTTAACCGTTGAAGTATTAAATATTTACCTGTGTGTTGTGTCGTTATCGATTAACGTTTATGATTAGTCACTTTGCTGAATTGTGAATAAGATTCCCCCAACTGATGTGTATTTTAGTGACTTGCATTTATTCGCCTTGCTCTTAATTTTATTTTATTTTCAAACTGAATGAGAAAATAAATTAGTAATATCTTATTTATAACAGTTTACTTTTATAATAGGCGATTTTATGTTCATACTTTCTAAATAAAACATTCTCAGTTCCTTTAATATTAGTGGTATCTATTACTTTCTAATAAAATTTGATTTGATAGGAAGGATTACTTCCGACTAGATGGTTGGGAGGATGATAGTCGAAGACATCGTAGACTTATTCCTAATCCACATGGTACGAATTATTCCTCTTCTGCTTTTTACAATGATAATGTGCGTCGTCGTTCTGTTTGTCAAAACCACTCTCAACAGTTGGCGGACCTCCTCAAAGAAGCTGGGATACAACATGCCCGTGATTTTTCAACTAATTCTGAATCAGCGGATAAGAATTCAGTACAGTATGAACTTTCTCATGACAATACATTAATGAATTCAACGATGAATGAATCAGTGGATAGCTCGGAAACTACAAATCCTGTTACTTTAACTTGGTTTCAAGAAGATTCACTTTACCCTGGTCGCCTATGCATTGATTTTAAAAGTTAGTGTTTTTGCAAAATATCTCCAATGATCTAATAACTATACTTTACAAAAGTATTGTTTGTAATTAAATAAGCGACTTTAGAGTTCATCTGATCTTCAGCCCACTATTCTCAAGTCACACATTTACTGCAGATTGAAACCTTTAGTTCTATGTAGTTTAGTATTTGCATAATTTTTATATAAAACGGTGTTTAACAAGTGTGCAGATGAATTATGCCAACAGCGCTTATATATCACAATTTTCACTTTACAAATATCTGTGTGCCAATGAATGCGGTAATTGCATTGTACATCAGTTCGTTCTATATCACTCTATATTTGTGGAACTAGGTTTTTGAAAGTTAAAGACTTGAAGGTTTTTGATCATACTTTTCTTCACAAACAGTGTACCGATTCAGTGGATGATTTTGAGATGAACCATAAGCTACTCAGTAACATCGAAAAGTCGTTTATTACGGTTGTAAATCGTCATCAGCTGAGGTAGTTGGGACATGTATTACGTAAACCTAACCACGACCTAGATTAGTCTTGTTAGCCTGTGGACGAACGATAACATGGCATCAGCCAATGAAGTTTTTGACTATTAATCTGAGTCGTGTTAGTAGATACAGACTATCTGATTCGGATTCGCACAGTAACCGCAATTAGTGTTGATAAATTATTGACGATATGGCTTTGAACCAGTCACGATGGTATGGATATATCTACCCTATTTCACCTAAATCTCGAGTTGAAGTATTCCTTGATATTTAACCATGTTTTCCATTTCCTCATAGTACAATCTTAATGATTAGTTTTTCTCAATATTGTTGCCACAACAGTTATTTTGGGTCATTTGCTATTTGTCTTGCTACTTTCATCCAGTTGTGATAATGTAATATGCCAAATTATGATATGCACATTGTTGACAAGCTCTGCCTTGATAATAACTGATTAACTACCTGATGTTCTGTTCATCAAAGCTTGTGTTTTTTCGTTTTTATCACTTGCTTATGCACTGCAGAAAGTTCTTGAACTTACCTTTGGTTATATTAGTGAATATTTTAGTTCGTTTAATATTTATGAAACTTTTTATAAGCTTCTGTTGTTATTACTATGATTCTCCTTATGTCAGTAGTTATGGTAATTTTATTCTGTAAATAATTTTTTTTACAGCTACGGCATACCTATCAGTCCCATGTATTCTAGTTTCCCTTGGAGTAACTGTACATGGTACATTATCCATTTCGAAGTATGAATTATATTTTGAACATGATACAGATCATCCTAACAATAGATCAATTGATCAACGTGTAAGTTCAAACTTAAGATTGTAGTGTTCAAACAGCTCATTATATATATATATATATATATATATATATATATATATATATATATATATATATATATATATATATATATATATATATATATTCTGACGAGTCAGTGAAAAATGGTACCTAACCTATACTTTGAGTCTAAGATTTACTATTTTTAACCACTTAATGTACTACTAGAACAGAGTGAAGCTCGTTTTATCTGGAAAATGAAAACATTCTTAATTATCGAACTGTCTTTTCTCGTCTCAATTTTTTTTTCATAGGTTTTGGCTTATATTGAACATATTTATAGTAGATGGTCATTATCCGAAATACGTGCAATTTTTAATCGTTCTTTTCTTCATCGTAAAGTTGCGCTTGAAATATTTGTAACTTCTAGAGGTAAGTGGAGAAGCATTTCATTTTTTCATTAAAAATTCAATAAAATAAATGCATATGGTTTGAATTATTATTTGAAAATACAGTCATGTTATTGCAAGGAATTGTAATTTTTTATTCATTTTTCGCAGCGGGCAGTTGCTGTTTTGGTTATTGGACAGCATTTGTTGATCCCAGGATAGTAACTAATGTCGTTCTATTTAACTGTTTTTACTCATCAAGTCATACTGTTCAGTGTCGCAGTACGATTATTAGACATAGTTTAAAACAGTGATGCACTTTACCTTGGTTTTAAGTGATTGAAGACAATCGACAAAAACCCTGTATATACGCATTCGTTTAGTTGAGGCTCCAATCGTCAACGATACAGGAAAGTAGTATTTCTTTAGGATTCAAGGTTGTTTTATGCACTGTGTTAAATTATCAGTAGTGTACCTTAATGCATTGATAAAGCATGAAAATGTGATCCTTTGACAGCGCGCCCGGTAATTTTTGCGTTGACTTTGTTTATTGTAGTGTAGATAGCTGATCTAGGATGTTACAGTCTTTTAAACAACTTAGTATTTTCTAAAATTAGCCTGTTTTGTTTACGTATCTGGAAGACATCTGTTAAGGTAAAATCTTTTATGTTGCAGAAATTATCTCCAGGGGTCACTGTCTGCAATAAACAGTTTTGTGCTAGCTATCTTTGTTCTTTAAAGTCAATTTCCATATCTCTTCTAAAACACTATTGCTCTTTTTCTTTGAAACGTCCTCATTCATCCTTAACGGCTGATCTGTTACACGGCGTTCATTTAAGTTGTCACATACAATTATTACTAAACAAATATTTTGAATTATTCGAGTTCCTGGGTAAACATCAACACTGGAATGCAAATAAATGAGAATGACTAGTCCTAAAGAGGATAGGATATGCGTCATGGGTTCCACTTCTAGCTGCTTTCTATCTATTCTATGTCGACAAATTTCATTATTCACCTGTTTTTTTTTCTTTTTTTAGGCTCTGTACTGTTTGCATTTACAGATATGAACACTGTGAAATTGGTTGTAAATGCTTTACCTGAAGTAGGCATAGGTACAAGATATGGTCTTCCTGTATCTAGAGCATCGACTTTAGCTAGTCCCAGTAAAATATTTCAGTTATCCAATATGACACAACGTTGGCAACATCGTGAATTGTCAAATTTTGATTATCTAATGTATTTAAACACTATAGCTGGTCGTAGTTATAATGACTTGAATCAGTATCCAATATTTCCATGGGTTATATCAAATTATACTACAAAAGAACTAGATCTATCTTCTCCATCTAATTATCGTGATTTATCTAAACCAATTGGTGCAATTAATCCTAAACGTAAAGCATTTTTTGATGAACGTTACGAAAACTGGGAAGATGAAACTCAACCACCATTTCATTACGGTACACATTATAGTACAGCAGCATTTGTATTAAATTATTTACTGCGTGTTGAACCATTCACTACTGTATTTCTTAATCTTCAGGTGAGTATAGTTTATATTAACTTAGTTGAATTTCGTTTAAGCAACATGTGATGTTGAACAATTCTCCGAGTTTGATTCTGATGTATACATTTCATATGGCCGAGCTCAATCAGCTTCTTGAGTAAGACAACTAAGAATGATTCAGAGGCTTTTACTGACTAACTTCAATCAAAATTCATGCGCAAACTTATATATATATATATATCGCTTTCAGATACCTAAGCCAGATTCTCAGACAATCGCGCTTGTCTATTTGCTATGGATAATTAAGCCGAATAGCTTGCATCCTTTAGCACCTCTCACTTATTATTCGGCTTTTAACCGATATATCTTTTTTGCACAATCTGTCGTCTTTCCCTGACAATGTTTTTGAAATCGTAGATGAAACATATGTCGTCTTTCCCTCCTAAAAAATAAGTCCAATTTTCTGGATTCAGCTGAAGGAATAGATGTGATTATTACATTAGAATATTTCGAAATTTAGTGTATTTCTGAATTGCTGAGCAACAGAAAATTAAAGACAAATAGGTCAAGAAGATGTACTTCACTGTTGAAACTCTTCTCACTCTTAGTGCCCATCGTTCAATGATTCGAAGTAAAACCTCGTTTTATGGTTAACATCTGAAAAAATACATCCGTTCAGATTTAGTGTTATACCGTAGACTGTAAAATCTAAGATTATTATGGCATCAATCTTTCAACATCACAAATGTTTTGCACATATTCATATTTTGAAGTCGTTTCCAGCTCACTGTTATTTTGAGATTGGTCTGTGTTGATGCCTAATACGATAATAGATATTGAACTATTCGTTCCCCCTAGCTATTTTAAATTTCGAAAACGGCTCGATGAGGTGATAGTTAACGAATTAAACACTTGTCTTTCATTCTAATCGTTCTACGCTATCTATTGATAAGCGTGCCGTATGCTGAATACCTACTGATGGGAAATATATTTCTCAGTACTTCTGTGTGTACCACTTTTCCATATAAGGTGATTGACACACAATGTTTTTTTCATTTCTGTTCTTTAATCTATCTTAAAAACTATCCCAAAATGTTTTCATTGCTAAAAAAAGAATATTGTGTTAGCCTATGGTATGTGAATTTAAGTTTTTTCGATTGAGGTAATTAAAGTGTTAGGGATTCTGTGCTCCCCAGCTTTTCATTCTGCTTCAAGAATGATTATGGTATAGTTAGGTACAAGTATGATTTCATTTTGGAAATTATCTAACGTGTACGATGAATTGTTACTTTACAGATTGTAATCTAGAAACCGACCGAACTTGATAATATAAACCTATGTTCGATACAGCGTAAATGTTTGTTACGTTTGCTTACATGAATTCACCTCAAAGCTTCTAAACGATGAATATCATGTTAATTTGTACCTTCTTTTTTTAATTTTCTTTTGCTTTTCAGTGACTTATTCTCGGTCGTTACCGGTTTCTTAATAACTTTTTCCATTTCGTTTGCTTCCTTAATTTTACTAATTAGTATTGTAGAGATGTAGAGAAACGTTTATATATGTTCCTTGTAATTTCATGTTATATCGTTTACAATGTATATCTCAACTAGTCATTTCTGGGAAAGTCATGTCACTGATTACCACTGCATGACCGATTTGTAAATATTTTATTCACGTAACAGCACGTACTATCTGACATCATATTTGTACTAGGGATTTGTTTAGTCACTGATCTTCTAAAAAATTTCGTGTTTCATTATCATTAAATTACCGTATAAAATCCAAATATTTCTCTCAAATTGTATCTTAGATTCCTAAACTTTTTTATTATCACCGCTACTATTTCTACCTCTACTACTCTGGGATTCGGCCTGACAGTTTCACCTTGTTGTGCTAATAGAGTATGACAACTTGTACCGATGTACACGTATGCTAGGTTCTAGGTTGAATATAACTGACTGATTCTACATGAAAATTCATTACTGTTTAGGAATCTATGTGGATTATATAGTTTGTTTTGTAAAAGTAAACATTAATAATTTTGAATGTTTCAAGTTAACCAATAAAAATAAAATTACCGCTAGTGTTTTTTATTAGTCATTCTATTATTATTTTGTTGTTTAAGTAAAGGTATTGGCATATTTGTATACCAACTAATCCTACTGATCTCGACATGTCTGTATTATAAATTGGTGAGGAGATTTCGATCTGTTTAATAAGCGATAAGTATTCCATTTTTTATTTCAAAATCATATTGTTGTACAAGTTTAACGTACTTCTATCATTATTATCAGTCTGAACCAATGTGACGACACAATATATATAGGTAACTGTGTTGTCAGAATCATAGAAATAGTCCACCCACAAAAAATTAATTAATCTTTTATTTCTGCTAGTCAATGTTCTCGGAACACAAAATATCAAACTGTAGGTTGATATGTTAATATGATGCTGGATTTATCAATGTTTGGTTCATTTGATATGGTCTAATGTGATTGTGTTGAGCTGTAGGATCAACTATTTCTACAAAGTCTGTTATTTCCAGTAGTGGTATATGCCTATGACTATTTTTTTTATCTTTCTTATATTAATTTTCACTTTTCTTTCATGTCCTATAATGAAAAAGGGTGGAAAATTCGACCACCCCGATCGAATATTTTATTCAGTTGCTAAAACATGGGAAAATTGTCAAATTAATACATCTGATGTGAAAGAATTAATCCCAGAATTCTTCTACTTCCCTGAAATGTTTGAAAATTTAAATGATCTTGATTTAGGCGTCACAGATGATGGTATAAATGTTGACACTGTGATACTTCCACCATGGGCAAAATCACCTGAAGAATTTGTCCGAATCAACCGTGAGGTAGGATATATTTTCTGTGGGTGTTTTTTCTAAAAGGATTCCATTTTATATTTTGGCGCTTTTCTTATTGTATTTTATTTCTCGGAACTACTCCTAAAGTGTTTTTCTTATTGACAGCATATCTGTATAAACCATACTAAATACTACTATTATAATTAATCAGTCGCTTTAAAAGATGGAAAGTGAATATGACTGTGAGATTAATTACAGTTATGAGCATTATAATATTCGAAGTTTTCAGTTGACTGTTGACTTTTATTTCTGCACATGTAACCTTTAGCATGAATTTCTTGGCTGATTCACTTGATTGGCCTGATGTGTATTTTTTACGCCTAATTAGCCTGTACTTCGAAAGTAAAGTCGCTGACTTTTTTAAACTTTAACTTGGAATCTCCACATTATAAAATTTGAATCACGTTTTCACAGAATACAACTTATCTTCTCTATTTTTTCCGATAGGTAGCTACGACTAAATTACGATGTGTAATTATATTTTAGCAGTAAAATGTTTATTCATTCTTAATACTAGATATCTGGCTACAATACGTAATTGTTCATATTCAGTAATTGGTGTAAAGTTCGAATCCTTGAAATTCAATAAAACTACAAATATTTTGTAAATATTCATGTTTTTCTGCATTTTGTCATAAGATGACATTAACTCTCGTTCAAATTATGTTGATTATATTTTTTCCACCAGAATAATCGCGGTATTGATCATCTTCGTACCCATTGTTAGTGACTGGTAATAACTATACTAACATTCTTTACATGTCTTCACCAAGAAACTGCATACATTAAATCGTCTAGTACCAAGGCTAAAGAAGCTGAATATACTTGCTAAATGTCATAACTACTTAATTCAGAATTTAGTCTCAAATTGTGCTTTCATCATCTATGTCGAAGATTTAAAGATTAAACAATTCAAAATAGAATGATATATTTATGTTCAACCTTAGAAGTAGTTATCGTTAATAGACGAATATAACGCACCTTTTGAATAATCAGTAATCCGTATTGATTTCTTTTCTATTCTTGTCTATTATTATCTTATGACATGCATGGAATTGTACAAATTCATTAATGAGAATGTTTTAATTAATACTAACAATTCTACATCATCTCTGCTTATAATGCTTGTGACTTAAGGCAATATCGAGACAATTCGCACAGGATGCACAAATGTCAATAAGAGACTGATCTATTGTGATCTTAAACATCAATAAGATGATCCAATTAACGAATACAAAAATGAATTGAACTTCACGCCATTGCACAAGATAGTGGATATCTCGACTCAGTAGCTAAGTGAATAACGCTATCAAGTTTGAAACGAGTGGCACTAGGTTCGAGTCTCCAAGTGAACATCAACTCGGATGCGGGTTTATCCAGCTGATGAGTCCTAACTAGGACGAAACGCGCGTCTTGGATTCAACTGCTAGCCACCATCCATCCCTGCTTATACTGTTTTTGCCTTAAGGCACATATGTCAATGCGAGACTGATTAATTGCAGTTCCAAACATCAGTGGGAAGACTCAAATAACAAATACAAAAATGAATTGATTCTATATTTCGTTCTTAATGTACTTAATCTACCTGATATTCTTTTACAATTTATTAAAGGCATTAGAATCTGAATTAGTTTCATGTCAATTACATAATTGGATTGATCTTATATTTGGTTATAAGCAACGTGGACCTGAAGCCGTTCATGCTACTAATGTATTTCATTATTTAACCTATGATGGAACTGTCGATTGGGATAAGGTGAATAAAGTTTGTTTTAAATGTATAACGTAATTAACTTTGCGAATTAGTTTTTCAATTACTACTATGATACAACTTCATTTTTACATATTGTCTGATTGTTAAAGAATCAATAAAACAGGGTAAGTGTACATATAAGAAAACTATAAATTTCTCTATAAACAATCTATTAATTAAGGTGATAATGAAAATGGAAATAATTAATTGATCCCTTTTCTTCCAGTATTATTCAGCACGTCAATAATAATAAAAGTAATATTTACAGACAACTTCAGAAGCCATGCCAATTTACAGGCGTGATCGGTTCACTACATGTAAAGATGTACTTACTACATTTAGCAGGTTTTACTCATATAGTTTGCATAGTTATGAACACATGAGGATGTACACGAACCTAAAATATTGACTGTTTGCAGAAAACATGTTTGTAGTTAATATACCACAGTTAATCTAATACGAACTTGATGCTCAACATAACCCACCAACTTAAAGATCTGTTGCATGCTTTAAGGACTGTATTTCTGAATGATCAGTCTGCATAAATGTGATGGCATATGTTTCAACTGGGGAATGGTTGTCCTTCAACTACTGAGGAAATTCCTAAAGGATCACTTAGGGTTAAAACAGTCAGACAGAGGAATCATGGATGTGTTAAATAGATATCACAAATAAAGATTTTCCTAATGATTAATTCATATACATAGTTTTTCCATATGTCGAAAAATAAAGTGTAAGTTAACACAACAAATACCAATATATTCAACTAAATTACTATACCAACTAGATGAGGTGTACTAATTTTACTACCTGGTTAGACATACGTTGACAGATAAAGTGATTTAAATTACAGCTAACTGGTTTATTTCTAATCTATTCTTTAAACCACTGGTCTATGGCTAATGTGAAGAAAAAATAGATTCGTCTTGTCGAAATATCAATAATAATTTGAATCACATTTATCTTTATATTTTGGTTATCATCTTACCCTGTATTTATTTTTCTTTCCTTAAACAGATTACCGATTCTCTTTTAATCAAAGCCATTCAAGATCAAATTCAAAGTTTTGGTCAAACACCAGGTCAATTGTTGACTAAACCTCATCCACGAAGAAATTCAGCTCTACATCATAACCCTGAAATATTTAATCTACTTAATGAAGAGTTTTGTATGAGTTTAAAATTTCAGTCACATTCCCCAGTTGTACATTTATTCAGTAATACATCATCAAAAGTTCTACCGTTTCCTTCGGTGTTTGCTATAACTGAAAATAGAACTATAGTAGTTTGTAAATGGAATAGTTTAGCTGCAGGTATTTTCCTGTTATTGTTGTGTTTTTTTTTCGAAAATTAATTAAAATTTTCATTTGTTTGCTGAGGTAATGATCGACACTTGAAAAAAATGAATAGTAAATTTACACTACATTCTGTCTTTTATTATTTAAAAAAATGAAACAAAATAAATAATACAATAATAAAACTTTAAGTTACATTCTATTCCATGATGATTATCATCATGAATGTTACCTAATCTTTTCAATTATCAACACTAGTTATTACAACACTAGCCTACTTTAATTTGAATCATAGAAAATAATTGTATGAATATCAGTTACAGGTTGCATAGATTAAATTGATAGGACTATAATTATTTATAAACGAATCAATGAGATTTAACATGGCGTTTGTTAGAGTTTTGCACAAACTTTATTTACACCTATACACAGCTTTAAAATATTTTGACATTAAAGTTAATGTTAGTTTATGATGAAAACTTTTATTCTCATTCTTAATGTTAACTTCCAACTTTTATTCTTTATTTAAACTCTTCAAACTATTTCATAACCCTTTTTCGACTCTAGTAAGTTGCTCAGGTTTGTTAAGGATTCTTTAGTGTTGCTCCAAGATCATTCATAAACTATGGTCTCGTCATTAAATTCATTGTCTTGGTTATTCACTTAATTTTTCCTGGGAAAAAATTTGGTTTACATCAATAATTCTCATTCATGGTTGTTTAATTAAAATAATAACTGAATATTTCACTGATTCGTTAACCTTCTACTGATTTATTATTGTTATTACAGAGGATAACTGTAGTTAAAAACTGAATACAAATTTTTATGAATATAATAAGTTTATTCACTTAATACAATTTCTGTGTGCAATTATTATTATAACTTATTTTTTACCTCTTAATGATAATAGATTGTTGCATTTCTTTGATGATATTACTCAAAATCGTGCACAATGGCGTCAGTGTATACACTCTTTATCTTCCATTAAACTATGAGATTGCTTTATATCTTTCTTTTTATTACCTAATTCCTTCCTGTATCATATCCTTATATACAATTTCGCTTATATATATTACTACCATTGAAGTAACTGCTACTGTGAATTTGGTGTTCATTGTGTTGTACGTGTATGAGTGGGGTATGGCAACTTGGACCGATGCGTATATGTTCCTATTCCTACGTTGCAATGACTGACTGACTGGGATTGTTGGATTCTATGTCAAATTGAATATGATTGACGATAATATTGTTCTAATTTTCTGCGCATATTTTACTAAAATTATCTTATTACACATACCTATTGAAAGAAGAATAGAATCACTTTGTCAATTGTATTTTTACATAGTTAATTTCTTATAATTATATATCAATGAAATTGTTACGTGTATATCCAGTTTTTTAGTCTATCAATAAGAAGCCATGAATTCTATTCTCTCGCTTATTGATACTTGTTACTGAAGACTTATTAGTTTTTAGACTGGAAACCATTTTCTTTTAATGTTTCATTCACTTACATCAATGTTAGGATATGTATACAACGCCTAGCTTGTTGATTGTGAGAATTATTCCTTCATAAGGACTAACTCACATTTGTGGTCTAATATCTTTTATTTGTCAGAGGAGTGATCGAAAGTGTTAATAATCTTAATGAGAATCGAAACTAGCCAAAGACTTTATAATAATTCTTATTCTGTGTAAGAATCAACGGTATTAGTAATTATGAATAAAGAATTTATTAGTTTTTATCGTTTTAATTTATATGAATTTGAATGTAATATGTAGTTTATTAATATGCTTTTTTTAATTTCTTCTCTTTCAGATGCAGTATATCGAAAAGGTAAATAGTAAATTAGTCACGTTTTTTTTCTCTCGTTTTTCTTCATATCTGTTAAATGAACAATCATCTCTCATATATCTGACCTATAAATTACATCCTTTCTCCTATTTTATCTTTTACCTTTTGATTACTATGCAACTTGATTTGTTTATTTGAAATCTTAGATCACTTTATCTATTAATCGTTTATTGACTTATGTTTTTCATTCAGTTTGATAAAAGATTAATTATTTGATAATTATTTGAGGACTAAAACAAAGAATCAATATTAAAATTTGCCTGACATTTTACTTATGAATAGTGTAATCAACAATATTTAGTTATAGAAATCCTCAACAAAATTTTTTTCAATAGTTTTACGCAATTACTATTATGTATAATTTTAATATTTTAATGAGATATGATTTAACAGATCATTTTAGATTAGTTTTGACAAGCAATTCAGTTTGCTTTTGTTTTTTAAACTAATCAAGTAACTTGCATTACTTTCATTTTATAACTGTAAGCTAACAAAATTTATATACCGAAAGATAATAAATAAGAACTTTCGTCTAAATTTGAACGAATAGTTTCATAATATTTGGGCCCCGAGTTAATATGAGACATTAAAGAGGAAGAATGTATTTGTAAAGTCTCAGCGAAAGAATTTGAAGTAAATCCAACCTTTCGCATGGCAATCTAGTCCAAACTTTTTCTTTGCCAGGCGAAACGTTGGATTTACTTCAAATTCTTTCGCTGAGATTTTACAAATACATTCTTCCTCTTTAATACAGAAAGATAAGTTTACATATCTAGAGAAATTTCAACTGTACTTACGATTTTAAAGATTGATTGTATTCACAATTAAATCAATAATGTCTACTCATTATTCATTCCAAAACTATTATTATAGTTTGTTTATTAAGTAGTAGTTCTTTAAAACTGCGTATGTTATGTCGTATAAATGATTATCCTAAGTAATTGATGTGAATTTTGGAAATGAAAGAAACCAATTAAATTTTAGGTCTATTGAACAAGCTGTTAGTCAGTTTTTGTCTTGAAAATGTGTCGATGATATTGTCTAGAAAGACAATCAAAGAATTAAAATGTAACTATCGGACTCGGATGTCCTCCTCCGGATCTACTAATATTCATCATCATGGTATGAATTCTGATTTTAGTTTATTGAAGAAAAATTAAAATACACAAGTTTAATCATTCATTGTTATATACGTGATTATAGTTAAATGATATGTTTATTTAATTACTAACAAAGCCATATATTTAATACTTCCATTTTTCTTGTTATTATGGAAATGGATGGATAGCTCGCATCAACTCCGAAGTGTATTCAACTGATATGATAATGAATAATCAAGATCCACAAATCCAACATCCTAAAATTTCATCTAACAACACCAATAAAAATAATGAATCCTCTGTATCGTTAACGCATAGTTCCAATGCTTCTTTTATGCCCTCATATTCTGGTGTTACCAGTCAATCTATGTCATCATCACATTTGAAAGAAAATATATCAACAAAATATGGGCCAGATCAAGTACATGGTTTACCTTTAAAATCAGAAGTAGTTTTGCGTGAGTATTTATTATTACAAGTTTTATTAGACTGATACACTTACTTTGTGAACTATAATTTAAGTCTGATAAATTCTGAATCATTGTTTCAACTTGTATTCTCCTTAGTTAAACATTGTATGCTCACTTATTTTTTGCAAAATAATGGAGATTGGACACTTTATTAGCAATACTGCTACTCCCCTACATTACTTTAACCACTCATTTTCTCGTAAACGACTTCAATGAATTGAGAAACTTGTTTAGAATAAACACTACCAAGTATACAAAGAATTTAACCGTCTCAAAACAATTCTTTAAGTCTGCTAAGACAATGGACAATATTTATTTATTACTTGTCTTTAACAATACTCCATTATTATTTTTTTTAGAAATTCATTTCTTTACTGTTCAATATTTTTGGTTTTTAGTATTATTTTTTTAATTTCTATTTTTAACTATCTTCAGCACTGGGTCGTTGTTTAGGACATGATTTGATGAGAATATACGAATCACCAGCAACCAATTTGTTGTAACTGCTGATAGTCGAGCTGTAATATTATGCGGTTATTACGACAGATCATTTCGTATTTATGGATCAAATAATGGTAATTTGTGTGTTTTTTTATCATCATAACACAGTGTCATCTTTGTAATTTATCCATAAATAATTGATTATATATATTTACCTTGTGTTTTACATGTTCGATAGAAAATTTCGTCTTCTGTTGTTACAATTTGAAATATATAAGGATTTTACTCTAAATATCTTGTATCTATATCTCTAACTTATTTGATTTGATAGAAATAACCGAAAGTGTATTTACTTCTAGTTTTATACAGTTGACATTTTAAGTAAATTCAGTTCAATTATGTTAGATAACTTTAAAAGATAACTAGGAACTGTTCATTACTGATTTCTGTTTGGTGTTGGTTCTGATATCAGCAACGCATATCTTCAGCATAAAAAAATTCATACTTAGTTTTTAAGGACTTGAACATAATTTGCTTACCTCTACAATTATGAACCTTAAGCCATGAAAACAATTACGATCTCAGTTACATCGTTACTATTAAAAAAATTTTCAAGCACTGCTTTGAATCTGCCAACCTATCAAGTTTCTAGTTGGTTGCTTTTGAACGTCTTTTTGATTTCGTGACAGTTTTCGTTATGGACTAACTTTGGTCAAAAGAACATTGAAAACCATAGTGCATTGGTCAGTTATTTCATCGCAGTTAATGATCCGTTTGAATTTTGCTGGACGACGAATTAACCAGAGATTAAATCTAGGACCTTGAAGTCTTGTAGCCTAGGACATTACGTTTAGACCACCAAGTTGGAATCAACTTCTTTATGTATTATCTTCAAGATTGATACACGTTATACCTATTCTCAAATTAATTTAAAATTGCTCAGCTCATTTAAACTAATCTGTCGGATGTTGTCAGCTCTATTTTTTCATTATTCATTGTAATAATAAATCATATTTACCATTAGTAATGTGCCCTTTCTAGAACTGTTTACTCATCTGCCTTCTTTTTTTTACATTAAATAAATGTTTAGGTCGTTTTATTCAAGCCGTATTTGGGCATAGTGATATTGTTACATGCTTAGCACGTTCAGAGTGTCATCTCAGTCAGTATCATTATTTAGCTTCTGGTAGTCGAGATTGTACCGTGATGTTGTGGATGTTTAGTGTACAACGTTCATGCGTTATCAATAGTCAAGGTAAATTTGCATTCTTAACATTTTCTGTGAATAATTTTTACCATTAAATTTTCCAGCAAAAATTAGACAATTTAAAACAAATATAAACAAGATGCCATCGTATTCAGTTTTCGTTCTTTATATTAAATATGAAACTTTCAAAAGAAAACAGGGAAAACGTGAAAATTTCAAACTTATCTGATAATAAACATTTCGTAAATAAATAATTATCATCTGTTAACTGATGATTTACTTGAATTTAAATTGCTGAAACTCTCAGTAAGAAGTCATAACTAATGAATTCCAACCATATTAAAGATGAAATAACTGTTACTCAACCATGGGATTAGATTAAATTGTGCTAAATTGTAAATAGATTATAGTTGATTAAATGAACTATTGAACACTGATTACGGTAATCTAAAATTAATTCAGTTCCTACGACAACTGAATGTTCTAATTTCGATTGTTGTTGGTTCTTACTGTTAAAGAGTAATATGATGAGACAATAAAATAATTAGATACCCACTTAGTTTTCACTGGTTCTTTAAATGTCATAAATCAGTGATATAAGTCTTTTTGAATTTATTACTACTAACCTAGTAAAATGAAATTAAATAATCTATGAAGTGAATAATCAGTTCGATGTGATTATTGAGTTCACGTAATAATTTAAGTCAAAAATTCTTCGCAAACTAATTTTATTGATATTGATTTTTCTCTGAGCTATTTCCCATAATTTTCGTTCTAAACCACAATATTTTCATCCATATTTTCATGAGGATTCGCTTTCCTTTCAACTGGTCAATAGTTGTCAGTGGTGATAATATTTTTAAAAATAATAATATTTAAAGTAATCAAAATCTCTCATTGAGTTGTGTAAATATTTTGATCTGTCATAATTGAAGTTTTATTATACAGGATTGAAATAGATGTAGAACAAGTTTGAAGAAAAATGTCAGTAAGCTAGGAATATTTTCCTAGCATATTGCTATCATTCGAATTCAAAACTCTCGTTTCGCCCTATTCGGTATTAGTCAACCTGGTGTATCAGTATCTCAGTATGATGTTCACCCTGAGATATCGAGAATATTATTCAATCTACGAGATCACTTTAGGTCAACAAGAAAGTAATTATATATGTGAAAGAAATTGCATACTTCTTCACTGGACTTTCTTTAGCTCTGTAAGGTCAAGATATACTAAATTTGTTTACATGAAATTGAAGCACTAACTGAGAAAGATTATTCATTTGTTTGATGATCACTAAAAAACATACGGTTACCGTGTGTAAGTTTAAATATAATGTACGCTATAAAGGTTCTGCTGTTGAATAAATTCTCATTTTTAACAAACGTAATCTAACGAAAAATATATGAATAAAGTAATGGATTTAAGAGTTAGTTAAACTATGTTTATTGTCCAGTGTGCAATTTCTTAATGATTTACATATAAAAGAAAGAAACATTCATATTGTGATTGGGAACTACACTATGATGTCATTCAGGAATCCAGTAAAGTCTATGTGTTAATAACGATTAACTAAATTTAGTCCGAAGTATTAACAGTAATAGTGGAAAAAAAGCTGGCCAAACACCTATTGATTAAAGCGACTTTAACGCTATTGTACTTTTGTCTTGTGCACAATTTACAAATGATATTTCATAATGAGGTCTTGACTTGAAGTCAGCAAATAAATTTACGCCAACTTTTCGAAATTTCAGATTATGAGTCTTTGTGCAACGTAGTTCTTTACTAATACCTCAATTCATTTTTGAGCTTAAAACGTTTTTGTAAAGAAGTAAATTCTAAGTGAACATTAGATGTGAAATGTAAATATAATACTGTTGGACGGCAAAAATATCATTGTTATTTCTGTTATACGAAAGTTTAGCAAACAGTCGACTGATTTAAAAGTATGGTTACTGTGATGTTTAAAGATGTGAAGTTTTACTGCCACTAAAAGTCTTAAATTGAATAAAGTACTCTGTCTTCTACATTTTTGTGTTGTATTTCACTGAATAGAAACTGATCTCTAAGATTATCAAGATTATCAACGTGAACTACAATGCTAGATTTTGACCAGTATGTCTTGAATTCAAACACTGATCTGTCTACTTCATTTTGGCTGTGGGGTAGTATTACTAGCCTACTCACGAATAATGTGACTCGAGTAAATGTACGTGTACTCGGCAAATGAGTTGCATTATTCTGTTGTTTGATTCAAAACCATTCTTGTATTGTTCTCCCAAAATTTTTTTGTTTAATTTATAACAATCTATTCATATTGTTTATATATATCCTTCGGTGAGTTCGAAATAATATTTATTCATTTCTCTTCTATTACCTTCATCTATTCTGATTTTTCAAGCATATTTAGCCCTTTATATTATTATTATTCCTTGATTAGCTATTTTTACATTCTGTATGCTAAAACTAAGTATTTGACCTATTTGTCTGTCTGATTTATAGGTTTACCAAAACCATTATTTATTCTAAATGGTCATGAAACAAGTATTAATTGTATCAGTTTGTCAGCTGAATTAGGATTAGTTTTAAGTGGATCAATGAGTAAGTATATACATATTTATTTTATCAGTATTCAATTTCAAGCAATATTTTTATTGGTTTCCAAAAATTCATTATTTCTACTTGTTTAGTAATTTATCATCGGTTTTGGCTTACTCCATATTTTACAAATTGATTAACATTTAAATTAAATCTACTATCCTGTTAGTGTTCTTGTTAGAATACGAGATTGATTCAAGATTGATTCTCAAAGTTTCACTGAAAAGCTGTATATAATGAAGTTCAATTATGTAATAAATATCGATACTTTTGACTTAATCTAATTCTTTAATTTTGGGAAGTTTACGCCTACACCGATTATCAAATTCAAGTTATCGCACAGTTTTATATATTAGTTAATATATGTATGTATACGCCCATATTGTCAGTCTCCGGATTTTATTGTCAACTCTTGTCAATGAAATGTCATTCTAAATAGGACCCGTAACAATTGGATTGCAACTCACCATAAAAGCAATATAGTCTACTCTACACTATACAGACTATGTGCGTGCATCAGGCATAGCTTGTAAACTGGTAAAGAAGAACATGTGTTTCTAATATTAAATTTTTTTGATATCATATATTGGTTTTATTTCTTGATGTCCTTACGTTCTTACTATGTAGATGGAACTTGTTTATTACATTCAACTCGTGGTGAACTATTGCGTTGCTTACCTTCACCATGTACAACAATATTAAATCATCAACCTTCAACATCATCATCGACAGCAATAGTATACAATGATGTTACAGCACCAATTCAGCCTAATCTACTCACTTATCATCGTGAAGGTTATCTACTTGGTCTGTTTAATCTATCACAATTATCAATTTATACTTTAAATGGGAAATTATTGCGTACTACTGATTTGAGCATTCTTTCAAATAACACAAGTTGTTTATATCAAATTAATGCTGTGTTATTTAGTAATTGTGGTCGTTACATTCTTATAGCCGGTAATGATGGTGTTATATGGATTTTAAGAAGTTATAATTTATTACCAATTCATGCATTTCCTAAATGTGATACATCTATTGAATCGTTGTGCCTAAGTTATGATCAACGGTAAGATATGTTTGGTTTTTTACTATTCATATTAATATATAAACGTTTATATACTCTAGGATTATGTGATTGTTATTTTACCAGTGTTTCTGTATAACTTGCTTAAAATAAAGAATGTTTTATATAGTGATTGTGCTAGTCGAAATTAAACTAGCTAACTATGGATTCCATATCTCTCTTCAATCCCCGATTAATCGACCTTAAATACGTTAAACGCATTGCTTGTGTGTTAGGGTTGAAATCGGGTTGCCTGTATCGTATTTTGTATTACCTTTATCGGAAGCTCAATGTTAATGCATTATAAAGGTAGAATGAAAAAGAAAACAGACAACAAATGCCAAATCAAAATATCCTGATATTTCATGAAGTCACTGACTGTTGTTTTGAGTTTTGGTTGGATTAGTAAACTTCCTAGATTTAGTTATAGAGATAATTATAAATTTATAATGAAAGGATTCAAGTGGCATGAATTGAGAATAGATACAATGTATCAGATATATTCATTGCATTTTAATATCACCATTGGAAATATGATTTCTTGTCTATTGATCCTTGTTATTTCGTCAATACTTTTGATATTCTCATTTGAAGTACAGAAACTTCGTTTGATCGATATCCGTTCTAAATTCAATATTGTTTATCAAAACTTAGTTTTCATGTGATCGAAATATGCATATCTCGTAGCATTCGCGATTGACTGTTTCTTGTACAGAAGGAATATTTTTTTATCAAAACGTATTTGTGAAATAATTAATGTCAAAACAATAGAATGAGAAAAAAATACGAGTTAACGAACGTTATGAGTACAATAGTCATCATGGTACGAATTAGTTTATCGTCGTGTTTTGCTTAATTTTCACCTGTAAAAATGACTAGTCTCAACACCAATGACTCAATAAGCCCTTCTACTGTCTCCGTATAGTTAATCTCATATGACAGGATAGTAAGAATCGAGACAAATTTATCGTTATAGGGGCATCCATATAAATTCATAATAGTTTGATAAATATCTCCATGCAGAATATGACAGTTATGATTGAAAGCTTTTAACTTTGTGATTTATTTTCCTAGCTTTATCTCCATTAAGATAAACTGCCACTTAGCCGCCGAAATTAAGTAACCTTTTCAGATCAAGTAACCTGACGACAATAAAGGTTTTGTAAACTAACCAATTTTTAAAAACCTTATGAAAGTGAAGTACTGTTCGATAAGCTACAATTATGCTAAATAGCTATCAGATTCTTCCTTAATACTTTGAGGTTATAAGGCAACTTTTGAAGAGAAATAGCTCTAAAGATGTTGATTATTTTTTGAATGTACACAAACCATTCAATAAGCAATACTAAAAATACACTTGATAATATGTAACGAAAATTAATCAATGACATTAAAAATCTGCACCAATTACAATGATTTGATTATACGTGTGTATGTTGTACCGCAGCCTACTTTTACACAATACCTTATTTAAAACAGGAATATAATAATTGAATGGTTGAATTCATGATTCGATTATAGCTAGACAACCATGCAAAACCTGGAAGCGGTTTACGGACGTTTCGTCTTAGTATGGGACTCCTCAGCAGTGCGCAATATCATGGGTTGGTTAAAGTTAGACATGAACACCATCTGATGGTGCATCAGTGGTCTAGAAGTTAAGCTTTCACGCGCGAGACCGAAGGTTCTGGGTTCGAATCCCGCGTGCAGAATCGTAGGTGCGCGCTGTTGAGGAGTCCCGTACTGAGACGAAACGGCCTTCCAGTGCTTACAGGTTTTACATGGTGGTCTAGCTTTAATCGATTCATAACTTCAACCATTAAATTACTACAATCTCCACAAATCCCTATTCTGATAGGAATAAAGTAATCGAAATCAAAATACAATGAAAATTTATGTAGTCATAAATTGTTAGTTCAAACTGTAGGTTATATGCGTAGCATCAATGATATGTTTGAATTTCTTGAAAAGTGAGTTAAGAAAACAAGTTTTTAGGATTCATTGAAATGATTGAATTCTTATTATTATTCCATCTATTGGTTTCCTGCTAATTCATTTCTAACCATAAAATACAATTACTCTTAACAATGCATATCTTTAGAGATCGTTATATTCTAATAGATACCGACTATACAAACATATGGCTTAATATTTCTTCTCTACAGTGAAATTTCTTCTACGGATCCAAAGTCAACCTCTAATTGTAATTACTCAATGATATTTAACTTCTCATAAATAACCTATTCATCCTTTCAATATTTTCAGTTTGGTAATAAATATTAAATTCAATATAAAATTCAGCTTGTGAAAATAATAATGGTAATATGATTAATTCCTAAACGGTTCATCAGATAAACTATCACTACTACAGTTTTTCTTGACAACTCCATAGTGTACTCAGCATACAATGTTGAACGAATTGATTATTATTATTAATAATTAAATCAAACGATAAGTAACCAGTAAATTTTACTATGAAAAAGAGCAATTTCATGTATTATAACTTGAAAATTCTCAAATGCTATAATATTCAAACTTCTAATGATTACTGAATTTCAATTTCAGCAGTTATTCTATTATTTTATTCCAATTAAATTTTTCATTGACAATGCAGTCATACAGATCATCAGTACATATTGCTGCTTATGATCAATATTTGATAAGAAATATGTAATTTTTTCGTGTCTTGTAGATTTATTTTCGCTGGTCTGAAATCTGGTTGTCTGATTGTGTTCTACGTTGACTTCAACCAGTGGCATCACGAATTTCAACAACGTTACTTTTAAATAAATAAAACAGAACTAATCTACTAATACATATCAAGCGTTTTCTTTTCACACTGTTTCTAATATTTTGAGATTACTGAAATTTAATTTCAGTAGTTAAATATGTAGACACGTTTATATTTTCGATTGTCTTTTGTGTTGGGACCATTTATAAATCATAACTTTTGATGTTGTTCATGTAGTTCAGGTATTTTTTGAAAAGTCTTTTCCTCTCTATATTTGTCTACCCACATATTTCAGTGATCATATCATACATGAATGTGATAATCAAGAAACCGTTTTTATGTTCCCTCTTGAGCACTCTCTTATTGTAAAAATATTGTTTTTTTTATGCAGTGATGTTTAAATGAAAAACACTATGTGGTGGTTATTTGCTTATTATATTTGTTATAACTTGTACGTTTGTGTCCCTATCAGTATATAACGTAATGATACCGCCAATTAGAGTACAGTGATTAATAGACCGGACTATTGACACGTAAACCCGTGCAAGCCGTCTATAGTTCTTATCGGTCCTGCTTCCCGCCTATCCCTGCATATTAAGTCCAGAACACCAATCTCAGCCTCTGCGATATGAATCATGCATTTCAGATACACGAAAAGATAATGTTCGGCGCTTTAACAGGATTGGTGGGCACAGAGATATCCACATAGGGGAGTTGGAAAACCCCTATTCCAAACCAATGCTGCAAATGGGCTCTAGGATCCTGAAGGAACGAATGACATATGAACCAATTGTCGGCCACGGGCTAACGTGAGACTGCATCTCCTCGCGTTACACCACTGCTTTGTGGATTAGACCTTCAGATTAAAGGCTCTGAGTGTGCCCTTCCTTCGGTTAGGACACCCGGGCAGTATCACAAACCTTGCACATATTATTGATAACTACTACTGGAAAATTTTCTCTTGCTTCAATCCTCACTCAGACAAATCTTGTTCACAATCATATAATAACATTCGTTTTTATTTCCTTTATATTACGTTACTTATATATTCAGTTTTGTCACAGGTCAACAATCGTAGTGTTTCTTGACATCGGGGCTGTCTGCGATTCGTTGGACAGGACTGTTCTCTAGGATTGTCTGTTGAAGAAGGGTATACTTCATTGACATCTTAAAAACCTTATATACAACCATCTCTCTCCATTGTTCCATTCGAGCAGTGGGGTTAGACAGGGTTGCCCAATCTCACCACTCCTCTTCAAATTTGTTATCGACGACATTCTGGAAACAGCCCTTATGGATGTAGAGAATGGTGTTGTAGATCTTTTTCCTGGAGCAAGACTTCTCGACCTTAGGTATGAGGATGATATTGTCTCACTGTGCGATAATGCCCAAGCCATGCAATCCGCATTTAATCAGTTGGCAATCAGTGTCCGTAGGTATGGTATATACTTTACATCTTCGAAGTGCAAAGTACTTCTACAAGATTCGCACGACCATGTAGTGAGCAGATAAAAGTAGTCCAGACGTTCGTGTATATGGGTTGCTGCGTAAGTGTTGGTGGTGGCGTGAGTGATGAAATCAACTCACGTACGGTGAAAGCGAGAGCAGCTTATGCCAATCTGGGCCATCTTTGGCGCCTTCGTGATGTTAGTCTGGCTGTAAAAGGTCGGATCTACAACGCGTCGGTGAGAGCAATTCTGCTCTATGCTTGTGAAACCTGGCCTCTCCGAGTTGAGGATGTTAGACGACTGTCTGTGTTTGATCATCGTTGTCTCCGAAGGATTGCTGATATCCAGTGACAATACCACGTGAGTAATGCAGCGGTTCGGAATTGTGTGTTCGGGCATTGCGACGATAGTTTGATTGTTGTCACTATCTTGAAGCACCAGCTTCGGTGGCTTGGACATGTCCTACAAATGTCGTCCCAGAGAATTCCACGTTGTTCATTATTTGCCGACGCTGGGACCGGGGACCTCAATCAAGAATGGTTAAAATTTTATCGTAATATTTTTAGCCAAAACTAGGTACGTATAATCCTTTGAGTTAGTGTCGGATCTGTATTCCACTATTTGCGATATACTACATATGTTTGTAGTGGATGTTTATTTATGAACAAAACCTTCCATTTGATGGCAAGATAGTTTTGATATGTGGCGGAGGTAATCTATTTCTTTTGACAGACTGCATCCATAGTATATTTCATCAAAAGACAGGTATAGAATTTAATCATCACATATTAGCCTGCAGTATGTGTTAACTGCACCTTCGATTTCTCATCTTAAATTGATGTGTTCCGGTTACGTTAAAAATAAGCTGAAACAAATAACTATATTTTCCATTTTGTGAAAAGATTTCACATTTAAAACAAATTCATATTGTCATACTTACGATTACGAAATTCGAAAATCCCATATATATTATATTTGGTGTGATTACAATAACGAACAAATTTTATAGTATTCAAAATCAATCATTAAATTAAACAATATACAGAAATCCTATAGCTTGTCACACAAGATTTATATATATATATATATATATATATATATATATATATATATATATATATATATATATATATATATATATATATATATATATATATATATATATATCAAAGCAAAGAAATGTCTTAGTGATATGGAAAGCCAATCAGAAGTAGCCTAACGAGGTCTGTGGATGGCAATCAAAAGTGCATTTCACTGGCTAAGAAGTGGATCGATTTCCTGAAGATTAGAGTGGTATAAATGTAAATGAGTATTTGTGCATGTTACTAGGCAACCTAATACACTTACTTGTTCAATCTTGTGTTCTCGCTCACCTAGTCAGTTAAGGGGTTAGCGCGTTGTACACCGTGTATCAGCATCCGATTACGGACCCCGCCCGTCACGACACTTAGTTATGAACAGACAAATATAAATCTGCACCCCAAGATATGTAGACATGTGGAAGCACAAGTATATCGTGAGTACACTTCGCTGTAATATCTGTTAATGGTCATTTCAGTAAAGAAAATTGATCTGAAATTTTGAGGAAATCTAACAAGCCAAAAAAATTTTATCAGTATCTTCTACAGTAACATGGATAATAAGGCGTATGGATAGTGGGAGTCTTTTGCTATTCACATACAATAATGAATGTCACTAATCTTTGCAATGATAAACTAGGTTCCTTTTAATATTAGCAAACAATATGGCTGAGGTTATCCGCACCGTTCTGAATGTTTACTGTGTTTTGTAACTAGTATTCCCTGTCGTTTCTGAGTTTATTTAGTCATTGAATGCTTCATGTTAAAGTATATTTTCATTAATGATTTCATTCCAAGCTGCTGTAATTATTCGCAACCGTCTGCAATGAATATGTCCAGTTTAGCACAGTTCAATAGAAAACACAAATATAGCAAACAATAGATCTCAAAAGAGAATTTCCAGTGAAAATTACACTTAGATCCACTGCTTATCCATTAAATATACAAGGAAATAACTGAAATTGTTGAATAAAACACATTTAGCGAACATATAAAACATCACCGATAACTTCAGCCCAAAAACATAACGATAATGCGAGGTAGTATAAACTTCAATACTAGTAAATTATCTCAACAATTTTTTGTCATTAGTCATGTAACCTAATTGAAAATATTCACCTCTATTTTGATTGTTATTATGGAAAACAAAGCAGATTGAGCTTCATTCTCTTTTTTAACAGTTTATAATATGAAATAATAATTAAAAACAAGCAAAATTGAATAATGTAACATCTCTATCTAATATAATACAATTAGTCTTATTGAATATCAAAAACACGATATAATCATGTATAACAACATATCTGTCTTTTTATGAATCTTTATTCAAACAAAATACTAAATGATTTGAAAATTACATGTTTTCCATTAAATTATGACTTTGTTGTAATCATTATCAAATTAATAATTGAACACAACAACAAACAAAATAATATGATGTGAAGAGTACACTGAAATATGCAAAATTTCTTAAACAGATACTTTTCTCAACAACAAAAAAGAAAAATATTAAAAAAATTTTCAAGAATAAACTAGACAATTATATGTATATAGTAATGTGAAATGTTTAGAATAGTTTTGGCAAATAAACCGAAAGGTAATGACCGGTCTTAATATCATGAATCTAATTGTATAACAATATTATACACATAGAGACAACAATGCTTAAATACAGAAAAAAAATGGTGTATAAAAGTTACCATACTAGTTATATGGTAATGAGTAGATTTATTGACAATCATTTATTTCCCAAATAACAATACTGTACATAATAATATAATGATTATATCATATGTAATTTCAGAAGTAATAGTAATAACAAGAATAATCATAGTAACAGCAAATAAATACATAGTTATATTATTCAATTATATTCACTGTAATGGATAGATGAAGGAGAAAAATAACAGTTTTTCTAATAAGTTTCTCTTGGTTCTTCTTTCTCTCAAAATTTTGCTTGTTTATTGATTTTAATTTACTTCTGCTTCGTTTTTTTTTTCAATATTAAATGCAATAATTCAGAGAAAATTAATGCTTTCATTAAAACAACAAGAGACCAATGAAACATGAGGGGTAAGCAAGAAAGGGAGGCAGAGAGACCATAGAGGAAGGAGAACAAACGAATAAGTAAAAATTAATTTTCACAAATAGATTACATCGGTACAAAAAAAATGAAGAGTAATATAAAAGCACCGATGAATGAGGGATCATATGTCTTTAGATTTAATTAAGCAACTGATGGTATAAAAAGATCATAATGAGATGTTAATTTTTCGACTGAGGATAAGCTTGTGTTTTATTACGTAATGGGAAAGTGGTATTTTGATTGCGTGCATCATTCGAACTGACTAAAACTGGAGTAGATAAAGCATTTAATAAACGATTCATTGTAATTTTATCTAATTTCTCAGGATTTGAAGCTAAACTAGGATCTTTAAGCATAACATGACGACGAACTTCTGAATACATTGCACCATAAGGATTACCTTTAAAAATAGAACGTAAATGTATATCAGACATAAATATATTAGTTATGAAAAAGAATATTTGTGGTCCGATAAAAAAAAACATACGACTGGAAATTAACAATAACAGTAATATCCAAGATGGAACATTGCTAATGAACTTTACAAGTATGAATGCCGATATGATTGTGTCTTTTTCCGTCCAAAAAAGACAAGGATAAAAATAGATTGAACACATAGGTGTCTCCACTATTCATAGGTATGGAACGATGCTAGAATTATATTTCCTAATAGAATGAGATACCCTAAAGCCTATAATACAAGGACGTTGAAAAAAATAGAGATGCAATTTATCGAAGTCAAATATATAACGACGGGTAGAAAATAAAGTCACTTCCTGATTCATAATAAGTAGTTTAAATGGATGACAAAAGTAATCGTTATATTCAAACAGCATAACAAAGACGTTTTATCGTTTCATTAGCAACCTTATTCCTGAAGAAGATGAGATATGGTGAGTGTGAAGTGAAAAACCTCAAATCACTCAGTAACCGTTAATTTTACCACTTAGTAACTACTTAGTTACTCCTTTTACCCCTCTTAGAGGAGCATAGACCACCCATCAGGATTCGCCATCGAATTCTGTCTTAGTCAATCCTTTCCAGTTGTTTCCAGCCGTTATTAATTGTTTTGATGTCTGCCCCCAAGTACGGCCAAGGGCAACGAGAATTCGCTTTCCTTCTCCAAATGCTCACACATGGCCATCCGTATACAGCCACTGACAGGGAAGTCCTACTCACTAACTTCTCGCGGCGGGGGTGTTGTTTACGAAATTCAGAGGACAAAAAGCAAATGTTCGGCGCTTTAACAGGGTTGATGGGCACAGAGCATCCACATAGGGGAGGTGGAAAACCCTGATTCCAAACCAATGCTGCACATGGGCTCCAGTATCCTGAAGGAACGAATGGTGTATGAACCGATTGTCGGTCACCGGCTACCATGGGACTGCATCTCTTCACGTTGCACCACTACCTTAAGTTAAAAGCTCCGAGTGTGGACCACTACGAAAACCACCCGCGTCGGTCTAAACACCCTGGCAGTATCGCAGCCCAGATATAAATCAATTGACTTGTGTGACGTATATGTATTCTATGCCCCGTTCTACCAATATTTCTGTTCAAATAATAATATGTCTGCTTCCAATTCCCGACGGAAATGATATATATATATATATATATATATATATATATATATATATATAAACCTCCCAATCGATTTTGGCCCACCAACAATTGAAGAAATCAGCATGGACATCAGACAAATCAAGAGCGGTGAAGCAGCAGGACCAGACAACATTCCATTACAGGCACTGAAAGCAGATGTAGCAGTAACTGCAAAGATACTCCATATTCTCTTCAGCAAGATTTGGGATGAAGAACAAATACCAACAGACTGGAAAGAAAAACTTCTGGTCGAAATACCAAAATCGATCTCAGCAACTGTTATAACTATAGGGGCATCACTATTATCTCAATACCAGGAAAATTCTTTAACAGAATATGGCTAGACAGGATGAAGGACTCCGCTAACGCCCAACTTCGAGACCAACAGGCTGGATTCCGTAAGGATCGATCATGTACAGACCAACTCGCAACTCTACGGATTATTGTGGAACAGTCAATTGAATGGAATTCATCACTCTACATCAACTTCATTGACTACGAGAAATCATTTGATAACATGAACAGAACAACACTATGGAGGCTTCTTCGACACTACGGCGTGCCTCAGAAGATAGTCAATATCATACAGAATTCCTATGATGGATGAAACTGTAAAATCGAACATGGAGGACAATTGACAGACTCGTTCGAAGTAAAGAACGGTGTCAGGCAAGGTTGCTTACTCTCACTCTTTCTCTTTGTCCTAATGTTCGTCTAAATCATGAGAAGGTCGACATGTGTGGAGAAGCATGGGATACAGTAGACAAATAGGATGCAGATGGACGATCTAGACTTCGCAGATGATCTGGTTCTTCTATCGCACACGCAACAACAAATGCAGGAGAAGACGACCAGTGTAGCAGCAGTCTCAGCAGAAGTAGGTCTCATTATACACAAAGGGAAAGGGAAGATTATCCGATACAACACAGCATGCAACAATCGAATCGCACTTGACGGAGAAGATTTGGAAGATGTAAAAACTTGGAAAACTACGAAAGCTATCATCCAGAAGATACAGGTGTTTATTAACAGTTGTCTACGCAAAATACTTCAGATCCATTGGCCGGACACTATTAGCAACAACCTACTGTGGGAGAGAACAAACCAGATCCCAGCGGAGGGAGAAATCAGGATGAAGTGCTGGAAGTGGATAGGACACACATTGAGGAAAGCACCGAACTGCGTCACAAGACAAGCCCTCACATGGAATCCTCAAGGCCAAAGGAAAAGAGGAAGACCAAAGGACACATTACGCCGGGAAATGGAGATAGACATGAGAAAACTGAACAAGAATTGGATGGAACTAGAAAAGAAGGTCCAGGACAGAGTGTGTTGGAGAATACTGGTCTGCGGCCTATGCTCCATTGGGAGTAACAGGCGTAAATAAGTAGGTAAGTAATTAAGTAAGTAAGTTATTTGCTAACAATTAATTCATAGTTATACTGTTTAGGTAGAGTATCTTGAGTAAGCATACAAGTTTTAATACCTTTATACTTATTCGTATACCTAATTAATCAGTTCATTAATTTTTTTCTTGAGACTTATTCAGCTGAGCACCATAAATATGTTCAGTAACCGAATTGTCATTCTGAAGACCTGTACGTAGATTTCAACTAGTGGCCATTGTGTAACAACAATAAAAACTAATAAAACAGTTAAACAAGTGAAAATTTTCGGACTTGAAGTCTGTAAAAACAGAGCTAGTTCAACTAACAAGTTACATGTAAGCATCTCAACGTTACAAGAAATGAAATATGTTTAAAAGTACGACGCCATTATGGAAAACAAGATGAACGCTGAGAATTCATCAATTTTAAAATCGTTAGCTGTCCGGGCTTTCGTTACACCATCAAAATTTAAGCTAAAAGCAAGGTATATCCCTTCAATATGTTCCAGAATGTACTAAAAGAGAGAGAACAGCACTTACATATGCTAAGTGATCAAAACAATAAACAACGAAAGCAAATTAGCCACTAGGTTTTTTGAAGCAAAGCAAATAGTTGAAGGTAAACGAGGTTTCAAAGCAGCGTGGATAAGGTAAGTAAAAAAATATCAATAGTTTAGTGAGCGATCAAAACATTGCAATAAGAGTATACACATTAAAAATGGTTGATTCGGTGAAATAATGTATCATCAATCAACACAGTACATAAGATAAGTGAAGTAATCGCATAGTGAATTATGGACTTGATTATAAGATGGTGAAGATTTGTAGCTCAGGTGGATGATTTTGGTAGAGTTGTGTTCTCTGAGCTGGATGGTTTGGTCGTGGAACTTTAGTTACTGGTTTGAACTCAACCCCTTCAATTTCGGATTGAAGGCCTAGATTGTATCAATAGCCGTAATATACAAAAAAGAGTGGAAAAAATCTAGTGTCTGACAAAGGGGTTGCGTGAATAACCTCTGAAAATCGTTATATATAACTCTAGCTATTTATAATTCATAAGTAGTATAGCGTGCTGTAAAAAAATTAGGCAGGAAAGGAACTACAGAAAAAGTGATAAATGAATGACAAAATAAATTTATAACATTCATTAATAAAAAAACCTGGGAAAAAAGCCTTCGATACCCTTTATATCTAACACTTCGTGTATAAATGGGTCGTAAAAGTCAAGTAATCTACTACAAATTAGTATAATCACAATAGGGATTGAGCGAAGTATAAAATAGCAAAACAAAAAATAACTTACTTAGCATATTGGTAATCGGTGATGCCACATAGCGTGCTTGAGATCTAGACGGATTGGTAGTGATTAATGAACTTCCAATAGCATTATTGCTAACATTGCTATGAATCGCTTGTGGTAGAACGGTTTGCATATCCTCAGTACTACCACTACCAACATTGGTTATAGTTAAAGTATTTTCTGTTGATTTAGTGACAGGTATACTACTACTATTATTATCAATGATATTCATGCCAGTATTTGAAATGTTCACTGTATTGTCAGTGAATGTCGATGTTTGAAAGAGATGTATGTTACTATTATTATTGTTATCATCGTTAATAACAATTGTCTCTTCGTTATTTAATGATGGAATCATTGAGAAGCGAAAGTTGGGACTGACAAAATTCGGTAAAACCAAACGTTGTTGCAAGTGAAATTGATTTTGTTGCTGTTGTTGTTGTTGAAATTGTTGTTGATGTTGTGCTATCCACTCCTGTTGTAACAATAAACGTTGATATTGAGCTAATGATATACCTAATCGTTTCTCTTCTTCAAACTCTCTCCATGCTTCTTGACGTTCTGATTCTGTAAGACCTTCATCTTCTCTATGCTCTAATAAGGAATCATGATTATGATAAGTCACAATTAAATGTGGATATTCTGTAAGCATATCAGCTAATAAACGATCTTTAGGTAATATTGGTGTAGGACGTTTATCATTTCCATTAGGATTCCATATATCTGGTTCAAAAGTAAATAGTTCTTGTAAATCAGAATCTGAAAAATGTCGACCGATTTGTAGTTCATCGATTACTCGAAGAGATAAAGACTGTTTAGTTACCTGAAGAGTAGAAAGGAATTCGAATATATTACATCAATACATTAAACATGCATTAAAATTATGTTCATCACATACAAGATATTAATATTACACATGAGTCAAAAGTTACCTGGATCATAAGGAAATGTAGTCTAGAAAAATAAGTCAGACATCTACATGGATTATCGACATTTGCAACTTATTCGTTCGCGATATTCGTATTATATTCATTTCTACAGAATTAACGGAAGCCGGTCAATATATTCCTGGATGAGATATTTAAATTGTGTTAACCAAGTTTGTTCTGAATTTAAGGTTTCCTTTTTTTAATGTACCTATTAATATGAAGAATCGTATTACTTACATCTTAAGAATAGATAAACACTGCTTTTTATCATAAGAATGAGGTCGTGTCCTAACGACATAGTCGATATCAACGTTTTTTAGGAAATTCCATCACACGGAAATTTAAATGATTCAAGGAAGCTGACTTCCAGTTCGTCAAATTTTATCAGTACAATGAAAAAGAACGTAAAATATGAGATACATTGAAACAGTAAGTGTTAAATCTACTTACTCATCTTAACTTCATTTTCTTATTATTTAGTTCCTTCTTTTACATTTCATTATATTACTTACAGTACAATAACTGGTTTCATAATCACGCACCTCTGAGAATATAACTCTGTCACCTTATATGATATCCTTAAGTGTTGACATAAATCTGTGATTGTAATTGTGATAACATTTAGTTTTATTTTTTATGCATTCAGTGAACACTTATTGATTTGGAATAATTTCTACATTTTTTATCTGTAGTACTCATTTAAATTGGTTGGTTTTCGTTGTTGAACCAACAAAGCTACTGGTTGTAAATTAGTACATCCTATGTTCCTGTGTAATTATTGAGGAAATCACTATCTTTACCACGTGAAAACGCTTTATATATCTCGTGAAATGAAGCGTTTAAAATACATTACCATTAATGATAGTACTTTGAATTTCACCCATGGCTCAATTATTTGTTCTGAACCCTCGACAAGACGAGGAACGGAAAACGTCTTAAACTGAATGACTTGATCACATGTTTTCAACGTAAAAAGGTTAAGTCGGTAATAACAAAACAAAGTAATGAGTTATAAACAGATCTGTTGATGCTGTTGAGGACGTTAGATCTCCAGAATTCATTTAGAAAAGGTCCTTATTTGTAATTTTATTCTGAAATTTTGAATTTTATGTTTTCGCGCCCAGAGACGCTTAGTTGACCTACAGCTTACATTTCCCACTCGGAAATCCTTGACTGTCATTGATTGACGGATTTTTTTAGTACATTATTTTGTGGTTCTCCCAAGGGCGTCTCTATCTTTGTATAAATAAGCTTGGATTGTGTGCTTAGTGACCTCGTATTTCCTAGGTGCTTGCAGAATAAATTCTCTATGTCTGATCAAGACTTTTGGATCTAGTTAGCGGGGTCAGGGACAACGGATCAAAATAGCCTATCGTGTCACTGTATATTTGACCTTCGTTCCGTTTACTGAGTAAGGTGAACTCGTAATAGAATTCAAACATATCAGGTGCATTAAGTGGTTTGGTCCTTTTTCAGATATATGTCTTTTTACAACTATCGCTAAAAATTCCAGATAAGTAGGATGGTTTTTTGTGAAACTGTGAAACTTAAAGTCTCATTCCTAATCAATATCAGTAGTAGTATAACTAAATTTTAGATGATACATATTAAGTAAAATAATACCTGTCGATCATAAATTTTTTCTTCCATTGTCCCTTTTGCAATAAGACGATAAATATAAACAGGTTTGCTTTGACCAAAACGATAACTTCTAAATATTGACTGAATATCATGACTTGGATTCCAAGATGCGTCAAGAAGAATAAGACGATTTGCGGAGACTAGATTGATACCCAATCCGCCAGCTTTAGTAGATATGATAAACAGTCGTAAACGTGTATTACTAGTAGAATTGAAACGTGTCTGCAAATCTTTTCGTATATTTACATTCATACTACCATCCATTCGTTCGTAGTCTAAGCCACGAATCCATGTATTATGTCCAATATCAGAAAATATGCTGATAAATCTGGGCGATTTAAAATTTCTGGATTTTGTGAAGATTTTGCATTCTTATCGCCTTTTTCATTTGACATTTGATCCTTAAAAAAAGTTTTATGTAATTGATTAGCTAGAGATTGAACTATGGTGAAATATAATAAAAGGGATGAAAACTGCTGTCATATATATATATATATATATATATATATATATATATATATATATATATATATATATATATATGTCCTGTTCATATATTTTCAGTATTTTATAACACAATAATTACTTGTGAATATCTTAAAAAAATTTTGTCTCACAAATTAGAAACACTTCTTACTGTAATAGAATAGAAAACGGTTGGTTGTATCGACTTGTAACAACAAATTCGGAAGACCATCAATCAGTGTGGGTTACGTGATTCCCTTGAAGTTAATCAACATACACCAGATGTGATACGGGCAAATATCTAATAAAATGATGAGACTAGTTTACTAATAAGGACTGATAACTGGACTCACACGTAACCATAAAGATACTTGATGTAATAAATACAAAATATAACAATATTTCGACCACTGGACCACATATTTTGTTTAGTAAAACGCTGATTTAACGCAGCTGGGAATGGATGACTAATATCACCCAACCGAAATAAGTCACTCGATGGATTTGTGAAACGTTTTTAGTTAATGGAGTTTAAAGACTTTTAGAGAAAACGATAACACTACTCTCTTGATTGAATTCGGTCATAACTGAACCGAACGATACATTTTTAGCTTCCGAGAAATATTGAGCGATTTTCCTCCAAGTTCTTCTGACGTTGCGCAGTACATAAAGTTAATTAATCAACTGAAAAGACAGAATTCCCTGCCACGATACGCACGTTTCACGGATATCACATTACAACGTAAGCCCTTCAAACATAAAGTAATTAAAACAAAACGTAACTTACCTGATAGACAGACCACTGACGATTTATCTCTGCTAAAAATCTTTCAACTAAATCTAATGATATCAAACTATGAGAGAACATAATCACTTTGTCACCAATATCAGAGCATCGTCTAAGTATATTGAACAAAACATCCATTTTAGCACCTACATCAATCTGCCAATCATATTCATCGTTGTAAAACATATACCACCACGGTTTTTGACATTCACCAGCATCAATAACACATTCTGAATCATTTTCAGAATCAATAAGAGCAGTAGGATTTCTTGATTCTTGACGAGTGATTGGACGATGTCTACGACGTGGTCTAACAGTATTACTTTCATTGTTATTATTTGAATCAGTAATATTTAAAGACTTTCTAGTTTCACTATCTTCATCGATCTCGTCATTTTTTCTGTTGATATTCTCATCACTGTCATCTGAAGACGTTGAATCATCTGAAGATTCTTCTGATGAATTTGCTGAATCGTCAATAAAACTATCTTCATCCATAAGAAGCATCTAGATGATAAAATAGAACAGTAATCAATATAATTATGAATTTATTCAGTTCATAAATGCTATTAATGAAGATCTATAAATTTCGAAATTATATATATGTAACGAATTTTTAGATTGGAAATTATTGGTAACTTTAAGAAAAAACCATAGACAGCTCAGTATCAATTTACAAAAACCACACACCACAGGAAAAGTGACACTTCATTCGCTATACACATTCAGTCTCAGGACATAAATTAAACAAAAAAAGATAATACTCAAAGGAGTTTTCCACTAGTAGAATCTATTCCTATCATTTAAGTCAAGTAATGTTCATGAAATAAGACTTCTAAGAGTGCACAAATGTCCCTTAATAAAATCTTCAGAAGCTTAGAAAAGGTTGAATATATTTCAACCAATCAGCACTGAATAACATGTCTATCAAAAGTACTTGAAAATATGAAGAATTGTTTCACATTTTGATTAGATAATTAGCTATCTTGATACTATATTTAATATATTTTCAAAAGTTTCTAGGAGGTCAAGATCATTCAAAAACGTTCAAATACACTTGATTTTTCGTACATAGATAAAACTTAAAGTAAAGATTCATCAAAAATTATTCAAATTAAAGTATTATTTAAAATTTCAACAACAAAAAGAGAAACTTACACCAGAGCATATATTTATGAATTAAGACAAAAATAAATAATCAATTTAAAAGATACACATCATACTGATAAATAACTGAAATATTTGTACTAGTTATCAACTAACTTACTTTACGAGCTTCTTTTGTTTCATGTATTCTTAATGCATGTGGATGTGTGGATATACGATATAAGATTTGTTGAATCATAAATAATTTTTTTCGATGATTTGTTTCATCTTGATTAGTAGAAGTATTATTATTATTATTAGAATTTATATTACTGTGATTTTCCAAAAAATATTTATACAATTCTTGTTGTACTTTACTTAATCTACACATAATTACATATTCATATCTTGGTGGTAAATATTTCGTTAATACACTATAATCTTTGCGCTATAGACAAGAATAAAAAGAAAAAAGAAAACAATTTATAAATAAATAATTTTTCTTTTAAAAAAACAATAATAAAATGAGTCTAAAAAAATATTAGAAAATTTTGTCAACACAAATAAACTTAACTGATGAACGTTTCAATCTACTGAACAAGAAACATAATTGTATACGTTCTAGATTTTATGTTATAACATGTACTTCATGGTTGTCAACCTATCGATAGATTTCACTTGTGATTATGTTGAACACTTTTTTGGATAGTTGACAATTTCAAATTGTTATCTTAAATATTGTTTTGAGATTGTGTTGACTGATAATTTATAGTGACGAATAAGTTCTTTATTCGGATTTAATGTTGGAATTCTTTAAAAATATCAGTTAGATAAAAATGAGATCATTATAACGATTTGATTGTCATTTGAGCAGATTCACTAAATTAAATAATTGAGTAATTTTAATGAATGATAGACGAGTATACTTACATCTGTTACACCTCGTAGTGGAGTATAGGCCTCCCACAACTATTCGCCATCTAAATCTGTCTTCGAGAATTCTTTCCAGTTGCCATTAATAATTTCCATGTCTGCTTCCAATTCTCGACGCAGTGTGTTCTTCGGTCTTCCTCTTCTCCGTTTCCCTTCATGATTCCAAGTTAGCGCTTGCCTCAAGATGCAGTTTGATGTTTTCCGTAATGTATGTCCTATCCACTCCCAGCGTCTTTTCCTAATTTCTTCTTCAAATGGAAGCTAGATTGTTCTCTCCCACGGTAGGTTGTTGCTGATGGTATCCGGCCAAAGGACATTCAGTATCTTGAGTAGGTAATTGTTTAGAAATACCTGTACAATTTTGATGATGGTTGTAGTAGTTTTCCAAGTGTCAGCTTCATATAGCAGAACTGTCTTGACGTTCGTATTGAAGATTGTGACTTTGATATTGGTTGACAGTTGTTTTGAGCTCCGTATGTTCTTCAACAGTAGGAATGCTTCCCTTCCTTTGCCAATCCTTTCCTTTAGGTTTGCATCGGATTCTCTATGTTCATCGGTGATGCATCCCCGGTACGTGAAATTTTCCACATATTCCAAAGCTTCTCCATCGAATGTGATTGGGTTTGGCGTTCTGCGTTGGATCTGAAGATCTTTCATTTTCCCTTATGTACGTTGAGGCCTACTGATGGAGAGGTTTCTGCTACAATAGTTTATTATAATTATTCATTGATTTGTAATGACAAAAACAAATCGAAAATTCTGTTCCCTCATTTTATTGATTCTAACGACTTTACTCAATATATTCAACGTAGTATTGATCACTAGAAGGTTAAAATATTTTCATGTGCCACAATATACACACACGCACACCCGTATTTCAAAACATTGGATAGTTATGTAATTAGTTATCTGAACTGTATAATAATAATAATAATAAATAAATAAATAAATAAATAATACCTGAACACAACCATCTAGTGTTTTATATAAAATATGCGCTCTTTTCTTCATTATATTTACGTCTCTTGGTGTTGAATTTGAATGTTGTCCATTTTTTATTGGATTACCAAAACGATTATTGAATTCTTTGAGAGTTCCCAATAAATTCGGTTTGACAAAATCAACCATTGTATGATCTAATTAACAAAATAAAATGAAAGATAACAGTTGAAACAGTGAGGAATTTACTACGAATACTTTAGAAAATAAATTGTCTTTTCAGTCAGAAAAATAATGGAGTAGCAGTTCAACTTGCTGAACTGGACAAACTTACAAAGAGGTGATGCTGTAAAGTTTGAAATTATTGAAATGGACATGATAAAAAGTATTAATAAACTGGAAACAAATGAACATGGTTTACGAAGTTTAAAACTTGGAAGCGGATAAAAACTAAACATATCAATGCTATCGTAATTTATATTACCTAGGATTTCTAGCCATTAATAACTAAAACCTTAGGCAAAGATAAATTAACAGCCTTTTACACAATTCATTTCAGAGCTTGACTACTCAACAGGCTGATTCAATCACAATATGGTCATGAATACTATCCATATTCTCTAACAATTATCGGATATTAAACCACTAACTTTGGCCACCGCAATTAGTGTGCGCTTGTAGCCTGTTCCATTAACTTACCTACCACCTTTTAAGGATAAAACTAGTTTTGAAATATCTTCAGATAGGGTATCAATAGCAATCTGAGATAATCCTTATTATTCAGGAAAACTACTAACCGCTGACAAATCCAGTTGTACCCACTCATCATTCTACGAACATTCACCGAAATTTTCTGCTCAAGTGATAACTGGTTAGTTGATATATTTTGTAATAGAAAATCATAAGTCTAATTGACATATAATTAAATTAACATCGATGTAAATGGACACTTCCCTGGTCACTCCCAAAATATATCCTATTTGCAACATATGTATTTTTGAGTAGCAGAGGCTGGAGGAAGTAAAGTTGTTACATTATGATATCAAAATATCATTAGATTTATCGTTGTTACCAGTCAAACATAACAAATGTATAGAATACTTCCAAGAATTCGAAATGATGAATAAAAGAGTAAAAATTAGTCAGTGGTCGAGACCAAATAGAGAAAATAGGATCTCACAAACACATCTGAGTACTTGTTGATTGGTTGTAAGATCACATTTAACCTCTGAACAGCCTGAGTATGTAGAAAGGCATGTACCAAGGACTAACAGAGTAATGAAAATACATAAATCTTAACCATCAGTCCGGTCATGTTTGGATATATTCAACTCTCAATACCATGAAGTAACTAGATAGCTTGCGAACGCAATTAAACCATTTCAACAAGAAGACACTAGATTATCAGAAAAAAATCCTTCATAAAGAATTATAAGCTAACCAGTACGCTAATTTCTGTTCTTCTGGCCCCCTTTCAGTACTAAAGAAATCTCATACGTAGTTCAACATTTAGAGGCATAAATATTTGAGTGGACGATACTCAAGAAAATAAATGCACATCAACTTGAAGGGAAAATCTTTCAGAAAAACTAGTGAAATGCACATTAAGAAACCAACTAACACCACTGTATACGAAAAGACGGTACCTCATATTTGACTTCAAAAATGATGAACTATTGACAACTAAACTAAGAAACACTTGTTTTTCGTCTAAATCACGCATCATATTCGCGACCTGCTGTCACTATCTTGTATGTCTAGATATAGGAAAAGTTTAATATTGTCTCATTTGGTAGACGACACGAAATCGATAAGAACGTGACATTCTCTTTTGTTTACAAAGTTTAATTTAAACTTTGTACATCTCTATTTGCTAACCGTAGCAGAAACAAGAGCTATTACCATTTTTAGCTAATGATTTTGAATGGTTCATCTAATTAATTACCTTAATAAACTTTTGTAAAGCGACAATAAACATAGTGGGATGAAGTGAATCCATTTAACTTTAAATGCTCTAAATCTTCCATATACGCACTGATTTGTATAAATAAATGGGATGTTTGAAGATTATACTTATGAGTGTAACGTATATAAAGTTATTATGTTTACTAGTGAAAAATAATTATAAATACCTCTAATATTTATATAAGAGAATGAATTAAGCGAGACAAAGAATATGACGTAATCGAGTTCAAGAAACATGTGCTAAATGATGAAAATGATATTAATTACCAAAAAAACAATAGTGAAGTATGACTAGTGATATTAATATTTGTAGAGATGATGAAAAAAAGACTAAGTAGATACGTGGTCAAACACCGAACTGAATAATGTTAAAATAATAAGAGTAACTACAATAACCATAAATTAGGAATGAAAATGACTAAAATGGATAATAAGAGTACTATTGTAATTAAATAAAAACGAAAACCAACAAATAAGGGAAATCTCAAGTATTTGAGAAAGGAAAGAAACAAAGAATGGAAGGCTATCAGTGAAACAGTCATCTTAGTAGTGTCAAGTAAACGATAAGTTCTTTTGCACATAGTAATCAGGGTTGAGGGAATGGATAGTAACTGTTACTGTATGACATAGAAGTCTGTAAAAAGTCTTGTCTATTTATTACTCGGAGAAAAGTGTCAGGAGATTCTTTCCGATAGTACTATTTTTTATTATTATTACTATCAGCTTTATTCAATATTATATTTTTGGTACAATATAGAATTCTCAGCGTAAAGTATTTCAACAAGTTTCTGTTTCTTTCTTCTTGGTCGGTCCTGGCGATAAATATGGAGTGATCGCCAGTTAGATGTTAGCAGTTCAGTAAATGAACATCTGAATAATGTGCATACTTTTCGCTGAATATTGCCAGCAACAACATTGTCTCTTATTGAGTTTTTTGTAACTTTGACAACGAAAGGTTGTACACTTTTCAGAAAGGCAGCAGAATAGGTCATGCGATTAATAAACATAATAATATATTAAAACAAGCAAAAATAGATAACTTGTTGAAATATCTAGATGGCAGGAACAGGTAGCCCAGATGCTAGTGCAAGTGCAAGTTAATAGGTAAATACAGCTGGAAGTAACTAGAAGAGGTCGATCATCCAAGTTAGTTGCTCTACGTAACCTTTTCGCTGCATATGTGATTTCAGTGTTAGCACAGGTGGATAGGTCAGCACAACTAATTACCCTAGATCAACATTTATTCTGTACACTAAGATCATCCCCTTCGAATAGTAGTTTGACAAACACATTCTTTCTACGGTTATTGGCTTCTTGAGACATTTCATTTGTCTTGATCTTGATTTATGAATTTTATGGGATAGCCATTTCTGATTATGTTTCTTCTCATAACTTTCAGTCCATTGTTGACAAGATCTAAAAATAAACTGGTTTCCCTGAAAACTTTTATAGGAGACTAAACAAAAGCTATTGAAATGTAAATAATACGTGAAACTGTACCGTTTTCATTTCTGGTTATCACTGAGTTTAAGTAATTCACTTTAGATACAAGTGAGCAAAACTGAAGGATCTAAGTGGACGATCACTATAGTCGCTGTCATTGTATAAGATGAAATTGTCATCAATGTATCTCAAATATACAAATGTTTGTTTTATCGCATCCTTTGGCTTAATCTTCACTAATTGTGCTAGGGAAATACTGGCGAATGTACGGGTCAGTAGCAATATCTGTTTCCCGATAATACTTTCCATTAAATTGAAACTACACATTTTTGTGCATAATAATAATTCTTTCAATATCTTTTTTTGAAAAGTCAATCTTTTCAGCGCGGTTGCAAAAAAGTTAGTAGTCTTTTCTAATGGGGTATTTTTGAGTAAAAACTACATTAAAATAAACCATACACTTCTTGATTAGGTTTATAACATTAGTTCAATTAACAAAGTCAAAACCGTCCTTAAAACGGTGTAAAAACAGTTTTTCCTCGTAGACTCAAACAACTGGGCAAGTCATTGAGCGAGCTTACGATATTATTAGTTATTTACCACTTCGGTAAACCGTGGAAGATTACTAGCTTTATTAAGCTTAGATAAACTGTGCTCGTCGTTCTTGCTTTACAAAACATCTTAATTGACTTTCTCTTTCAACAAAGAAGCCTCCATCTTAAAACCACTATTGGTTTGAACGAGATAGTTACGACAAATAAACTGATAAGAAAAAGAATGAAAAAGCACACCGACAAAATAAGTGAACTTACATTCATTGAGGTTATTTTGTAAAGGTGTTCCAGTCAGTACAACACGTTTCATGGTACGAATTTGTGATACAGCCTTAGTTATATGTGATTTCGAATTTTTCATTAAATGTCCTTCATCACAGACAACAATATCTGGACCTGGATCTAAGAGAGCTGTTGAAATTGTATTTTTAACATCTTTACTTCTTGTTCGCTTCATTAAGGTCATTATAAAATTACGGAACATATCATAACCAATTAAAAGTACACCACCCTATAAAAAGAAGAAAAAAGACAAATACAATGAAAATAATTAGAAAATCAAGAACAATGTGAAATATAAGATGATTTGAAGATTAATTCATGAAGCTTTTATAAGCAAAGATGGATAGTGGCTAGCAATGGAATCCAGGACACGTGTTTCGCACTATTTGGGACTCGTCAGCTGAATGTACCTGCATCTCAGAGTTGATGTTCACTCTGGGACTCGAACCCAGGACCATTCGCTTCAAACGCCATCGCGTTATCCACTCAACTACTGAGTCCTGATAGCCAATTGTTTGTGCAATGGGGTGAATTTAATTCATGAAGGTTAGCCACTATCAGTGAGTGCGCATAGAACGAATTTATAGCTGTTACAACAGATTGAGAGGAATAATTATGAGTGATAGTTGTTTTATGACATATACTGAGTAGAGAAATGGAAATAATAAACAAAAGCTGTTTCCTTTCAGTGTTAAATAAATCGTTAAAAACTGAATTAAAGTCTACGAAAGAGAATCTTCGGAAGAAAAGATGTTCAATAATGTGACCAAGGATGATAAAGAAAATCGGTTGATGAAGTTCTGTACCATTGATCAACTGAGGTGGTTAGGACATATGTCAACCGTGCTAAACCATCGCCAAATGCAACAAAATATTTTTTGGTGTAAAACTGCGAGTGGTCAAATCCAGAAATGGTATCAGTTCATGAATTCATTGAATACTGGAATGAGTGGTGTGGAAAACTACGCCTAATGGATTGGTCCGCGCAATAATTGCGATCAACAGTTGTAGATGTTGGGCGAAACGGAAATTACTGAGATGCATATATTTTTTATCTTCTCAAGGTCTTGAATTTCAATACCATTTCAAATGCACATAACTTTCATCAGTATGGATGGAATCAAAAGAAACATTTTTTAATTAAATTTAAACGGTACATTATAAATGTATCGATAAACTTACATTTGTATGCCAATGTTTAACAATATCCAGCTTGAGTCTGTTACTGTTCTTTGATGCCAATTCAAACACATCCACCTGTTCAGCTTCAGGCAACCATATATCCCATTCATGTTTCCAATTGAGCAGAGTATTCACTGGACATATAATTAAACATGTACGAATATTTATATGTTCCGCATATCTTAATAGTGTATGCAAAAAAGAAATCACGGATAGTGTTTTGCCTAAACCCATGCAATGAGCAAGAATTGCACCACTTCCTGTAGAAGGTGACGATCCACTTTTAGATGTTTGATGCTCCACAGATTCAATAGTACAATCCCATAGGAAGCGAACAGCTGGAATTAGTTTTTTTTACAAAGAAGAAAAAATACTTTGAAATAATAAAAAGATAATAACGATAAAGCTTATCACGATAATCGTAATAAAATTGTAATGAATTAATAGTGTACCATAGATTAATAGTGATGCTAGTAAATTAAAAGCTGGAAGTTCACCCTTTCCAAGACATCAATAATATGCAGTCTTAAAACCAAGGTAAAACAGCTGTTTAAAATCCCTTAAAACTATGATGATACTTCACGTTACAACAGAAAGTAGTTTTGAAATGAAAAATTGTGTCTGATTAAATCATTAAGTACTACACTAATGATGGTACATAACACATTAAGCATGAGATCTAGAATCATGGTATATAAACAACTCGTCAAAAACCTCAAGAATGTGTATGCTGAAGAAATTGAATGTTGAGACAGTTAACGGGTACTGCTATCTCAGAACTACATGCCAGTTTTCACTCTTTAGAAGTAGCGAGTTGCAAATGCAGATTCTTGAGTCCTGAAATAAACGTTATACTTTAAATTATAATATCATATCATAACAGAAAAAACTCCAAATTTCAATCTATCATAGAGTTAATGTTGTCACATCGAATATGGTAATTTCAATCAAACGGATTTCATAATATAATTCAAGGTCTAACAGTACATGAGAAGCAAGTTTAGGTGGTCTATTCACAGTGAATTATTCACCGACAAAAAGTCATCCCCTTCATTTCCTTATCTAGGTTAGTCTGGTTATCTACAAAAATCTGTGTCGAAAGTATTATTATTGTGACTTTTAGCAATACGACTGGCTACACTCTTCGAACAATTAATTAGTTAGATCAAGCACTAGAAGTGTAAACGGCTAAATTGGAATGTAGATAGGTACAGACTATGGCAACGAGAGTTAGTAGCAGGGATCTACAAAAATAACGAGCCAACCAATATTAGAATCAGCAGAAGATACTGAATATATTTTACTGCAACAACGGTTACATCACTTAAACATGATATTTACTCAGAATCTGAAAGGTTTATGTGGATAATTCAAGTCAATTATACGATCCAAAAACGATTACAACAAGCAGTTACATAAAATGCGACAAACTACATGTTTATCCATTAGCTGCTCAAATGTTTGTCCATCAAAAGTAGAGCTTATAGAACAACCGAATCTAAACATTTAATTAGACTTTTTATAGTTGTACGGGTTTCAAGAAAGCTGATATCGATGCACTCCTGTTAACAAAGCTACAACAAGAAATGTTATGATAACGAGGGAAAAATATGTAAATACAGAATATTTGGAGCATACCTTCAACTTGATGTGGTTTCAAATGTTTCACTATATCTGGATGAACTTCAATAACTGGATCACCTGGATCTAAAATCAATTTGGTTGTAACTGCGTTAATCCCTTCACCATCTTGAACAATGAATTCATTATACTAGCAGAGAGAAAAAATTATAAGGTTCTTAATTTCTACGATACTAAACAAAGTCATGAATTGTCACACAGAAAAGACATGGAACGATAACAAATACTGCATAAAAGACATTCACTTTGTATGAATGAAATGATGACAAAATAGTGTTTAAGTATGATAACGACTGTGCTACACTATAAGTTAAGAAGTTTCCAATTAGTAAACTTTTTCTTTCGTAGGTCGTCAAACTGTCTAAACTAAGATTCTAGAGGAAAAGACAAAGATACGAACTAAACATGCAACATGGATACCTGTCTAGCAAGGAGTTACAATAATTAAACATTCTTTTCTCCAAAATCTGTAAATCGCTCTATCAGCAGATCATACTTTTGTATCCATGAGTGATTGAGATAAAACTGTCTTAATATACTCTGAAATAGTTATTTCCTCACTGTTTCTAGATCTAAAGAGCGCTGAGAATTTAGATCAGGGACTGAAAACAGTTGAAAAATCATCAACAAATTCTTTGAAATCACCTGCCTAAATATCGATCGTGTGATTAAAAACGATGGGCTTTGAGATGGAAGATTGATGTTCTAGTGAGAAGTCATCATTAGCAATACGTTAGGAGTGAAGATGTTTCCCTTGATGAAACTGGGTAACTGTGGTGGTACATCGTGAATTGGCTAAAGCTCAAAATATGCAGACTAATGAATTCCAACGAAATAAACTAAACGTACTACACTTTTCGAGGAAGATGAAGACTTTAAATTTGATTTTGTGTGGGAGGAGTCTCAAGTTAGTAATACAATAGCTATCTACTATTCTCTGATTTTCAATAGCTCTCTAGTTGCTGTTAGGTTATAATATAAACTTATTATTACCAGTTCCAGGAGTAAGATGAACTGAAATTTTAGCTGAAATTTGGGAAAGGAATGTAATCCAATCTAACTAATCACGATCGCTGATTGTCCTAGACTGTAAGAAAGGACAAAGTCCTTTTGTGACAATGGCAGAAGTATCAGTTTAATTAATATAGTGTCTAAAATACTACCCTCAATAATAACTCGACGTCTGACTAGAGCTCATGAAGGGAAAACCCGAAAAACCCAGCTGGTTTCAGACCTCAAGGTGGATGTATAGACCAAATATTCACCATCCCACAGGTTCTAGAACATCGACAAATTTTATGATGTTCGATAATAGTTGTATTCCTTGACCATATGGTGATTTTCGACTGATGTTCGTGAGATTCTGTGGCAGTCTGTCATTGAAAGATGTACCAAAGAAGTACGTTGGATTTGTACAGAGTCTCTACTCGGACACTACTGGTAAAGTCAAAGCTTATGATGAACTGTCATCAGAATTGCTTACTTCACGTGGAGTCCTGCAGGATGGACCGCTATGCCCACTTTTATTTAACTTTGATTATAGAGATCCTTTTGGGATAGCACTTTCATCGTTACTTTTCAGAGGCTGATCTACAAGAGATTTACTTGTTGACTTAGAATACGTATATGATATAATTCTCTGTGATGGAAATGCTGACAAAATGCAGTCTTCTGATCACCTTAAGTAACAACACAGCCATGTTTCAGATGATGTTTTCTCCCTCCGAATGCAAAATGTTGCCCCAGGATTGACTTGCGTCAGTCACAGGATTAATGATAAGGAACGAAGTTGATGAGAGTATCGATCGCTTCACTTATCTTGAGGGTTACCTCAGTCCTGATGGTATAGTGTCTGATGAAATCTCAGCACTTGAACCGATGTACATACGTACGAGGTTCTACGTTGCGACTAACTGATTGATAATATAAAATGTGATTTAACAAATTTCGTAACCACCTATACATATATAACATTCTAAAGTTTAATTATAAAACGTAAAGTAAACATATTACAGTTCGAAATTTTAATCATATCCTCGGTAGAAAACTGTGGTTTAACCTACTTAGTCAATAAAATCCAGCAAATCATCGTTCTTACATACATTCTAATAACATATCATTTGTTTACAGTGCATGATTGACAATAATTGCTACTTCTATTCAATCTAAAATGATGTGAATAATCTAGTGTTGACGTATAACCAGAGTTTGTTGATAGAGTTAAATGACAGCATTACCACTATCCAGCTATTCAAATAGTTTAAACACCAGGTTTTGCTGAACTGATCGATATAGTTTTAGAAGATGAGAAGACGATAGTTTAAATAGTCACAGACACAACTGGTTTCCTAACTGCACAGATAACAAGAAGTACTATCATTTTTTTAGATAACATTAGTATTCATAATACTAATACTACTAATAATAATAATATGACAAATAAAAATGCCAAGTGAGGATAACTCTTACCATCTTTTGTCTTTCAGCTAAACGACGTCGACGTTCTTGTTCACAAGCTTCAGCAGCTTTTGTAGTTTCAGACAACCGATTAGCAGTGTAAATTCTTCGAATCTTTTTACGGCCTTTAGCATCTAATGAATCATCGATTATTTCTTCATTGATTGTCTCTTTGCCTTTATTGTCCTGGAAATATTCCTCTTCAGCATTATCATCACTATCATCTGATTTTGCTTTACGTAGACGTCTACGTCTTTTTGTATTATGTGATTTATGTCGGGGTTTTATGCTGTTCATTTCATCAGCTGATGAATCAGTACACTGTGCTTTTTTCTTCATGTCTTTTTCGTTCACTTTTTCGTGATCACTACCATCGTCATCGTTATCTGAAAGATGAAATGTTGGTTTCACAGATGATAGTCTTTGTGACTTTCTAATCCTACTTGGTGTTGCCCTATTCTGTTTAACCTTTCTAGATCCTATCTGTTGTATGGCAGATTTTGATGAACTTGATGCACTTTGTTCACTTTCACAATCATCAGCATTATCATCATCATCATTATCATTAACATTACCAGCATTGTCAACAGCATCAACAGTATTATCAATATTATTTTCATCAGATTCAGAGCTGGAGAGTAAATGTCGTATTCGTTTTGTACGGTTAGTGGAAGATAAAAGATTTGCAGAATCCTTACTGTTTGGACTGGATTCTGATTCACTTCCTTCATCAGAATTATCAAGCAGTAAAGTTGTTTTATTTGGTCTATTTTCACAACTATTGACATTTTCGTTGACAATAGATTTAGCAAGACTAAAAGAGAATATTTATTTATAATGATTAACATTCATTCAAGATAACGGGCAATTTGGAACATATAATATGAGTGAATTAGATTACATGAAAATCTCTCAAACACTACGTGAAGAAATGTAAACATAATTAAATCATAGCATGATAAACACTATGCATTTAAACCAACTCAGTGCGACAACACTTAGACTGATACGAATCGATCCCATGATGCAAAATAGACAATCCTATAAGAGAACGTCTATTGCCTGAATGCCTAACTGATTAGGACTCTGATTGTAACACTGTGTAACGTGGTTTTGAATCTCATAAAAACTAAGCATTCCCTCAAAACCGTAGGTATGTCTTGCTGCAGACAGCCAACTATCATGGAATCTAGATCCGTAACTAGCCGTCGATTATCAACAACCACCGATCACATTGCGAAATTCACTTAAATAAATCCGATAAAAAATATTCAGGACTATGTGACATATTAGCGCAATACATTTCGAACAATCTGGCCATACATATACTTGTTAAGAGCATTTATATATAAAAAGTAGAAGGTCAACTAGACAGGAAACGGGGTAAGAGGAGATTAATAATAATAATAATAATAATAATAATAATAATAATAATAATAATAATAATAATAATAATAATAATAGTAATGTGAACACAAAGCGAAACCTAATCACTCTGGATAATAAGTCAATATTACCAGGGTAGGTTTAAGGTAAGAACAAACTGTTTTTGAACACAGAAAGGGGGTTTGAATTTTCGTATGGCTAAGGCTTCAATAAACCTTAGTATACGCCCTTTTACACTTTTATACATCACATAGTTCTGATAATCTTCGTCTTCTAATATCATTATCGAAATTTACCAAAGGGACTAATTGTTTTAAAAAATATTCAGTTAAAATCTCAGACATAAATCGTTGAAATAATGATGAACCGATCTAAAAGCGGGAATTAACTATCACAAATAAAAAAACGATCATTTAGGAAAAAATACCAGTGGTACGTCACAGTTCGGATTAAGCAAATAAACTCCATAAAACCACGTGACTTACCGGGTTAAGCAAATTACGGGATCAGATGAGGCTATGTTTTGTTTTAAGTTCATACTTAAAGGTACATTTTCGTGTAAATCATTTGATTTATTGCTTGATAAATCATGATCACTAGAAGCATTCTCATTATTATTATCGTGGTCGTCATCAAGTTTTGTAATACTATTAGATGCGCCATTTTTCCTATTTTCATCTGTTACAACTTTTGCATTACTATCTACAATACCTTCATCGTCATGATCATCATCATCATCATCTGAACTGGACTTCAGTAAATTATCACGAGCATTCAAATTATACAAATAATCACTTGTTTTAATTTCAAGTTGATTTTGTCGAGAGTTATTTACATCACTAACAGTAGTATTATCCCCAGCTAAATCATTTGATTCAGAACCGTCAAATGTAGTATCCCCATTATTTTGAGATGAATCCAAGTTATCTTCAATAGACCATGAATCATCTTCAAAGTCAACTGGATTCCTATTACTTGTTTTAGTTCGATTTATTCGTTGCTTAGCATTTTTATTTTCAGTATTCTGAAATTTCGGACAGAACAGTAAAGGATTTTAAACATAGATAGTGTAAACAAATAAAAGGAAAATTTCATTTTAAATTAAGTAATGAATGAAGATTAGTAGAAAAGTCTAAATAATTAAGGAGCTTTACAAAATCCATCCGTTTAACAAGAACTTTCGAAAAATGTTTTGAAACCTTTTCAATTTTTTGACATAATAGTACTACTATTAAACAGTGGGAGTGATCAGTATAACTGACAAGAAACAGTGACTGAGAAAGAACTTAAAGTCGGTAGCAGTTACCTATCTTGCAGTCTTCTGTAGTATCCTGTATGAAACAACAGGAAGTTTTTTTCGTAAATTAAAAAATCCCCAAATTTTGTCTTCACCAGAGACGCCACTTTTAGTGGTTTTAGTATAATTATACTTGCTAATTATTAGTGTTGTCTTATGACCCTATTTGCACTTCTAACTATTCTCTGCCATCTCTCGTTGTTTAATGTACCAAGTATTATTACTCTCAAATATAAAAAGATGAATAAACAGGATTTTCATAAGTATGTTTATGATTTGCATTGAAAGAAGGCGATTCTCACTATCTGACAAGATATTGCTTTATTTTAGCAGCCAATCATCATTAGCACAGGGGGACTGTGGAGACTGTTGAATCGTGTAGTGTATATCACTGACTGTAATTACGAACCAACTGAAATCCGATAATCAATTGACAATTGTTTTGTTCTAGAATAGGACTCTTATGTAGCAGACATTCACAAACTCTTCAGAAGTTGAACTCGAAACCTTCAGACCTCATCAAGGAGACTTAACCTCTACAATCCTATCCAACTCTCGATAGTACAATTTAATAGGTAGACACGTTCTCAAAGTAAACAAGAATAACTACTAGTGTGATTCGCACAACCCACATCTCCACTCTTTCATTCATACGTAGTTCTTGATTATTCGATTAGACTAGTGTGATTGTGATATGTATACAAACAAGTTATAATAATTTACAACTCTTTTGAAAATCGCATCTATGACATCTGTCTCATGATGACATTCTTCTGATTATATCTTGCCATGTTAGGTGTTTGTCTTTTTTCATTCTTAACCATGAATTACTAACTCAAGGTTATGATTTCAGGACTGAATGAGTAGATGGTGTGTATAAACAAAAATAAGGTAGCCAGATTTGTATTGCTACTTCATATTTTCTGGTGGATTGACAACAGATATATCATTAAATGATTAAAACTGTCTTAAAATAAAGAAAAGTACGTACACGACAATCATTACTGTGTAAAGAAATAAAGGAATAATCTAAAAGATAGATGACATAAGCAAATGAAAGTTACCTGAACAATTTTTTTCTGTACCCGAGTATTCCGATCCGACTCAGCTAAAAGTCAAAGTTGGCAAAAGTACAGTGAGTTTTTTATCATAAATAAGCTAAGAAATAAAAAGAATAGCAAGTTAACATTTATTTGACGACTTTCTAACCATTTGAGGACATTAAATAAATTCCAACGCCCTTTGAGACACAGAGCAACAAGGATTCCAAGTTATACTTTCACGATCATTATATTGTATAGTCCGTGCACGTATATGTAGTTCTTTATAAGTAGCTTCGATCTGTTTGACCTAAACGAAAGATAATGTCTCAACAAGTAGAAATATATAAATTCTCAAATTTATGTGACTTTTAAATCTCAATACATACACAAACTTCCTATACGCAAGTCCCGACCGGTTACTAAGTGAGAATCCTAAGCATGGAGAAGGAAGTTTATTGGGCTAGACTGATCCACATACCCTAGCATATATATATATATATATATATATATATATATATATATATATATATATATATATATATATATATATATATATATATACACGTCTACTTAGAAAACGAAACCATCACTAGGCCAATCACATGCATTTGTCATCAAGAGATTTTTGACTGTTACAAAGTGGCCTTCTCATTTGGTATTTTTGATTGGTCCACTATTACTAATGATTTTTGATTTCTACATAAAAGAAAATTTACATGATTAATGGAGTGGTATTTGTACTATTTTACACCACTGATAAAATCACTTTAACAACAGAAAGCAAGTAGTTATGTTCTGGTTGCACTAAAATGTTTAATGTCGACTAACTAAACAGTCTACGAATTCCAACGAACGGAATTAGAAAATATCAACCGACGGATGGTAAGGTGTCTTCGAATATAAATTTTATACATGAAAATCTTAGGTGTGAGTAGATTATTAGGAAAAAATCGTTTTTAGTATTAATAATAATTTCTTAGCACTGTTCGAAAAATGCCAGTTTGTGAAAACAAACAGGATTAAAATTATAATATTTACATAAATAAAGGTTTCAGACCATATGAGAAACACCAATATCCATGCAAAATGTCCATTATCAAATAATTAAATTGACTGACCACAATTTTTCTCATCGACAGTAGACTGCTCTGTAAAACTACGATTGATCGTTTTGGCACAAATACTTTCTAGATTATGCATTTCTTTCTCCAAATCTTGTTCTTCTGGTGACTGTTCGTGAGATAACGTGTCCTACAAAGAAAAAGATGTATACTTTTAATAATACATATACAGACCATTAATATATTTAGTATTTCAAAACAGTTCCTATACAGACGAGAGTAATAATAAAAACAGTAAACACACGCTATAGAGTAGTGTAAAAATTTTAGAATTCTAGGGAAACTGTTTGAGAAGTAACTCACTTAATATAATTGTTAAGTATTTATAGAGAAATTAGGAAGGGAGAGTTCTGAATAACTTGGTAATAAAAAAAATAAGTGGTTTGAATTCATGGTAACAAAACGCTTTGAATAAAACCAAACCCGCAATATTCACTCTCAGACTGTAACGCGGAAACCTCCAGTTAGTTGGACATAAACCTTGATTTCCTTTTCGACCGTTATCCACTAGAACTTCTATACACTGATTTCATTTTTTACGGTAAGATGATGCACAGAGAGGTAACTGCCTAGAATAACCCCTAGTTGTCTCGTGTGATGAATATAATATTTTTCCAACCTTGAGGTTAGTTACAGAATAAAGATGGTGGCTAAATACACTGATGAGACAAATATAATTTACACAACAGAACTGGAATAAATGTATTATAGACTAGCCTTTTACAATGATGTAATTGTTCTGCACAATCACTGTAAATAAAACCAGTACACACGTTAAATAAAAAGTTAGCAATATCTAATACATCTAGAGAGTGAGAACTAACGAACACTACTCAACCATCCAAATGTTATTAGGCGATTAAAATTTGTAAAATCATTTACTATATTATAACCCAAACATTTCAACCATAAACATTAATGACTCCAATAAAACAATATGTGGGAAATAAGTAACATAGAAAAAACATTAAGTTAATTAGCTAAACCTAAAAGTCATTTCTCGAATTTAGCATTATAAAAAAGCAATTTTTGAGGGGATACGATACTTACTTGATGGTTTATAATGGTTGGTTCCTTAATAATATTTAATTTACGTCTTTTCCCGTTATCTGTTTCCGGCTTCATCCCCACCTCATCTAGTTTGTGTTTAACACTTTTATTATAATTGTTAGTAGTAGTAGTAGTAGTAGTAGTAGTAGTAGTAGTAGTAGTAATAGTAGTGACGTAGTTGTCATTATTTTTGTTACCATGAGAAACCGCTGTTACAGTTGCAGATTGTTGAGAATGCATTGGTGTAGAAGAACAATTGAACGATACTGTCTTTGGTGTAGAAACTTCTTGTGTAGATACAGTTCCAGTGGAATTATCTTCTTTTGTCAAATCGATTGTTACATCATTTGAAATACTCGATATAGGCCTAGGAATAGAAACATCACTTAACTGGGGAAGAACGCCTAAAGAATGATATTGGATTGTTTGTTTATTTCTACTTGTATTGATGATGACATTCTCCTCTTCTTGCATTCTTGCAACAAGATTGCCTAATCGTGTGAATAAATGAAATCTATAAATGCTTTGAAAAGACTGAGCTATTTTATCTAGATCCATCTGAGGTGGATTACGCATTAAATTATTCTCTAAACGACGTATATCTTTAGCAAATATGTCTAAACACCTTTGTGAAGCTCGTAAAGCTGTTTTAACATTAACTTCGTTCACACTAGATATTTGATTAAAAATGCTATGAAGATCGATTGATTCTAAAGTGACTAATGAAGTATGATTGGTAATGGCAGTTGGAATATTGACTTTGTCGCATTTATTAATTTCATTAACATTTACTCCATCCGAAGACATATCAGTCGACTGGAATACAGTGTTCTTATTAAGAAGATTATTACTAGAAGAATGAAATATATTGGAAGATGAGATAAAACCTAAAAAGGAAATAGATGATAAATTACTTTAATTAGTTCTACTGAAGATAAATCGTTTCCATTGTCGTAAAAGATTATTACGAAGTAATAAGCGTGTGCTGAGCAAAGTACCTTGAACAGACACTAAACACTCGGTAGACTTTCTATTTTTACTACACGCTACTGGACTGAAGCTTTAAACGCTATGGTAATATAGTGCATCAAATTGTCATGAAAAATATTTCGACTTCCATTTTTTCCTTAATAGATATTGGCTCTACACTGATGAATTAAGTATGGTGGTTACATGTAATGGAATCTTTGAACAGAGTATAGTTGTGTTGCATTAGCATCTGTTGAGAGGACCTCATCAGACATGGCCAATAACAGAGGTTAGTGATCTCTTTAGAACCTTCTATAGTATATTTCATAAATAGTTAAAAGCTTCATCTAACTTTGTGAAATCTCCCTCGTTTGTGTTTTAGCTCAAACTGCACTGTTGAATACAAATCCCTTTTCTTGTATTATTTTAGATTTCTGTCCCAGAAGCAGCGTAGGTCATGTTGTGGTTTAAAAAATCTCATCAAATACCACACGAAGCAAAGTGTAATTCGGAGTTCTCTGTCAAGTATATTGAAACACCCAATGAGATGTACAACATCACATAATCTTTATCAAATAAAAAAAACTCAATAAACTGGAAAAAAATCGTGAAATAAGTAGAAAGTTATGTTGTGTGAATGACAGTTATAGTAACACTCATTATCCGGATTTCAGTAGACATCAGAATCCCAAACTTCGATTGGGTCACTAACAGTAAATTGTTTAAGCCATTAAATTTGTTGGGGTGATCCAGAAAATTGCTTGCAAAAGACAAGCAGGAATCAGGAAACACTAGGAAGCGTTTCGTCCAATCAGCGTTCACTTGGAGTCTTGGCCAGAAATATCAAGGGAGCGAAACGTCACATGCAGAGGCTCTGATTGGTTGGCTGCTACACTGCTACTATGTTTAGTAGCATTCCAGAATCTTCTAGCAACCCAAGGACATCTAAAATATTATAAAAACCCTGTATTTTCTGTATTAAAATGAACCTTGGAGTAAACTACTTCTCGCATACCTTGAGTCTTCTATCTCGTGTTCAGGTCGCTGTATAGTTCTGGCTTGGGGGTTACAGAATAGCTTAGGAGACGAATGTAGCGTTCAAATCCGCAAGACTTATCAAAATTAAAGAATATGACAAAAATTGATGGAAACTCCTAGGCGTTAACACCAAGAGAATAGCAACTAAGTCAAAAACAGAGATGACAATCTACAGAAAATAGGGAATGTAGTATTGTGGTGTGAGCTACTTATACTGATATAAGTAGTATATAACGTGCGTTAAAAGAACGTAATGTCCGGCAGCAGAAGATGGCGAAGATCAAGAAAGGAAGAGCAAGAGCACAATGGAATTGTAAGAAAACGCATGTACAATGGAATGGGCGACAATGGATTAGTGTTTGCAACGGGAACAGTACAGTTTGATATGATGGAATGATATTTTGCAAATTGACGATTGACTTTATGGTATTCACATTTTATTGAGATAGTCTGTTATTTTTGTGCTAAATACAATCGATTGTCCCCACCCGTGTTCTTGTTCACTACAGTATCATATCAGTAAGGAAAACTTACCTTCTGTGATATCAGGATCGTTGATGTTAGTGCAATTAGACGATAAATCTGTTACATCGCCACCATTAGGTTCACCATATTGACCTCTAGAACGAGATCGCCATGTTTCTTGAGCTTTCGTCGACCGACGTTTTCTTATATTTTCATACTCCTCAACTTTAGCAACAATCTGGTAAGCAACACAAGGATAAAGAAGTAGTTAAAAATGCCAATAAGACTAGGCAATAAATTTGCTCTAAGTAATACTCAAAAATTATTCTTAAAAACAGGCAATGAGTAAAATAGCATGATAGTAATGACGAATACTTGGGAAAAGCAAAATTTATTTTGAGGGAAGATTTTGTTGTGAAGCATTACACTTAATATCTGAAACCTTATTACTAACTATTCGAACAATAAACTATAAAGTATGTGCAATAAAAGATCAGAAATTCTACAAATTTTCGGAGCTTATCTTATAGCTAGTTGTTAATTAACACAAATAAATGGCACTCATCAACTGTAAACAAAACTTGTCTTAAATAAATCAATCCTTTTACCGACTTGAATTGATGACACTTTAGTGTGTTTCCCTTAGAAATCTGTTAAACTAATTTGATTTGCAAGAATAGGTTACTTAAAATATATCACGAAAATACATCTAACCATTAGTGGTTTAAATAAAAAAGTCAATAAAATATCATCTACAGTTGGTAAGGAAAATCAGAGAAACAAGAATATATGTACTCCTGTCTCTAAATGTTATCGGAGAAAAATGACTAAGATGAATAATTATAAATTGTAGATCAACGTTATAAATAAAAGCTAACCTTGGAGCAGTTATCTTGTAATGTTTTGATAGGCGTAGGATCACATACAAAGCAATTCCAAGTATCTGATTCATCCAGAGACTCAATATTGCGCAAGTAGGTTCTACCCAAGTTTTGCTTGATACATTTCTTACAAATTGCAAACGAACAAGTATCACAGCATACAAGATCTCCACCGTCTGAACACCACTTACAATTATCATCTTTCCCTGCATCATCTTTTGCAAAATTCTGGGTTTTACAATACCTAGTACAACGCTAATGTAAATAACTATAAATACATATCAACGAACTTACTTTACAGAGTATCACCTTCAAAAGTGGATGAACACTAAACGGCATGGAGAAAGGTTGTATTTTACAGTAACAAGCAGTGCACTTGACATAATCCATAACACCTGGACTAAAGCCAGTGCATATTTTGGATAAATAGTTGTTTCCGGTTTTCTCACGCCTTCTGTGTGCATCGGATACAGAATCAACGACTTCTGGTTCAACAACTGGAGTACCTATATTAGGAAATAATCATTTTAATTTATGACATGCCATCTTGTAGAACCGGACGGCCTGAACTATCCATAAGAAAGAGAGGCGATATCTGCACAACATCAGAATCAGCATCACTATGAATAGCATCACAATCGTCGGGTACACTACTGCAAAGTTCTGAATTGTCTTTATCTTCATCTACTTGATGTTTTACGGCGGACGGTTTTCTGCGAAATAATAATACACATCTAAGCAAAAGCCTTACTTCCGCATTATTTATTTTTAGTAAAGATTCTTCTGCATAGATATTTCTAGAAAGACAAAGAAACGATATGATACGTAGTTGTATAGATTAGAAGCACATGCATAAGGGTGAACAAATTATAGTAATATTAGAGTAGTAAAAAAAGCATATTGTGTTTAAATATCTCGTAGTCACAAAAAAATGAATTCATTAGAATGGCCGGGTTCAGATATCTTCTTATCTGGAACACGCCCGAAAGTGTATCATATTATAAAAAATACACTGAATTCTTCGTTGATTCAGTTAATAACGTTTAGTAAGTTAATATCTCAAAACCACCACTAGCCTCATTTTAAGAACAACCGGTGGTAACCATACTGATTAAATTGTTTTTTACATATGCTGGAATATATAGAATAAGCAAAGTGGTGTAGAGCTAATAGGCAGAATCATTAGACGTTAGTATTGCTGAAATGTTTTTGAACCAAGAAACTTTTTTATTTAGAAGCATATTTTTCAGCTTTTGAGCTTCTAAAGCATTGGGCAACTAAAACTAGACCAGTTGATTTGTTTTCAGTGTTCAGATATTTTAACGATTTTAGTTTGTTCAGATAAATATTACTACAGAAATCGTAACTAGCAGCATACTGGAATTAAGCGAACTAAACACTACTACGTAAAACAATACCAATACTATCAGATGTGGTCGTATTTAAACATTGAAGTCGGTGTTTCTGTTTATTTGGTCTATAGAAAAACATTGTGCGTGACATTTAAATGGCTGCCAAACAAGTGACTTAAAATGAATTTCATCACCTACCGCCAAATATTAACGCGTATTCGGTCACGCATTAAAAGTAACTGAGTCTACCAAAATGTAGTTTTTTGAAAAGATAAAAACAGCTTTGTCGTAAACAAATGAGTAAACTTCAGTTTTGCATGTTTTAGAAATTGTGCAGTCATAAATTAAGGTGTTAACTTAACCTAGCCAGATTTGATTTTCAACGTATAATTTTAGAATATCCTACGTGGCTGTTACAGATAGTAAATTGAAGAATATATAAAAGAACGAATGTTGTTAAGGTCAATCAACAATAAAGCAGAAGAAACATGTTGAGATCAATATCTTCATAAATTATGAACCAAGGAGTTTTTCAAAGGGAAAAGATATTTTCTAGTTGAGATGGTGGAGAAGATTTGTAGTTCAGGTGGATGATTTTGATGGGGTTTTGTTTTCTAGTTCTCCATACCAATTAAAGTGAAGAGTAGAGACAAAGTTATTCACCAACACAACAGAGTTTGACATACTAAGCTACGAGCCACGTCTTTGATGCAAGTTGTACATTACCACTTGATTATGTAAACGCTCAACAGCAGAGATATAAAGTTATGAGCCAATAGCTGAAATTACTCACTCCTACCCTCCAACTTAATGACAACGGGGGATATTTCTCCCACGTTTAACCTCATGGCAATTAGCATTGTAACTTCCAAATCCTGGGGTATACCAGAGGATATTATGAAGAGTCGTCAAAAAATAACTGAAGGTACTGAGTTAGGATTAGGAAACGAACCAAGTACGGATGCATATATGTGCCTTGTTATATCCGAGCGAAGATTAAATTACAGGTGACTTCCGAGGACTATTAATGGACTAATATTCTATAAATATTCTTATTGTATAACTATTCAATAATTAGATTATGTATATTCCTCTTATTATAAGCTTTATTTTGACTTATAATTTATCATTGTACGATTTACGGTTCTTAAGCTATGTTCAGTTTATTGACTACTGCCTCCCACGCTCACAGCCACATTTGGTCAAATGTTGTACAAATGTTATTTTCTATTTTATGGTACGTTGTGGTCTGTCTGGTTGATATATAAACCGGTTATATCTGAAATAAACGATTCGATTCATATTGCAGAAGCTGGTATTGTGTTCTGGACTCAAGTGGACGGGCTAGGCGGACATAGGACCAATAAGGACGCTAGGCTGCTCATACTGGTCGAACGTCATTGGTTTGGCATAGTGCTAAGATTGTATAAGTCGTATTTTGATTGGTGGATAAATCACGTGATAAAAGCCGGACATAAAATCATAACATGCCTGGTCCTACGTTGTAGCTGACTAACTGACACCGTATGTGTTGGTGAAGTTAGACTTCGACCAGTGATTAAACCAAGCGCTTTAACCGCTAAGACGTGCATAATTATTCTGAAACTGGGATTACTATATGAAGATTATTACCAATTACACAAAGCTCAAAATCGAAAATAAAAACCTTGGGCAAAATAAATCTGGTAAATAACTGTTCCCTTTAGTATTTAGAAGCTGGGCTGCAGACATACCACCTTTAAACGATAATTTGCCCCTAAATGCCCTGGTATGGCCGAGAGTGGGATGGGTTCGCCCTCCCTCTCGAAATGCTCTCACACGGCCACGCGTATACAGCCTCTGCCAAGGAAGTCCTACTCATTGCCTTCTCGTGGCACCACTGTTGTTTACGAAATTGAGAGGACGAAAAGCGAATGTCCGGTGCTTTAACAGGATTCCAAACCAATGGTGCACATGGGCTCCAGTATCCTGAAGGAACAAATGGCGTATGAACCAAACGTTGGTCACCGGCCACCATGGGACCACATCTCCTTACGATGTTCCACTGCTTTGTGGGTTAGACCTTCAGGTCGAAGGCTCCGGGTGTGGCCCCCTAAGAAAACCACCTGCTTCGGTCTGGGCACCCGGGCAGTATCCCAGTCCTCACACAAATCGAATAATCTATGTGGCGCATATCTACTCGGTGCCTTCTTGTACCAATGTTTATGTGTTTAAATAAATAAATAAATAAACGATAATTTACAAACTATCGTCGAAATAACCTGCCTACATTTAGGACGTGTAAAACAAGACATAGTATATCAGTCATACATTAGATTGAAGATTTGAGCCGTGTCATTTAAAGTCTCTGAGTGTTTGGTATGATAATCACCCGGACCCCAACCAAGTAGTCTGCATCTACCTACGTGACTCAGTCCAATATTCAGTGCCATCATTGATTTATGCCATGTTGTTGGCTTGACAGCCCCTAGAATAGTACATAGGGAAAATTCTCATGACTCAGCGAGTGTATTTAAGCTCAGTATACTCCCCTTCAAATACAAATAGTGTAGATGGAGCTGATGATATGAATACATTTAAGCCCAGAAAATGGTCAAAACCTTCCGAACTTAAAGATGTGAATTTAATTATCGAGTGGTTGATGGTCTAGATCACAGATACACAGATGTCTAGCACATAGCAACCATTGTTCTGTAACACCAGCTGCACGCACATTACGCATAGCCTCAACAAATCCAAAACTCCAAGCCCTGTGATAATGTTTTTCTATCAGGAAAGTTTCATGCTCAAAATTCATTGCCAAACGTTATCGATCGCATTCATCATTCAATATAAGCGCATTTTGTGCTTAAAAATTGCCAGTTCATATTTCTTCCTGTTTCTTTCTATTCATATCTTCTCATACGAATAAAAGCAATAATAACAGACGGGTAGAAATAGTAAATTGATAGTAAAAGAACTTGAAACCCGACCGAAGCTGCTACCTTGACGCGGTGGTAGGGTTTGCCTATCGTGATGACCCAACCGAGCTATATTGGCTGGAACATATGTTCCTGTAGGTTCTACCATGCCAGGCAGGTCGATTGGAGAACGGTAAGACTAAAAGCAGCAACTCAAGGTCTGAGGGCGAAGTCGTACTGCTGACTGTAGAGGGGTGTGACGCCAGTAAGGTGTTTCCCTCGGACAACCAGCATCTGCAGCGATGCTGCCTTCCCACAAGAAGGGGTGGGGTTAGAAAAGGTCGACCCTAGAAATGTCACGCCTCACGGATTTCCGTCTCCGGCGTGAAGGCCTTTTGAAGAACGGAGCTAACACGTTAACAACCTTCCACCAAAAGGCCGTGCGCGACCGGCCTCAAGCAGTTGTCCCTTGGGCTCTGCGGTCACGCTCCCAGGTCGTTAAGACCAACACTAATCCAACTTCTTTTTCAGGTTCCTCAAGAAATACCCTTCCACGGTGTGGGCAGCCGGGAAGTGATATCAGCCCTCATACCCGTAACAGCACACGAGACCAAGTTGGTCACATTCAAATCCTTCCTACACCTCCTAATACCTCTCTTATCTCCATGACTAACCCTTCTCACGTCTCTTTATCACCTCGCACCGCTAGGGCAAACGATTCGAGTACGCGGAACGCCATTCCTGGTCTCCTGAAACCACGCTCTAAACTACACGTAGGAGCTTTTAACGTCCGAACACTGTGCCAAATAGGACAACAGGCTTCCTTAGCTAGGACTTTAGAATCCCACGCCATCGATGTGTGCTGCGTCTCCGAAACGCGCATACAGGATCCGAGTAGCGTCATCTATTTGACCTCACCATGCCAAAATAAAGAACCGACTCGATTCACACTTCGTGTATCTGGAAGCCCTGATTCTGCTTCCCGTGGCCTCGCCGGCGTAGGTATAGCATTGAGTCCTAGGGCAGAACTAGCTCTCTTAGAGTGGATCCCAGTAGACAGTCGTTTGTGCGCTGTCCGACTGAACGGAACAGTAAGGATCCGAAAAGATAGGGACACTCGTCGTTGCCTCTTCGTCGTCTCTGCCTATTCTCCCACTGACTGCAGCGCAGATGATGTAAAAGATGAGTTTTACAGAAAGCTCTCCGACCTCCTCCTTAAAGCTAGGCGTTCGGATGTAGTAATAATGGCCGGTGACTTTAATGCTCAAGTAGGTAAACTAAGCGATAGGGAAAGACACCTGGGTGGATCTTATAGCATCGTGGCTCAAAGAACAGATAATGGCGACCGTCTGTTGCAGCTATGCTCAGATAACCGCCTCTTTCTTGCAAATACTAACTTTAGGCATAAGGAAAAACATCTTTTAACATGGCGACCCCCTAATTCGTCCCAACGTTGGACCCAAATAGATCACATCGCTATCAGCCACCGATGGAGGGGCTCGATAGA